ATTTTGAAATGGAAAATAAGGTTGACTTTGTCTTGGAAATAGTTAAATTTGACTTTGAATGAATTGAATTTAACTTAAGAAGAATTGAATTTGACTTCGAAATAGCTGCACATAACATGGAAATGTTATCCTGAAAAATTCTGATTAGTAACAATATATTGATATGCGACCACGTAATCATGAAATTCAAAATATTTTTCAAAAACTTCGCCTTCAATAACGTAGAAATTAACCCTTATTTCGAAAAACAAATAAACAAAGGTACAATAAATCCAAAATTGAATTTGTCTCTAAAAAAAATTGAAATCAATTTGGACAAAAATTGTACTCGAATTGGAAATAATTGAATCTGATGTGGAAAAATTGAATTTGGTTTGGAAAAAGTTTAAAATGAATTTTAAATGCTTTGATCAAACATTTATCTATACAAATAATTACCTCATGATTTCACAACGTTGATTCAGATCTTTGGATATATCGATGTTTCTTCAAGGTTTATAAGCCAGTCGCCCTGGTTCATTATATCGTACAGCAGCCTTACGAAGTTAACGTCTGTTTTCAAGGCTTGAGGTTAGAACTTACTTTTTTTTCATGGATCCTGCTTTATGCTATTACATTTGTTTGTATGTTTACTTTACATCAGATTAGATGATGAAAGTTTTAGATTAATTCATACAATTTGAAATACAACTATCTTTAATGATTTGATATGACTATCGATCGTCTAGTCCTGTGTTATCCATTTGCAAACCATATGACCAATCGCACAATTTTCAATTATTCTAACTATTTATCTATAAAATGAATTTACTTTATACTTCAGGAAGGAATTAAGCGGTCCAAAACCACAACCGCAAACGGTCCCGAGGAGATCCTAAGGACTTAAAATATTTTAACCTAAAGGTTAAAAAAATATTAATGATCGTAATAATTCGTTAAATAGATTAATTACTTATTAATTAAATCAAAATATAACGTTAATGTAATTAAGTGATAACTTCTGAAGTATACCACTCTGAATATTTCGAGGTTCATAGTTCAGCGAGAATTAGGAGGATTTTTGATCTAATATAATTATTAAGCCATCTTTAATGTCAGTTTCCTTTATAGGAGGTATATAATAAGAGAAAGTGTTATTACCAGTGGTAACTAACTGATTATGATGAGGGTGGGTTTCATTGGATGCGCCTACGAAACTGATCACGGTAGGGGAAGGTCACTGAACTCACGCACTTGTAAGACATTGTCGAAGAAAATGTAGTGACATTTTCAACCTACATTGGTGAGTGATTCGAGTTAATGCAAGACCACACAGATCAGGGAATGGTGGATGAGTACCTGATTGAGCCACCACGGACAGCTAAACATACCCCCAATCGGACATGTCTGGGACCACCTTTACAGAAGACCACGAAATCGAAAAAGTATTCTTGATAAACTAAATGCAGCTGTTCTGTAAGAGTGGGGCGACATTCTTTAGAACTTTATTGGAAATCTTTTCAAATTATTGGAAAGACGTTAAAGTGGTGTGGTTCGAGCTGAACTGGAAATGTCCATTATTGACTGTACAAAAAATGTAAGATTTCCTATCTTCTTATTTTTAGGAAGCCTACGTTTATATATTTTTTCATAGTTTAGACAAAAATACTTTCAATTTTCTTCAAATCCCTTTTGATTTGATTTTTTAAAGTTTATCATATAGAAAATATTTTTCTTTTACAAACTATCTACCTTAATTGTTAAGAAATTACTAACTCCAATTTCAACATTTTTGACTATTAACGTTAGTGATGTTTCTGGTGAGAAAATTTATACATTTATTTACTGTTCTATATTTCAACAATGCAATCACTTACTCCATATCTGTACAGATATAAATTTTCCAACTACAAATATCACTAAAATGTCAACTCAAAAATATTAAAATTGGAGTTAGTCATTCCGTCAACTGAAAGGCTCATACCAAAATTCAAATTCTTAATTAGTCACCGATTAGTAGCAATTAAATTGTTGATTTCATGAAAAAATTTGATATATTAACTTTAAAGGTAGAGATAATGTCAGATAAATAGGTTTAGCTGTTAATCGTTTTTTATTGTTTTATTTGCATGAAGATTTGAAAACATAAATATCCTTTATTATTTTATTTATTTATCAATGGCGGTGACAACTCATCCTATTTGGCCAGAGTAAAAAAAAAAAAAATGTATACGTCATTTGAGGAAAATACGAATTTTTGAATAATACAGCATTATTTTTTAGTTCCCTGACAACAATAAAGGAAGTTATTAACCAATTATCATTATAATGTAATCATTATGTTTTAAATAAATACTTATATCAAAAATCTTTAATACTCGGTGTTCTTCTTTATCTTGAAAACATCAGTGTATGTATTAAGTTATTTATCTCTACTACAACAGTTATTATGTCAAACATTGTCGAAGGATTCATTATTTAGTTGGTGTCAACAGGGGTGCCCATCCTCTCCCTCAAGGTCGATGGCGCATAAACTCCTTAACCCCTTCGAAAATATTTTGTTGATCTCTTCTTAAAAACAGTGCAAGCGAAAATGGAATTTATTGAATCGTAGGTTATAAATAATTATACATCCTTTTCGTTTAAAATTCCATGATTCCCTCGAAATGTTCCAATCCCCCTCAAAAATTCCAAAACCTGTCAAAATGTGTCCCCATCAAAAATTCTGATGGCGCAACTTGCTCCATGAAACTCCCTTCTGGGAACCCCTGAGTTCCAACCAACAACCGATAGTAAATTTGAACATTTCTTATTATGATTATAACTTTTACAGACCTATATTTTAAATGATATATAAAGAACAACAGGTAATTATTTTAAAAAAATAATTATCATAAAATTTAGATTTTGTAACATTTTACCAACGCCGACTACTACCCTTATTTTTATAACCATTTATGGCAATTTGAATGGCTTGTAATGCTGTTACGTAATTCGCTTTCATTAGTTGCGTAACATATATTAGATAAATTGCATGTTAAATTTAACGGATCTCAAACTTATCCAAATGATAAGAAATACAAATATTTGAATAAACAACCTGTGTTAAAAAATCATGATTATGCCGTTCCATAGAATATGAAGTTAGATATAAATAACTAGTGCAGTGAAGAACAATACTTTTTCTAATAAAACATTTAGTGTGGATCTAATTAATAAGTTTAATTAATCCGCAACCATGGTCAAAATAAATAAACGAACAACAGTTTTTTAGAAAATGGATTGAGTGTCGGTCTTTACGAAGAATGGTCTTTATTGGATAAATAGATGATGTAGAGCATGAAATATTTACTAATAAAAATAAGCGATGTAAATAAATAAACCTCATTAAGAGAAAGAAATCCATCCCACTTGCATGACGTCCAGAACAGTTACATATTATTGGCTGGTAAATAAATTTTTAGTTTTAATACATGTACTCTTTAAGAAAATTATACGTCAAAAGTGTTACATCGCCGTTATCATACTAGTAGGTTAATAACAAAAGTCCTCATGCATAAGTATAGCTTTCTTTCATATTGCATATTTTAAACATTGTTGAATACTAAGCTTCAAAGTTAACTCAATTGTTTTCAACTGTTTTCACTCATAGTCCTACTAGTAATTGGATTTTATGGAGGTAGCAATCCTTTGATTTTAAAGCAAAGAACTCTTCACATCCTAATTTTGCGTCTTCGTAATTATCATAGATCCGATCTTTTAAAAAATTAGCCATTGATCGAAACGAATCATATTTTGATAGTGCAATATCTGGATTGTGAGAGAAAACGTTTGCGGCTTGCAGATCCGATAAATTTTTCATTTTTCAAATGATAAAGATGTGCAGGGGCATTGTCGTGTTGCGTAATGGCTAAATTCCTCTTCACCAAAGCGGCGTACTTACGGACACTTAAAACTGCATAAGCTCTCTCTAGCTGTTCACAGAAAAAAATTTAGTGCTAAGCCCGACCATCACGAACTAGCCTAAAATGTAAAACGCCTTCGAAGTTCCACCAAACAATAAGCTCCACTTTTTTCACAAACCAATCTTGCCGAATCTCCGGTTGTGCGGCTTCAACTGGCTGTACCTACTCCTCATGTTTGCTATGGTTTTTTAATAATATCCCATTTCCGTCACTTGTAATAATTTTTTCCCCCTGAATTATGTCATCTTTTGGATTTTTAAACAAAATTTTGCAAATATCAACTCGCTACTGGGCTTAGACCTCAAGTCATGTCGGCCGGACATTGGTCTTAAATTCCGTACCTCCAGGTCTTTAAGATGGCGAGCCCCTGTGGCATTAGAAGCCGCAACTGCGGCCGATAAATCACAAGTGATTGCATGTGAGTCCTGGTTGACCCATTGAAGAAGAACGTCATCATTAATGACCGATGAGCGGTCTGATAAGAGTTCATCTGCGAAGCTCATATTCCCATTGTTGACGCTCGAACCGAAAGGTGGCAGAATTTCGATGGATAACTGACTCTCCTTCTATGACACTAAATTCTTCGACGGCTGCCTTTGCACTTTTTTTAAGAGTAATGTAAACACCGCGAATCACGATTTTTTTTTTCTGACGTATTTTGCTATTGGCTAATATAGCACTAATATTAATTATTTCAAAGTGGTCAATATGGGAACCAGTGCCGGCCTTAAACATTCGCCGTCCCTCGGGCAATGGCATTTTATCTCCCTTAAAAAATTAAATTGATGTCTTATTCTGTTTTCTATTAAGTAATATTTGAATTTTATTTCATTTATTATTTATCTAATACAGTTGCTTTATTGATAGACTAACATTAATTATTGTAATGCATTTTATATTTTTTATAATTTTTAACAAATGGCAATCGCCCCAAGCAGGAGCCCCGAAGCTATTGCTCCACCTTAAGTCCGGCACTGATGGGAGCATGATTCGACGATAAACTCATGATTAATGTCACGGAACGTTCCTGTTCTTATTATGTTTTATCAGTTCGATATGAATCTTGCTTATCTTAAGATAAAATTCGTATGTCGTTTGCGACAAAAGATAATTTGTCACACATCACTCTATTTTGAAACACGCTGTGTGGTTACTGCTGAGTTATAATAGAGTTAGTATTATTTTGATACACTTCATGATAAGAAATTGAGAATTTTGGTCAGATTTATGACCGTAAGTTCTTTAAAGTTTAGCTCCATTAAAAATGCTCTTTTGAATTACATCTATTTGGCCTAAAAATAATTTCTGCTCAAAATAGAGTAGTAATTGGAAATTGTGCGATGCGTTCACCTTCTTTGACTAGCGGACTGTTAACTCCAGGAGTAAGCAATAGTGATTATTTCGTGGTTCATAGTTCTGCCGAGAATCGTTATGACTCTTTCGAATAATGGAATTCGATAGTTTTTTTGCATCAGTCTCAAAAGAACAAATGTCTTATAGAAGTTTTAGGTTATACCCTTGACTTGCGGAAATTTTTTTTTCATATTTTTATACGGAGTTTTATTTTCCGTTTTAATGAAAATATTAGTCATGCTTCATTCCGTCGTAAGATAAGATAATTTAGTTTGCACTCACAATGCACTGGTGTTGTAAATTCTTCTGCCGTCATATTTATTTCAAAGGATGTTGCTGACAAGTTTGTTCTGATTGTTAATACCTTACCAAATAAAGACTGACATTTAAAGAATAAAACTTACAATTATTACAGTCACTTATCTCTATATGGAATACAAAGAAAGGAGAAGTTTAATTTGGGTAATAGTTCTGCCTCAAATCTTGAGAGAATTCAGAAGGTTGATTTGTGCGTCAACCATAAAAGAATGTTCATCTAAAATAATTATTAAAACAATTTTATTTTCACTAACGAATATATGAAGTATATAGAAAGAATAAATTATTGCAATAGAAAACATTTTTTTAATGCGAGTTTTCAACGGAAATGCCCAGTTTAAAGTCAACTGAGTCCAAACAACTGGATCTCGCAAAATAGTGTTTGTGTGTGTTTCTGAACAATCTAGATCAAAAACGAAAAGCCTTACAAAACTGAAATATTCTTTAATATCAGGTAGGTGCATACCATTTTTATGCAACTAGTCGCTGAAATGGACTCACATAGATACCTGAAGTACCACTTTTTATAATAGATTTTATATTTCTTTTTAATTTTCTTGTAAATTTTTAAGTATGTTAATTTAAATCGCTATATCAAGGTACAACTAAGCTTAAATTTTTCGTTTTATTATTATTGAAAATAAAACTAATTTTTACCTAACAATACTACCTGTTGAGTTTCTAAATATTTTGTTTGGAAACAGTTTAGGTCATATAAGCAAATAAAACAAAAAAATTTTTACAGTATTTTTTTAGTTCTAATAAATAACGATGTGAGCTATTAATTCGAACTGGGACAGGATAATAAATATTAAAAATTATGTAAAAAATTTCAATTTTTTAATTAAATTATTTAAGTTAATTTTAGTAAACTTTAAAACACGTGTGTAATCAGGAAAGTTAATTTAGATCAATCAATTCGAATTCTTTTTTCGTATTTTTTTATCTACAATCAGCATGTCCACAATATTATGATTTGAAAAAAAAATGTTATTTTTCTGATCCACCTTAAGGTTATTGTAAAAAAAAAAAAAACACACAATGGGAAAGTTAAGAATGCTCAAAACAGCAATTCCATTCACTTACCAAATTCCAACCCCCTAATTCAGAAGTTGCTGTTGAAGTGGGAAAACCTAATTAAACATCCAAAACACTAAAAATTGGTAAGGTGGGGGGAGAGAGGAGTAAGTAAATAGTGTTTGAAAATACTGAAATATTATTATTATTTGAACTTATCGCTACTTTCATGGTATTGCTGTGTCTTTAAATACAGGATGTCCCATAAATGATGAATATTTAAGGTGCTGGTGATAGGGGAGCTCAAGACCAACATGAACCTAAGCTTATATAGATATCATGTTCGCAGAAAAACAGAAAATTTAAGTTTGTTTTTAAGTCAGGTTTTTTTACCTATAGGAAGCAATACCTAAAACCTATTTAATTTAGGTCATTACCAATTTTAGCATTGTAAACTAAATAAAATTTTCATGAAATGCAAATAGAATTTTTATTTTTTAAAACCATCCGACGGTTCCACCGTTTCCATTTAATCACATTGGAACAAGAAGCACATCATACAATTTATAGTATAAGCAGAAGTTTTCTCTGTTAAAGTTATTTATTTTATTTTAAATTAATTTGATTTATTCAGATTGAAGCAAGTAACATAGCATACTTAATATTTCAAATATTGCTGTAATTGGCCTCAGTATGGTTTCAAAATATTCATACATTAATTAATTCATTATGATATTGACCCACATATAGCATTTGCTGATTTAATATCTTAACCTATATGGAGTTCTTTTCAACTTTAAAAGATTATTTGACACAAAAAGCACGAGCATTATAAACAATTATTAAAATATACTGTTGTAATATGTTAGTAAATCTATATTTTATATTTTAATTTTTTTTTAAATTCATGATGACATCAGTGACTATTTAGTAGTGTGTAGTGGATCCTATGCTAGATCCTAAAGCCTGTTAGATATTCAATTACATATAAACCTTTTCCTTCTTACAAATAAAGTTGTATTGAGTAGATTAATACTCCTAAAGTTGAGATTCATAAGTGGTATATACTATACTGAGGTTTTATAAATGAGCAGCTCAACTGTTATTAATAGAACCTTTTTATAAATTTTAGATCAAAAATGTTGCTTGGTGTGGCTATTATTGTTGGCTTGCTATGGCTCTTTTATAAACATTGGGTATCCAACTATAATTACTGGAAAAAGAGGGGTATACCATCTTATCCAGCAGAATTCCCTTATGGTAGTGATCCGAATTTAGTTCAATTAAAAAAATTTAAAGGATACACTATTGATAAGGTATGTTGAATCAGGAATTGTCATAAGTAAACTATTTAAAAATAAAATTACTATAATAATCTGTTTTCAGATGTATCATGAATTTGCTGCATATCCAATGTTTGGAATTTTTGTTCTAAAGAAACCTATGCTGATTGTAAAAGATCCAGAATTGGTTCAGCTAGTTTTGACAAAAGAGTTTTCACACTTCAGAGACAGGGGCCTGATTGAACTGTAATATATTTTGTTTTTCCCTACTTTATTACAGTGTTTACAATTATAGATTTTCAATGTCAATCTCAAAAGAAAATTTTTAAATTAACTCTGAATTTATGAACCAAAGGTTGTATTTAAAAATTTTCTTGTTTCACAGTACACAAAAAGATATATTAAATCATCACTTATTCCATCTTAGAGGAGATAAATGGAGAGCTATAAGAATGAAAATTACTCCAACATTTACCAGTGGAAAAATGAAAGCCATGTTTCCTCTTTTCATTAGTTGTGCTGAGGTAAATTTTGTCTTTATTTATATCATCTTTACAAAAAATGGATTTATTTATTTTAAGAAAACATTAAATTAGTCGCAAAAATGTTTTTTATAAACATTTAAAACAAAGTGTATTACTCTGATTACATGCCTTCCATAGCTCATGGCACAACCACAGATGACATCGGTGACTATCTAGTAGTGTGTAGTGGATCATATGCTACATTCTAAAGCCTGCTAAATATTCAATCCAATAAGTCCTTTACAGTTTGTTAATTGTATTAACTAAAGTTATTTTTGATGAAGCTTTGGCACACTATAGGCCTGATTAAGCTGTATTGCATTTTGCAAACAAATAAATAAAAAAATACTAGTACAGTTTCCACTGATCATATGCTTTTTGTTTTAAAGATCTTATTAATAATAAGGTATATTACAATTGTTACATATTTTGTATATTTGCAGATATGTCTAGCTATTGATACTACAATGATAATGAAAACCTCAAAAATAAGACAATGGGTTATCCGATTCAGCCATGATAGTATATAAAAGCTACTATAATTACAAGAAAGCTTCCTAGTTAGACTAGAACAGTCTAGGTAAATCAACTGACATAAAAAAAAATTTATCTTAGGCCAATGTCTTATTCCCAGTCTATAGTTACATTATATTTTCACAAATGATATTCAAAAAATTATTATTACAAGTGACAATGAATATTTCTTTTCATCGCTTACTACAAAAATTACCGTAGAAAAATCCCAGCGATTTTACACATACTTTTTGAAATGGGCTCATGACAATGGTTTCATAAACAAAGATTTACTGTTATTATGCTTATTAAATACAACTCAATTATGATTACTGTTATTGCATCCAAATGGCTCCTATAAACGATCCTAAAATAAAAAAAAGAAACATGGTTGAACCTTTTTTAGCAGCTTAAAATTTCTTAATAAACATGAATATTCAAGTATTACTATAAACAATAACTCTTCCTGGGAACCACGAAGGACGGCTATCTTGATATGATTACTTATATGCTTGCTCAAAATTCATTGCCTAACGTTTTTTTTTCTTAACAAAGATGCATTAGTAATGGTATGCAAGGTATCATTCAATACAATATTTAAGGGGCCAGTATACTATTTGTAAAAAATATCTCAACTAAAGAAACTAAAACCATAACAAAAACAGTAATATAGTTGAAAATTTCAAAATAATTACATTACTAATAAATTTATTTTAGATATACAAAATTCGACTTCAATTTATTCATGATTATTTGTTTAGAAAGGAAATGAATTATATGAACAGTTGATCACAAGGCAGCTGAAAGTGAATAAAACAATATATGACTAATAAAAAATATAATCTATCATCATATATATCTATAATATATCATGTTATAAAAAATTGAGCTCTGCTCATTAAAAAACTTCATCAAGCTCAAAGCATGAAAGTAATTTTGGAATATGGTTTATTATTGAAGCCACATCTTCAATTGAACAAATAAAAACCTGTTATAAATATCCAAAATACATTAAATTATCATTTGCTTGTTGTTTACAGAGTTTTAGCTCTCTTCTGTTGTCAAAAGCTGATTCGAAAGTTGATATAAAGGAACTAGTAGGTCGTTTTACAGCAGATGTCATTAGTACCTGTGCATTTGGCTTGGAAACTGATGTTATAAATCACCCAGATAACAAACTTAGAAAGATTGGAATCGAAAGAATAAAAGTACCATTTATAAGAAAATTAAAAACTGCTTTGGCCAGATTATTTCCAGCATTTTCAGCAATATTAAATAAAAGGTATTTAATTTAGCTAATATTTTCATGATATAAAGATTAGGACAAAACAGAAGTATGTCTGATTTACAAAAGGGACAGTGTTATTCTTGGAATATCCCTAAAATGGGAATTTTTTCACCGAATTGGAAGCTCTGGATATAGTATATTATTCATATTTGTAGTTAATCGTAAAATTCCGACCATGCCTAAGCACTCTGAGTGTTTCTCGGTATGATCTTGCTTAGTTCTTGGTTCTATCTCATTAACCTTTTAACTTAATTCCATCCTCTTATTAATTATCAAACACATTAATAATCTATATTTAACCATTTCTTATTACTTGTAACAATATTAAACGGTTATTTATTTTAAACAAACCAAATTAAAGAAACTATAATATTAACATAAAAAAAATATTGGAAAAATTATAAATATGATAAAAAATAATAATTATAAATATCAACTGGTCTAGTAATAAAATAAATAATAGAAAAAGTATCAATGTGGAAATTATTGTTATAGTATATTAAATGTCATAATAATAACATTATTATGAATAATTACAAATTAGCAGTAAATTGAAATATCTAGTTGTTTAGATCAATTTTAAAAATATTATTAAATGGCCTTTTTCTGGAAGTTATGAATGTTTAAATTTGGTTTTGTTTAAATTTAATAAGCCTTTCCATTTTCAAAAATATTCTAACAGAACACTAAACTGTTTGAAACAATTTTTCTAACTAATGATAATCTTGCTTTATAACGATACAACAATTTAGACACAATAGTGTTATATAATAAATAAGTTAATTAAAGTCACTAAAAATTTCAAAATACATTGTTGTATAATATTGTAAATAACACTGAAATAATGAGTTTTTTCAGATCCAATGAATCAGAAAATCAAGATTATGTCGTAAATTTGGTTAAAAATATAATAGAACAAAGAGAAAATAACGGCATTGTAAGAAATGACTTTATAGATTTGTTAATACAATTAAAGAATAAAGGAAATCTTGGAGATGACAGGCAGGAAAGTGAAGAATCATTTGGTATATTAATTTTAATGTTTAAGCTACATGAACATTTTTTCTCTTGAAATTTCAAACATTTTCTCATTCTTTAGTACTTTTATTTATTATTTTCAATTACTTGATTATACAGAAGTTATAAGTATAAATATACATTCATATTATTTTTTTATTCAGAAATGACCCTGGAATTAATGACAGCCCAATGCTTTTCTTTTTTTCTTGCTGGATTTGAGACCTCAAGTTCAGTTCAGAGTTTCTGCCTCTATGAACTGGCACTTCACCAAGATATCCAATCAAAAGTAATTAATGAGATAAATGAAAAAATAGAAAAGAACAATGGTCTTACTTATAAGGCTCTGAATGAAATGGAATATCTGGATATGGTCATATCAGGTAGCTAAAATTCAAATATTGAATCTTCATAACATAATATTGAATTTATTCAATATATAAAAAGTTTATTGTATCAATTATATTGCTTCGTTATTGCTTGAAAAATATTGACTATGTAAGGTGTGCTTTAAAGACTGTACCAAATGTAGTTCTTCATTATCCAGAAGGTCTTTGAATTTGTTAGTGATGTTAGGGAGCATTATTATTATTTTTTCATTCAAATATGATTCCTAATCAAATTCATCTGGTTTATTAGTGCAGTATAATTTCTAGTATATAATTTCAGATAATTCCATTATCAGTTGATGATTTGGAAGAGTGCACTATTTCCATATCGTCCTGGAAGGAGTCAATATATAAGTGCTCTTATTTCTTAATTGCTGACCTATAATTATATATAATAATATATTATAATTATTATTATGAAAATATAATTATAATAGAAAATTTTTCAATTACATGAGTCTTGCAAGTTTTTATATATTGTAGAAAGTAATGTTTGGTAAATTTGTAAAATATTCTTACGCAAAAAGAGTTTTAAATAAATTAAGTACCAGATAATTGCTAAACTTTCTTCCTCAATAGTGGAATAATATTCTAATGCCTTATTAAGAGTGCATAATGAAAAACAGATTGGCAATTATTTTCCATCTCTTCATTGAACTAACTCTGATCCTATTACACGATTACTCTCATATGTTGTTAAATAAAAATCTTCGTTGAAATCTGGTGTTTGCAGAATAGAATTGCTGTATATTGTTTGTCTAAGTTTTTCAAAGAGTTCTTTATATCTGCCCAGCTTTATAGTTTTGCTCCCTCTTCACAGATCATACTGTACTTGGATAACTGAATATATTTTTTATTTAAAATTCAGTTAAACCTATGAATTATTTTAGTTTTATGAAGTTTATAATGTATCGTTTCTGAAACAACCGATTCATTTGTGAAAAACTGAAAAAGTTCAAATATTTTGAGATTCGACAAATATATCAAAAACCCTTCATACTTCACAAATAGAAGTTAGATGAAAATCAATTAACTATTTTTAAATGCAAATAAAGATATAAAAAAAAAGGTGGTGAAAAGGAAAGAACATAAGGTCAAGTGATGTTTGATAGTATGAGCAGGAAAAAAAGACTATTTGTAGAGGTTTGGAGGACAAAGAGATAAACAAAAAAAATTTTATATTTAATTAAACGATTACTACCTTTGAGTAGTATTCTATAAACATATATAATTAAAAAAGTTTTGTAAATAATATTTTGTTTGTTAAAGAAAACATTTTTTGAATATGGCTCTATAAATCTGAAATGTTAAACAATAATTCTTGTATAGTAAAATGTTTTAGAGTCTAAAATATTTAAAGCTCCTGCACACAGAACGAGTCTGTCGCAACAATTGGTGATTTCAGATATATAACTGTAATACTACCCTATTGCTTTACCAGAGTAACATTGTAATACAATTTATCACAGTGAGCTGTACAAACAGATTTCTGTGACAAATCTTATTTTGTGTCCATGAGCCTCTAGCTTTCAACAGTATATTAATATATCTACACTACTATTCATATTTCCAGAAATTTAATCATTCTGGTACTATATTTCTCCAAGTTCAATATCAAATTCTTTCATAGTTTATATTTATCCATTTTTTATTATAACTAACTATTAAGAGGTGGTTCATGATTACTGACTCATATAATTATTATAATTTTCAAGTGATTGACACCTAAATAAAGAGATTAATAAGTTTTGTTTTATGAATTGATATATTTTGATATTAATATGTTTTTAATAGCTAATGCTAACAAACCTATTCACTTTACTAGAATTACTCTTAAGAATAAAATATGTACTTATCTTGTCGTTTCAGAAACAACGAGGAAGTACCCTACATTATCTGACTTACACAGGGAGTGTACAAAGTCTATAACACTTTCTTCTGGTCAGAAAATAGAGAAGGATACTGCGATTATAATTCCTACTTGGTCTCTTCACCACGACCCTCAATACTTTCCAGATCCAGATAAATTTGATCCTGAACGATTTTCACAGGAAAACAGAGACTCCATTGTTCCTTACACTTACCTGCCATTTGGTGAAGGGCCTAGGATGTGCATTGGTAAGCGACTACTTATGATTTTAATTATTGTATTTACAAAAATTGAATGCTCTGGTTATAAAATAGTCTAACTATAAAATTTGTTTCATTATAGTTTTTTTTTGTTTTTTATTATTTATTTTTTAATTTTATTAAATTGAATATTAAAGTGATTTAAATATTGATGTAGTGACACAAACTACACCGGTGGCCATAAAAACCTATAGATCGTAATTTTGTCATTACTTCTTTTCCAACTGAAAAAAATTTCAATTTTTAAAATTTTTTTCTATTGTGTGAAATATTCTGGCTCTAGGAGACCACAAATAAGGAAAACAAAACAAATAAAATTCATTTTACAAAATCTTTAATGTCAAATAAAGCGAATGGACACTTTTAAACAAAAATAAAATGCATCTAATTCTTTTTATTTTCACTTTTTAATTATGAAATCAGAGTCTCTAATACCTAATGTTGCCTCTCCTTACATGAATAATGACCTGTAGTCTCTTAGGCATACGGCAAATAAGGTGGTCACAGAGAGGTTCCTGTTGTCGATGGATGGACATCCCAAGTTGATCCCAAAGATGCTTGGTAGGATTGAAGTCGGGGTTGTGTGCTGGCGACTCCAAGGTGTGGACAATAACCTCGTCTAGGTAGTTCTGTCCAACATTTTTGATGTATGACTGAGCGTTGTATAAAAAGGAAATAGAGGGAATTAAATGGGCCAAAAAGTACCATATATTCCTCTAGGATGTCAGTGATGTACATGTGCGCATTGAGTGCTGGCCTTCAAAACACATGTGACTGTTATAATGGAATAGATAACTACATAACTGTATCACCATGTTACATTCTGTGTGTTCAAGCCTTTGAGTTGTTTTGCACTACTATACTTTTCCAATTTGACTTTACCCTCCTGATTGTCATTTCTCGAATATTATTAAATAATGCTTTTGTTGTCTTAAAACTTATTTATTCGCATTAAAATGAATAAGTTATAACAACAGTATTATTATTCTGAATACATTGAATATTAAATTCAAAAATGCACCCATTATTTAAATTCTTGATTCTGATTTATAATGATATAAATTTATTTTCAAATAGGAATGAGATTTGGACTACTTCAAACCAAGGTGGGGATTCTGACTGTTCTTCGAAAATTTAAGATCGAACCGTGCGAAGATACTAAGATCCCTCTAGTAATGGGAGCGAATTCGGCCACGACTTCATCTGATAAGCCTATTATTATAAAACTTGTAGCAAGATCTTAAATACATTTTTTTCATTTGGGTAATATTGAATATAATTAGTCCTACTCTGTTTATGGATTGCAATTCCCATTAAATTTATTATCTAACTCATTACTTTATATTTAAAATTTACTTCAGTCTTTTTCCATGTCTGAATATAATATAATAACAATATATGTATATTATTATGTAATATGTATATAATAATATATAAATAAATCAATAATCTGAGTGTTATTGTCTATAAGAGATTTTCAAAGCTTTTGGTGATTTTTTTGATTCTTCAACAAATTTTATGATTATCATGATTTAATTTAATCAGATTTTTATTGATATATGTATTCCTTTTATTCAAAATAATATGTTCAGAATATTGGGTTTTGTTCATTTGTTTTGAAAACCAAGACGAGCTTAAACTTGATTATAGATTTTAGCTTATATATCATTATATGGATTCCTTTATTTTGTATTATAGTTATTAAGAAATAATACAATCTGCTACACGTATGAGCACTAAGTTTAAGAGACTTTCATACCATATATACAATAAGACAATAAAAAAAACAATAGAAACAATATAATAAAAGCAAAAGAAAAGTTATGAAGCTTCAAAATAAAATATAAAAAATTATAAAATTATCATAATTAATTACAATATTTATAGTCAGCCAAAAGCGCCAAGGTGGCCCTTTCTGCCTCTTGTAGAGGACAAGGCCACACTCCAAGATATCCTAGCACTTCTCTTTCAGCTGTGTCACCTGTATGGGATTCTAGTAGAGAGTGGAGAAGCTTGCAATTGCCAGAACTAACAGTTATATAATAAATTTTCGTCTGTCTAATTGTTCTTGTCTTTTAAGACTATTATATGAGTTCAATGTTAGACTTTTGTCTAAAAGGAACCCATAACCCTGAACTGTGTCTGAAATGGGAAGAGGTATAGAGTTGAAAAGGATTGCTGGACTGGATCCGCATTGGAGACTTTGGAGTACAAGCAGGACATGGTTGTAATTGGGTTCATGTATTTTGGTGCACCAATTGTTGCAATCAGGGAGGGAGAGGTGTCTTTGTAAGTTTAAGGATGCTGTTTTAGGTTCTGTGTAGGAGGATAGGGTGGCAGTATCATCAGGGAATGTTGCTAGTAGTGAATTGGAGTTTGGAGGAATATCAGCAGGGAAAATAGATTGTTATTCAAAGATTTATTTGGTTAATTTTAAGAAAGAATTATCATCAACAAAGAGGGAAGAAATGTAAGTATTGTAGGATTGAGATATAAAAGTAGTCAGTTTTTTTTTAAACCTTTTAGAATAAGAATTGTATAATTTCTGATCATCAGAGGGTCCTTGATTGTTGTTTGGATTTGATAAGATCAGAATTGATCATGGGGCAAAGGATTCTTCTTGTGGTAGCTTTTTGGAGGGAAGTTGTGAGGATGCAGTCCAAACTGCTTTTTGGATCAAGATGGTGTAGGTACTCACTGTATTATCTAGATTTTGAAGGGTTTTGGGGGATATACTGAGGTCAATCATATCTGTTATTATTTGGCAGAAAAGGTTCAAGTTAACTGGGCCTCTGAAGAATGAGGAGATAACATGGGAATAGGAAATGCAGAAAAAGTTTGATTTAGTGGAGAGTGATCTGAGGAAAGGTTCTGAAGCCATATAACTGAGTAATTTAGCGACCCTAGACCTTTGTGAATGAAGAAATCAAGGTCAGGGATCATGGGAAAGGTATACTTGTATTGTAATTTGTTTAATAAAATCATTGAAGGTTGAGAAAAATGAAGTACCCAGAGGGTGCCATAGTAGCCCCAAGTTTTGGAAATGCTTGTCAACATTCGGAAAATGTTCAGGAGTTGCTCCACTAACTATCGATGTTGAGCCAATGGTTTTGTACCTTGCAAAAATCTACAGAAAATGCATATTTGTAATACAACTATCCCACAACCTTGGGCAAATAGTCTTTCCATCCTTATATCTATGGAAATTGTATGTTTATTAAGCTATGGTCTTCTGATCAGAAGCGGATTCAGAATTTAATTTTGGGGGAGAAGCATTTTTTTTTATAAGTTATGTTTATTACATTATATTATACCTTTTTGTAACAGTAGTTACTATGAAAGAAAAAGAAAGAAACTACATGAGGTGATGTTTAAGTTCTCTTTCATTGCTTCTTAAAAAAAAATAATACATAAACAGTGATGCTTTCAGATACTTTTTTAGTTTTATATATATATATACATATATATGAGAAGGAGTTGGTTAAGGGATGCGGTCAAATAAATATTTATTTATACATTAGAATAAAAAAAAGTGAATAAATCATTCAAAAACAAACTCAGTAATAATTTATTACAAAAATGATTCACCACCTTCTATTTAATGGCTGATATAATTCAGAATTTTATAGAGAAAAGTGTCTGGGATGGCAGTCATCAATAAAAACTTAAGATGGTGGAAGCTATTTTATTATGCCTATTTTCATTCCATTTTATTATACTTAATAAAATATTTTCCACTTTTATCTTTTACAAATAGTCAGTAACATATCATAATCAATTATTTAAAAGTATAAAATTAATAGTAAATAGTAAATTAAATAGTGAATCAATAGTAAATAATAAAGTTAATAGTAAATAGTAAATATTCATTATAAAAAGACACCACTTTTTCATTCAATGACTTAAATAATTACTGTAACTTATTTTTGATAGTTGTAAGTTTCTGTCAGTGAATTTTCTGTTAGTAAAGTTCAGTCTCATGATAGAAAGCTGCCTGTTCTTTTTGCAAGTTAACTCTTACAATATTAAAACTAGATATTGTCAAATAATATATATATATACACACAAAAAGCTTTCGGTCTGAAATCCCCCAAAATTAAATTCTGGATCCATTAGCGACCTATCTCATTCCTGGAATGAGATTTCCAGATCTGAGCTTGTGGTGGGGGACCAGGCTGGAGGTCATTCGGGAGATATTAACGTCGGTGCGAAGTATCGATTTATTTATATCGAATGAGTACTTCAACTTTTAGAAAATCGTTATAATAATAATTGCCAGGGGTATATAGTGATATGTTTAGACGGAGGTACAGAATTGGATCGAAGTACAGAAAAGAGAAAGTTGCCAAGGACATCAATGTCCAATATTTTCGATAATTGTGTTTAGATTTCGATATATTTGAATAATAATATCTAAACAGCCATCGATATTTCTGCAAAGCTTATAAAGTGGTCCCGTTGACTCATCATGTCACTCCAAGACTCGAAGAAGTGAATGTCTGGTTCTGCCAAAATTGTGAGTTTTAAATTATCGTTTATATAATTTATTTATGTATCTTGGTTTCTTATGCTATCATATATATATATATATAATAATGATATAAATGTAATAATAATGATAATTGAAAAGTTCAATTAATTGAAGTGACATTTATTAAATATACGTTAAATTCAATTAATTAAAGTTAAGTGAAAAAAATGAATTAGAGCAAAAAAAGCATAAAATTTACTTTTCTTTCAAAAAAAGAAAATTGAATGCAATTCCCGAAAACCTAAAAATAAGTTTTAATTCCAAAATGATTATTACCGATTATCAAAATTGATTAGCGTGGCATTTAGTCCGCTTTTTCAAATTTAATTTATTAAATAACTTTTTATTGTTTGTTATTCAGCTCATTAATGATACCCAGTATTCAATTTTAAATGTACTTCAATAATAATTTAACATGTATTTTGTGTATATTTACATGTATTTTATTGACTTAAGCCAGTCTTTTCAAGTCCATTTGAAAAACCTAAATTGATAAAGTAATAAATAAGTATTTGATGGTTAGTATTAATATATAAAATTGATTAGTTGTTTGTTTTTTATTGATTCTATTGACAATTTTTGTCACTATTAACAGTACGCAGTAACTTCAATAATTCGTAAATATGATGAAACATTAGGCGATCTTCGTTGGCCGTGCAACGGAAGTGGAAACCTGTTATTACGTTCTTCTTCTTCTTCTTCCTCGTCATCTTCTTGCGAACCCAATAAACATGCAATAGTAATTATTTCTTGAAGGATAGTTCCACTATGTAATGTGATGGGGTTTGAAAGGATGTTTGCATCAGCCAGAAAAAAACATTCACCTAATCACATACTTTCATATCTTGTCAACAGGTATTTTACTTCGGAACGTGCTAATAATTTAACAATCTTAACAATGTTTCTTCTTGGTTTTACTATGAAAGGATTAAACTACAAAATTATTATTTAAACGAAGTATGAATAATAATATTCAATATTAATAAGAAATATAATTAAACTCTCTTTTCGAAATGAGCGATTCGTTTAATTTTATACAAAAATATTGATTTCCTAAACAATCATATTTAAAAATATTTCTGGAGAGATGAAGTTCCTTTAGACCCATCTTTTGGCAACATGCTTGTTTCCCGATTTTATAAACTGTTATCATTCTTTTACGTCTAATATAAGCTGTGGAATTTTATCAATCATACTAAATTGCTTGGTAAGATAAAATAGTTTAATTTAGCACTCATGATGCTTCATCATCCAACTAGTATATTTAGAATTTCGCCCTTCAATTAACCTTTTAAAAGTTAATTTTGTAATATTTCAAACACTCGATATAAATTTAATACATTGAATTCTTTATTAATTTATTTTTAATCTAAATTTAATTAATTCCTAAAAATGGCATCAGTTTCAGATTTGAATAATTAGTTTACTTTTAATAGGTCTCTCATGTCGGGACCTAATTGATTTTTCTCATATATAAGTCACAGAGCACAGACTTGGGGGTCAAGTGAGTGATAGGTGAACAAGAGAAACGATCGCTCTCTCTCTCCCTCCACCTCCAAATAATAAAAGAGAAGAGAGCCTCTCGAAATGTGCCCCCTCAAAATTTCTAAACCCTCTCGAAATGAATACCCTAAAATATTTTGATGGTGCAATTTTCAAGTCCATTGCAATTGGCTACGTGAAGTCACCAGATTGTACAAGACAGTGTCTCATGAGGTGGTACAGGTCTTGGTAGGAGGAATGCCTCTCGACCTGCTGCTGAGAGAAGACTATTTTGGAGGTACAAGGTTAGACGAGAACGGGTAGTGGATTTAACCAGTACCTTCGAGTGAGAACAGATGAAGACTTTAGGAGCTGTACTGGCAGTGGTTGCCACTCCAAAAGCGGCAACCCAATGAAAGTACTTTTCCACCATCGGATCTTGGCTTGAAGCAACTTGGTCCTCCCAGACTATTGAATCTCACGGGACATGGGGGATTCCGAGCAAAGCTAGTTCTTTTTGGTATAAACATTGATGCCTAAATTTTAGGATATCAAACACTACTAAGCGTAGTTTTCTTTCCTATACCGCCTATGAGTCACTCAGGGCCAAGCTGTTGAAGGAAACAGGCCTCAATTTCCTTAAGGAAAGGAATCTCTCTTAACTAATGACTAAAGACAACTTCCAGTTTTTTAAAACCGTAGAAAGGTGGAAAGAAGTGATTGCATCAACCCACATTTCTCTCGAAAGAAAAGGAGTTGCACCAGATAGGCCATCGAAATGAGGAGGGAAGAGAAGAAACCTCAACACAAACAAAATGAAGTATGAAGCTAAAGCAGAGAAAATTGTAAATTGCTTTAAAAATGCAGCAGTGAGTTGCTATGAATGGTAACATCCCACTACTGCAAATACTCGTATTGCCTTAGAGGTAGGCAGGGTGGAATAAATAAATAATAAATAATAGCCTATTGGATCTTGTAAATATGCTCTGGTTTTTATTTTCAACAATGTACTGTTGTAATGACCTGGAAACATAAAATTAATTCTTCCCTGTCATTATATATTGCCCTAACTTATTTCCAAATTATATTACTGTTTGTTCACAGACTAATTTGCAATGTACTTATATTATAATATGTCATTTGCATGGTATATGTTTATTTTATTTTTCAAATCCTAACAATTCTAAAACAAATGTTTGATACTAATGATTTCAACATTGCAAAAAGGACCACGATAAGCCCACTTGCCAAACTAGTTTTCCCCACTAATACAAGTACCAATGATTTCAACAGGCTTCATGGTTTTTGAAAAAAAAGATTTATATCCATACCAAAGAAGTTAATCTAAACTCTGATATAGACTTTATCCCAACTGTCTGTCATCAAACACTCAGATTCTAGTTAATAGATTTTTTTATGTACTGAAGTACAGGTTTTGTATGAGAATAAAAATACTTTTATTATTTTGCACAAACATTTCATACAGCTTCTATCCATTTTATTCTTTTAATCTTTTATCCTTAATTAATCACGAATATATGTTTAGTCATAGTATTTATTTGATATTTAAAGTCCTAAAGCAGGTAAGCAAAAAAAAAAAATTATTGCATAATGACCATTCTTTCAGCTTATTTCAAGTTTTTTAATGAGTTACTAGCTTTGAAATAGGTTATACTAACTCCTACTGATGAGATCGGGACCTGTCTGCAATACTAAATAATTTTACATGTATTATTTATTCAATTTTAGATCAAAAATGTTTGTTGCCACAGCCATTGTTGTTGGCTTGCTTTGGTTCTTTTATAAAAATTGGGTATCAACCTACAGTTATTGGAAGAAGAGGGGTGTACCATTTTACCCAGCTAAGTTCCCTTATGGTAGTGATCCAAACTTAGTGAAATTTAAAGAATACAGAGGCTACACCGTTGATAAGGTACCAACATGCTGAATGTTATTATTACATCATTAACATTATTATATAGTTTTAATAAATCAATAAAAACAATAATATTTTTCTAGATGTATCGTGAACTTGCTCCTGAACCAATGTTTGGAATTTTTGTTTTAAGGAAACCTATGCTGGTAGTAAGAGACCCAGAAATAATTCAGCAGATTTTGACGAAAGAGTTTTCTCATTTCAGAGACAGGGGCATTATTAAACTGTAATAATTTTTGTTTTTCCTTTACTCCATTTCTGTGATTATTACTTGCTACTGATTACTATAGTTAATCTCAACAAAAAAAATTAACTTAAGTAAATTTTTTAACTAAAGATGTATTTGAAAAAATTCAATATTTTTCAGGTCTGATAAAGATGTAATTAATCACCATTTATTCAATCTAGATGGAGAAAGGTGGAGAGCTTTAAGAATAAAACTTACTCCCACATTTACCAGCGGAAGGCTGAAAACTATGTTCCCCCTTTTTGTTAGTTGTGCTGAGGTATATTTTGTCTGTATTTATATTATCTATGAAGTTAATAACACTGCAATGAGAAATGTGATATAACTAAGGTGACCAGATTTTAACAATTGACCGAGGGAGGAGATGAGAAGGATTGTCCAAATTTGTTGTTACAATAATTAATTTTACACAATGATACCAGGTTATCATTATGTAAAATTAATTGCAAGTGTTAATCAGATGACATAGTATTCAGCTGAAATAAAGTTGTGAATTTAGTTCTAAAGGAGTATTTTTAAAAGCAAATAATTTGATGGTATATTAGACATCTAAGTTATGACTTCAATAATTAAAGTTTTTAAGAATTTAATGTTTTGTGGCAGCAGTTTATACACAATCGAGCGGCTCTTTTTCAAAATGCTATAAAATTTATTGAAGGTGACAACATTCGATAATCGGAGTAGCAAATGAAGTTGATCTGCTGATGTTAAAGATTTAATCTTTTCCTTATCAATATATATTTTAAATAACGATATCTTATTAAAAATATTTTCTGGTTGTTTTTATTAAGTCCAAACAATGGTGGTTGAATTATAATAACTGATCAACAATGCGAACTTTGCTAAACAGTTCTCGATAATCAGTTCTCAACAATTATTTGGTATTATTAAAGTTTAACATTATAAAATTAACAAAAATAATATAACACTTATATCTTGGCAAAATAGCTACATGGCTGCCCAAAATAGTATGTTCTTTTTCCATTCTACAGCTGCTCTCTAGCTTGCCAGGACTTTTTCAACATGCCGCGAGACAAGGGACAAATTGTAAAATATCGGGACTGATCCGCCAATAGCAGGACGTCTGGTCACCTTAGGTATAACTGCAAAACCACAATTTTTCAGTTAAAAATCTTTAATGCAACATTTAAAACTATTCATTCAATTCATCATTCTTTTATCTATAGACATATAGTTTTCTGTTTTGTTTCTTTTAATTCTTTTTGTAACTAAATTGAATGCTTTATATATTTAATCTATACTTTTCTAATGTTTAAAATCTGACCTGGGTCTGTGAAATTCCAAATTAGTCCATAATAGTTTTACTGACTAATCATTTGAAATATTTAATTGTTTTTCTTTTAAAATGAAATACCACCATACAGACTTCAGAAGATTATTACGCTTAACAACTTATTAAGAAAATCTATTGGAAGTAATTAGGAGATGCAAATATAATTGAGGATATGACTGCAATAAGTACTAATAGTATCATTGAACCTTTTTTGATAAAACTTTTTAATCTCTCCCCTAATGATTTAAGAGGGTTGTGTAAAAATTTCGCTTTGATAAGTCTATTAGATAAAAAATAGGACTTTTTTTTTTGACCTGTTCTTACAGGACCTTGCACTTAGTATGCCTGTCTTATTTATATAAATACTTATTTTTTGCTTTTGTTTCATGGTAACATGCTGTAGAACCAATCAGAGTTGTAGCAATCAATAAAATACCAATTATGTGTTAACTATTTTATCAATTATACATTAATTTTAGGCAAAAAAAAATGAATTTATGCCAGATGGGCCTCAATCAATTAATCCACTATTAAACATAGAAATTACCAAATATTTATATATTTGGTCATATTAATGAACAGTTGATCAAAAGGTAGGAAGTCAACAGAACAGTATATAACTAATAGAAAATTATGTACAATTCCTTAAAAAAAAACTTCATTGTTCATAGCACTACTGCAAGTTTTGGAGTAATGTCCATTGCAGCCACATCCTTAATTGAACCAATAAAAATATTTTTAAAAAAACTGTTAACTACTTAGAAGACACTATATTATTATTTGTTTATTGTTTACAGAGTTTTAGCTCCCTTTTGCTGTCAAAAGTTGATTCAAAAGTCGATATTAAAGAGCTAACAGGTCGTTTTACAGCAGATGTCATTAGTAGCTGTGCATTTGGCTTGGATACTGATGTTATAAACCACCCAGATAACAAGCTTAGAAATATAGGAATAGAAGGAATAAAATTAAAATTTCTAATGAAATTAAAAATAGCTATTATTAGATTATTGCCAGGATTGTCATCATTGTTACCAATTAGGTATTTTATCTGGTTCATATTTATCAATTCATGAAAGTTATAATTAAATATGGTCTATTCCACAATAGAAAAAGTGCTTTTCTTCGGTTGAGATGATTTGTTCAAACTTAACATTCAACATTAGTCACTATTTTTTTATCTTTGATTCAAAAGCAGCAACCTCTAAAAATATTGCCATCCCATAGTCAGCTTCTAAGCAAAGAAAATTGGTAGAAAAAAATTTTATTGAGCTGTGTAATTTCTGGCACAAGAAATGGAATATAATATAGATACATCACTTCTTTTGATAGAAAAATGCTATTCTAGCATTATATTTTTAATATAATGTATAGAATTATTCAATTATATATCTGTTACATTTGCTGCTTTCAATTGAGCAGTTTTATATAAAAAAACCATCAATCTACATATGACTAAAATCGTACTAAGTACATCATTTGGATCAAGAAGAGCCATTCTACAGTTTTTAGTAACCAACCAAGCTTGAGTTAAAGTCAATCAAGTTTTAGTTAAGATCAACCAAGCCACCATATAAACTAAATATTTTTGTGAGTTTGTGGGATTATTAGAATGGTACTTAATTTTAATTTGGTTTAATGGCATGTAACAAACTTATCCAATTTTTAAAGTATTCTAAAAGAAAATTAATCTCTTTAGAAAAATTAGTCCTTGTCCTAGTTATATGTTTGCTACATTTATACAAAACATTCTTGATTAAAAATCTTAATGTAATAATAATAGAATGTTCAGAAAATCTTAAAGATTGATACTTGCCTCCTTACCTCATACACTGAACCCCATCAAAACTCATTTCTCAATTCTCAATTTATGACTCTCACTTAGGTCTTAGTTTACCCCCTTAGAAATTTAACCATTGGTTTAGCACCAGTTATTATTTTAGGAATTTCTTCATTAGTAAGCCTCACATCTTTACAACAAATATAATAGTTTTGTATATTCTTGTTTTCATGTTTTTAAAAAAGGCAGGCTAAAACGAGCAATAAACTTTATTAATAGATTATTATAATTAGTTTAATTTTCTGTTAAAAAGTATTTAAAATTTAAATAAAAAGTCCCTTTTGTGTAAAACTTACTGAAATGTTTCTTTCATTCAGGTTCATTTCTGTAGAGGACGAAGATTACATCATAAAGCTCATTAAAAACATAGTGGAACAAAGAGAAAAAAATGCTATTGTAAGAAATGACTTCATAGATTTGTTAATACAATTAAAGAATAAAGGAAATCTTGGAGATGATGGACAGGAATTTGAAAAACCATTTGGTATAGTGATTTTATCATTCTTTAATTTTTGTTCTTGGTAAATATAATTAGTTATAAATTTTGTGACATCTTAATTTTAATAATCCTTACACTTTTATATTAAATCTATTTTGGATTGTAAATGGGCTCTTAAGTCTATCTGGTTTTAACCAGTAATATTTTATGATTAATCAATTTAAACAGTAAGACTTATAAATTTTAATTATAATAAACATTTAAGTTATAATTTAAATTTAAGAATGTCTCTCATCAAATTTATACTAATTTCAGTAATCCTTTAATGATTTAACATTTTTGGAACAACTGTTCATAAACCTTATAACAATCAACAATAATAAAAATATTGTTGATTTGTGCTTTGAAATATTTTACAAAGTATTTCAGAATTACAGAAAACTCCAAACCTTTGTACTAGTTCAATTAATATTTGTTAATGAAATCTTTGGGATTGGGAATGAATACAATCAGGCCCACTTGCCAGATTATTGCTCATTTAAAATTATATGGCAACATGGAAATAAGAACAGTCCGCCTGAATAAAAAAAGTCTTCTACCGTCACAAACTCAATTGACCTGAACAACAGTTGGACTATAAATGACATATTTGTTTGAATTTCTCTGTAAATTTGAAAATTTGTTTGAAAAAATGAATGAAAAGAAGCCTTAATAAATAAATGGGAATTCATAAATTTATTTTTGAAAATATTTACATTAAGTGCATTTTGCTTGGGATTTGATCTTAGCCAGATTATCGCCTCGCATATCATTAATCAAGAAATAATTTCTTACCGAATGCTGTAACCAAGTTTATTCATGGAAATCCATTATAGTTTATTCACTTAAAATATTAACTAATTCAGTGAACAATGAATCAAATGAACATTTATTCTATATAACAAGGTATTGATTTTCAAAAACTTATAGGAATAAATTTTCATTATTTTTAGAAATGACAATGGAGTTAATGGCAGCCCAATGTTTTGTCTTTTTTATTGCTGGATTTGAGACCTCTAGTTCAGTGCAAAGTTTCTGCCTCTATGAACTGGCACTCCACCAAGATATTCAATCAAGACTAATTAAAGAGATTGATGAAACAATAGAGAAGAATGGTTCTCTTACTTATAAGGCTGTGCAGGAAATGGAATATCTTGATATGGTCATATCAGGTAATTGCAAATAAAATGTACATAATTTAAATAATTTATTTATACAGGATCCCTGTAAATTCCAGGAAATATTTTAAAAGGTTGTAGTAGTCAGAGATAAGAAAAATATTCATATGAATTATGAATTCCAAAAAGAAAATTTTAATTTTAATTTTGTGTCAAGTATTTGAGTTACGTTTTTCTTAGGAAGTGATGGGCTAATCACTGGCATAATGTATTAGTGTCCCCACTCTCATGACACAGCTCTGTCCTCACTACTATTCTTTAACACTAATTATCTTTTCAAATATGCATCAGAAAGTTCAGGACTTTTTGTGTTTTTATTTTTATAACTTTATCTTCAATGACGAAAACAAATTTAAAATCATGCAAGTAGCCGATTTTTCTAAAGCTTTCATTTATTTTTTTCTGAGACTTAAAATATACTGTAATAAATTAATTACGAAAATACATCTTTTATTTTGAAAAAATATTATCATAAACTGATCTTTACCAAGAGGTGGTGTGAGGTTCCTACTTAAGATTGCCTCCATATACCTTAGTCTTCCATCAATCGTCTCCTCCCTTCCCAGGTTAGATTCTTCTTACTGAATCTTACCTTAATGCAAATCTCCAATATAAATCTTGGCCTACAATTAACAGAGAATAGGACCACTCTGTTCTGCCATTTTCATATTTTAGATCATGTCTTGAGTTATAATATGAAGTTATGAAGATTTGGAGATGGTACTGAATCCCAACTGTTTATTGGAGAATTTTATGTGTTTTTATCAATAAATCAGTCAATGTAAGTTAAAAAAAAACCAGAACTAGACCCAAGAAAGGTATTGGGTTCAGAATTATTTAGGAAGCACTGTTTCTAGGATAACAACTGTACAAACAGCTGATTTGATTACCACTGACTCCAGCTATGGGTTGATCCAAAGTTTATTCCAAAGAACTAGCAGAATAGAAACATAGCTACGTACTCACTGGGGTACTCTGCTCCTTCAATGAAACTTGTCCTACAACCTACTAAATACATATGTTTTCTATTTTTTCAACTGTTGTAGATCAGACTTTTATTTAATTAAATATTAATAATTTACTGAAAGAATTCTGAGACATTGGCACATTATTTTATCTGTTGATCTCAAACATAAAAATATCTGCATTTTTTTCCTATAAAAATTGTAAATAAAATGTTGTATCAGGTAATTCAATGGTTCAAAATATAAGTACATAAAAAGCATCAAAATAAACTTTTTTTTATTATAGCAACCTACCATTTAACCTATTTAGATGGTGGTGTATGTAATATGATTGAAATATTAACTTGTTGTAATTATGCAAGAAATAAAACAGCTATAATATTTGAAGTAAATGTACAAAAATATTTGTTTCATTGATGTACTTTATTCTCACTTTACTTTATATATTATTATTATTATGGATTTCTGTCTTTCATTCCAGAAACATCAAGGAAGTACCCAACTGTACCAACACTAGTTAGGCAGTGTACAAAGTCAGTAACACTTTCTGCTGGTCAAGACATAGAGAAGGATACTATGATCATTATTCCTGTTTGGTCTCTGCACCATGACTCCCAATACTTTGTGGATCCTGATAAATTTGACCCAGAAAGGTTTTCAAAAGAAAACAGAGATTCTATTGTTCCTTACACTTATCTGCCATTTGGTGAAGGTCCTAGAATGTGTATTGGTAAGTGCATGATTACTGGTGTAATTATCATATATTAAAAATTAAATTATATATGAATTATTTGACCCTAGTTTCAATAAAAGAGATGATGATCAGAGAATAGAGGTATTTCTTATAGGTTAACAACTTTAAAATGAGCAAGATGGGATACAATTTTTTAGAATTTTTTTTTAAAAGAAAGTAAAATGATTTAAAAGGAATATTTATTTTCTCAAATTTCATTTTCTGAAAAAAAATCAACAAATTAGCAAGAAGAAAAGTACCCTGTTGAAGCAGTTTAAATTATTATTTTACTTACTTTCTTGGCTCTACAGTTCTTGTAGAACCTTGGCCGCCACAACTAAGCCTCTCCAAATATTCCCTATCAGTGATTCCCATCTTCTACACAACATCCTCCACATCATCAATCCATCTCAGTCTGAATCTTTCTCGCCTTCCGCCTCCTAGTTTGCCATATAATAGTTTATTATTTTATATTGACATAAAAAAGGTAACTTATATCTTACACCCTGCTCATCGGATCCATCAGAGCTTTCAGTAAGTAGATTCTCCCAAATAATCCCACAAAGTCTCAAAACTTTTGGAATTATGTACTGAAAAAAGCTAATTTGTTTGGAGTAATAGTCCATTTTTATAACAATTCATGTTGTAACTCTAAAAATCCTCTTTAAAAGTCAGTCAGCTCCACAACTTGAGTGTGAAAAGCATTTCAGTAAATTAAAATGATATTGAAATTAAAATAGCCAGTATAAAATTTACTAATATTTCTATAATTTACTAATATTCATTCAATTCCATGTTTATTATTTTATGTATTATAATATATTTATTTATAACACTCTTTCCTGCCTAATATCTAGAATGTGTAATATGTTGGTGATCTTTAATTAATATATTGCACATTCCACCAACTATTATTATATTGCATGTATTTTATTGTAGTCGACATACTGTTTTATATATAATTATTATTAAATAGGTATGAGATTTGGACTACTCCAAACTAAGGTGGGAGTTGTGACTCTCCTTCGAAAGTTTCGTGTCGAGCCATGCGAAGAAACCAACATCCCTCTTGTCATTGGAGGAAATTCTGCTACCACAGCATCTGATAAACCTATTATTATTAAACTGAAAGCCAGATATTGACAATGTTGTCATTTGTTATTTTACAGCTCAATATGTAATTTTATTATACTGTTAGCAAGATATTGACAATGTTGTCATTTGTTATTTCATAGCTCAATATGTAATGTTATTATACTGATAGCAAGATATTGATAATGTTGCCATTTGTTATTTTATAACTCAATATGTAATGTTATTAAACTGATAGCAAGATCTTGACATTGCAAAGTGTTGTCATTTGGTGTCTTTTAGTCCAATATGTAAAATTTATTCAAGCAAAATCTCGGTATATATTGCAATGCTCATTAATTGTATTTATTATAATCCATCATATTATATTGTGGCGTAGAGAGGTGGTGGTCCCATCGCCCTCTCACTGCACCGCAGCCAGCCACTGGCCCTCCAGGTTGGGGGAACACTTACACTCACACACCAAGGACACTTTATACAGCACACTACAACACCCAAACACTACAAAGGTCACCTACAGTACACACCCTAAAAAAAAAAAGTACACACCCTAAGATCTATTTATTTATTTATTTATCAACCCTGCCGTGCCTAGTAGGCAATACGGGTGTCTGCAATAGTAAGATGTAAGGCAGGTCAGCTCAACATCTCACTGTGCAAATGAATCTCGTTCTTCTGCTCTTTCTTCATTTTTTTCCTCTTTCTTCATGGTTGCTTTCCTCATCCGTTTCACGCCAATGGTATAGTACCTCTTCCTCCTCTTCTTAAATTAAAATGGGCTGGCCCCACCGCGACTTTCCACCCGTACACAAAATCTTTGTAGTACGGGTAGTTTTCCGCAGTGACTAACTGAGGAAAATCGTTCTCTGTGAGAATGTAGAGACCGGTTTCCCTCAGTAACTTAGCCCTTAGTTCTTCAAAGGCGGTGCAGTCCACTATGATGTGCTCAGCAGTCTCCGGAACACCGCAGCTAGGGCATTGGGGGGAATGATGTCCATCCCATGGCAATGAAGCTTTGCTCGAAAGCCCCCATGGCCTGTGAGAAATTGCGAGATCCAATAGTCTGGGACGATCCACCTTGCTTCTAAACGTGACCGGACGGTGGGGAAGTACTTCCTCAAGGTAGATCCTTTGGGGGTTATCACCCACCGCCGGTTCCATTCCTCCAATGTGTCGTCCCGTATAATGTTTTTCCATTTGCAAGGATTCTCGTCAATTCTCACCTTAAGATGTTCCGGTAGACCTGCTGAGCCGTTTTTCTTAAACATGTGCCTCATCATATCTTCTCGCAGGAGAAGGTCGAGAGGTACCCCTCCTGCTAATACCTGCACCGCCTCATGGGATACGCTTCGATACGACCTGGTGACCCGCAGCAATGCCGTTCGCTGTATTGTCGCCAACTTACTCTTCTGTCGGTGCGAGAGGTTCTGGTTCCAGGCGGGAGACGCATACCTCATGATACCCAGAATCACTCCCTTATAAATTGTTAAGGTTGCTGGGTATCTGAGGCCCCAGAAAGCGCCCCCAACCCGACTGAGACCGTTCAAAGATAGGGCCACCCTGTTTTTAAGATAGTCCAAGTGAGGGGTAACGCTGAATTTTTTCCCAAATTTTACGCCTAGATAAGTGACCACCTCACTTGGACGTATTCTCGAACCTTGAACCGTTATGTTAATAGGGTGTGCCCTGTCAGTTTTCCCTTTCATGACAATTGTATGAGTCTTTGAAGCGGCCATTGATAACTTTTTCCTCTCGCACCATTCTCCGACCAAGTTGGCGCATCGTTCCGCTTCTTGTCTTAAGCCGGCTATGCTATTGGAGGCCACCACTACTGCCAAATCGTCAACGTATCCAGTGGCAGGGAACCGCTGTTCTTCTAACACTCCCAATAACTCATCAAAAACGAGCTTCCATAAAGCTGGACCAAGTACCGATCCTTGAGGACATCCCCTCTCTATGAAAGCTTCAGTCTCATAAGAACTGCCACGAACCTTAACACGTCTATCCTGTAAGTAGCTTCTTATCAAGGCATATAAGTTACTGGGAGCATCATATTTCTGCAGCTGCTGGAGCACAAGAGGCCACCAGACGCTGTCGAAGGCGGAGGATATGTCGAATAGCATCAACATGACATACCGCTCCGTCCTCAGTTCAACGTCTTCACGTACTCTCAGCAGGGCATCAGCGGTTCCCTTCCCCTTAGTGGAGCCGTATTGCCGTGGATGACTTGCTCTGGCAAGAACTGGTGCTAGACTGGTCATGATAAGGTTCTCCAGGACCTTGCTCATCACAGGGAGGAGGCATATTGGTCTATAGGACTTGGGGAGCTGTTTATCCCTATTCCCTCCCTTGTAGAGGAGTCTCAAATCGGCGATCTTCCAGGTTTTGGGAAAGTATCCCCTCTCCAGACAATCATTATATATTCCTAAAAGTCTCTCATCAATGTAGGGAATACTACTCTTTAGGATCGCCGCATCTATAGCATCGAGTCCTGGAGCACGACCGATTTTCTGCTTATCCACAGCAATACGGAGATCATATATGTCCCATCGTGGGCACAAGTCCGTATCAGGTGGGTATGCCGTGGTGCGTCTCACGAAGTTTTCCTCATCGCTGTCTTGAGACGGATCATCCCTGGGGTACGTCCTCGCAATGAAGATTTCGGCTGCCTCCTCGAAGTTGGTTGCCTGGACGTCTCCGTGCTCCGGGCTGCCAATGTTTGCTGCGTACTAAACTTCCCCATGGCTACCCTATAAGGAATATCTGAGGGATTCTTCGTGGACTCTTCAACAATGAACTCATCCCAGGACTTTTTCTTCTGTGAACGCACGTCGTTTCGGTACACCCGGGCCTTGGACTTGTACTGATCACGGAGTGTAGAGCGCCTCTCGTAGCAACTACACCTCTGATACAACCGCCGTGCCTTGTAGAGCTCTCTCTTAAGGTTTGTTAAGGCCGGTGTCCACCATGGAACAGATCGAGCTTTCGCCTTCCGGTGCTGAAGGGATTCCTCAGCGGCATCACAGACAATATTAGTGATCCTAGACACCCTGTAATCCAGGTCATTAGTCTGTTCTATTTCCGCTTCATTCCATTCATCATCTACCAATTTTATCTCCAGCGTCGACCGGAAGGCATTCCAATCTGCCCTTCGGGTTAGATAACCCTTGGCAGTACCATGGGAACTTTCTGAATTTTCCACCAGCCTGAAGGATATCGCTTGGTGGTCGGAACTCGTCTCAGATCGGAGGGTCTAATCAACGATGCGATTGGCTATTAATGGCGTTGCAAGTGTAACGTCAATCCAACTCTGCCCCCTAGCGCTTGAGAACGTAGGGGTAGCAGAGGGATTGTTCAATACTACTAACTGGTTCCGCGAAATAAATTCCCCTAGCTTTGCGCCTCTTCTATTCGTTCGATTGGATCCCCAGACAGTGTTCCAGGAGTTGGTATCTGAGCATATGATCACATTTCTGGTGGTAGCCGTGATCATCTCCATGGCTTGACTTAACACCCTAGGTAGCCGCCCTGGATGAGCGAGCCAGTCTGGAATCTACTTGACTCGGGGGCCATGGGCTGATAATCCAATCCTCTCCCTCCTCCTAAAGACCTTTATATTGCAAAACCTACAAAAAGAGAAGAGGTCGGACTGAATTATGGTAACCGGCCCAGGAAACACCTAAATGACCTAAGAATTACATTTTGGAACATTTTATCATTACATAGACTAGGAGAACTTCGTGCACTCCTTGCTGAAGTAGACACATACAGAATTGATGTAGCAGCGATCCAGGAGGTCTGATGGACAGGACAGGAAATTATGGAGAAGTACATTCTACTATAGTCATGAAAAGCATCACATCTTCAGTAAAAAACATATCAAAGAAAAAGACGCACAGAGAAAAGATTATTGCACGAGAAAATAAGAACATGGAGGACAAAGAGGCATTGCATGCCCAAAATGAAAGTCGGCTTTTCTTTCAGAGAATAAATGAGGGTAGGGCATCTTTCAGGTCCAGAGTGACTGCCTGTAAAGACACGGATCGAACTCTTTTATGCCACAAAGATGACGAACTAAGGAGATGGGTCCAACACTTCAAAGACTCATTAGACTCCTAGAATTCTATAGAACCCCCGGATGAGGATGAAATGGAAAACGCCCTGCCCTGGTTGCGAAATGTGGGGGTAAAGAACTCAAGAAGCTCTGCATGACTTAATGCCAACAATCATTTTTTCATTTCATTTCATCTCAATCAGGGAGAGGGAAGCTGTGCCTATGGAATGGGCAACAGCCATTATCAGTCCAATACATAAGCTGCTCTCTGACATTCTTTTTGAGACGATCCTTCCATATGCTGAAAAGGAACTGGAGAAATATCAGGCTGGATTTCGACGAGGATGCTCAACCACTGATCTCAACTATTCTCTCTCAGAATGATCCTATAGAAGAGTATGGAGCTAAGCATGCCTTAGAAGCTCCTATGCCTAATAAAGATGACCATGGACAGCTCGAAATGTAAAGTACATGTCGATTTTGATGCCTCTAAAGAGTTTGAAGTGAACAGTGGTGTTCGGCAGAGGATACCCTCGCCTGCCTATTATTCAACTTGGCAGAAGAGAAAGCTGTAAGAGAGGCCGGTATTCAGACCAGGCAACATAATCTTCAATTACCTGACACAGCTTCTTGGTTTTGCTGTTGATATTGATATTTTAGGAAGAACGGGCTCTCAGAGCCTGCGTTTACAGCCCTTGAAGCAGCAGCAAGAAGACTTGGTCTAGAAGTCAACGAGAAGAAATCAAGTACATGAGAGTTGGTGGTGAAATGGATCTAAACTCTCCATTTGTGTAAATACTTTTCAATTCAAAGATACATTATTACCATTTGTCATTCCATTTATGTTATCTTCTATTTCACTCTGTTTATACTCAATTCAATTAATATTTGTCATTTCTCACTCTCTAAAATAGATCTGTAACTTGTACAGATACCATAATATCATGCACAAATTTAACATCAACTCTTATTTTAATTTTTTGTATCTCCCTGATGAAGACAAGCAACTTTAGTCGAAAGGTGGGCCGTAAATAAATATTACACAAAAATAGTGGGTGATTGTTGACCATACGAAAATCACAAAAATTGTGATAACTTCAACAGAGCTCCAACAGAGCATAGTTTTTTAGAATTCTTAAAATAAAGTGAATTTGATAAAAAAAACTTCCACCTCCACACTTTCTTTTTTCTTTTTATCATTATTACTATTATTTTATGTTTCGTACACATAACAATGAATTATAAGAACATTGTCTATAATATCAACTGGGTACTAAGGATTAAAACATCATTAACATATTTAGTTTGTCAACATTTAACATTACTTGATTTTTAAATAAAAAATATAAAACATATTCTCTGCTTAGTTATTTAATATAAAATACTATATTTTTGTAGTTATATTTCATTATATTAATTTAGATCACATTAAATCGTTTACATAATGTTTAATACACTTTTTTTTTTGTATACTCTTTTTTACTTTCACTTACCGATACATGAAATATCCTGTAAATTTTCGAATCTAAGTTTTCAACGGAAATACATGTTTTGAGGTCTCCTGAGTCCAAATAACCAAGCCCCCCAAAATGGTCTGTGTGTGTTTGTATCTGTGTGTATGTATGTGAACAGTCTAGCTCAAAAACGAAAAGTAGTACAAACCTGATATTACGTATGTAAGATAGGTATATGCCACTAGCGGATCCAGGATTTAATTTTGGGGGAGAGCTTCAGCCCGGAACCTTTTTTTTTTCATAAAAATAACGATATTTACTTTGGAAAAACAGAAAGAAACTAACTACCTATATGAAATGGTGTTTAAGTGATTCCTTAAGTCCTTTTAAATGTAATTACACCAACAATAATACTTTAAGAGGTATTTTTTAATTTTTTTTCTGCATAAAACGTGGTTATGATTTACCATTTTGGGGGGGAGCTTCAGCCCGAAAGCCCCCCCCCCCGTAGATCCGCCCGTGGTATATGCCATAGATGTTACAGAAAATTTTCCCTTAAAATCGGCAAACCGGAAGTGCCACTTTATATCAACCGTATTAAGATAAAAATTAAAACCAAGAAGTCTAAAATCAGTATTCTCGAATTTCAAAACTAATTACTACCTAAGTTTTATGATCTCGAAAATTAGTTAGGTTAAAGAAAGCGTTTCTATCGATTTATTTTTTTTTAATAGTTTCTACTATTTTATAACTATAATAAAAGTAATTTATTTTCCTTCTTTCAGACATACAATGGACAAGGATCAAATACCAGATGGTGGATATGGTTGGATTGTCGTCGCTGCTTTCGGAGCCAATAATGTATATAAAATTAAATAACTAAGCATGATTTATTAAACTATTTAGTTGTTAGTTGAAATTAAACTTATAATAGTTAACTCAAATATTTTAATTATTTTATTATAAGTATATATGAGAGATTAATATATTAAGTATAAATATTTTCCTAAAATAAATAGTTGCCGCTTTAGCGAGAATGTTTATTTAAAATAAATCCAGACTCATTAAATAATAAAAAATACATTTATTATTTAATTGATTTAAGACCAATGGTCCTCAATAAAATATGTTTTTATTACATTCCTTTTATAGCCAACGATTGATAAACCTTGAGCTATTTTCATGTATTATATACCATTTAAAAAAAAATTAATATACCATTTTTATATAAATTCGTTCATGTGATCCATTCCGTATTCTAGGTAATTTCTTGGGGACTAATACAGGGTGGGCGCGACAGCCATACCATGGACTCCCTGCACATCGCTATAAATTGCATATCGTTGTGTTCCTTGTAAATATTTATTACAAAAAAACCCCATGTTCCTACAGAAAAAAGTTAACGCACTACCCCAAAAGGGCGTTCAAACATGTCGGACTGAAGACTTTGACTTTAGTTAGTTTTTTGGTCACTGAGAATCAACATTCGGCTTAGTTTCCTCATTGGCTTAATATTTTATTATTCTCTGAATAGCCAGTTTTAATAAAAGACCAACTATGACCAAATTAAGCCTAATGCTGATTTTCAGTGACCAAAAAACTAACTAAAGTCAAAGTCTTCAGTCCGCCATGTTTGGCCGCCATTTTGGGGCAGTACGTAAACTTTTTTTTGTGGGAATATTGGCTTTCTTTTTAATAAATAGTTACAAGGAACTATATGGAATTTATAGGGATGTGGGGAGGAGTGCAGGGTAGGGGGGTCTGGCCCACAGACTATAAGGTTTGGTGGAAGTCCTCATGTTCGAATTACCTAGAATATGGAAATGAACAGATAATACTTGAAAATGGCTCAACAAGTGGAAACAGAAGGAAAGTCTGTAAAAGGAATTTAATAAAAACGTACTTTATTGGTGACCCTTTTGTTTTCATTTTTACTGGATATTACAAACTTAATGATCATGTGCTAGATTTGTTTAAATAGTCGTAAAGGTATATTTTCATTTTTCTTTCTGTTAATTTTTTGCCAGATTGTTGTAATACCAATAATGCAAGGTTTCACTCTACTCTTTCGTGATGTATTTAAAGACCTTAATATGTCTGCTACAGATATCAGCACCATCACTAATGTAAATTCGGCTTTTGGACTAATTCTAGGTATGTTGTATTTTTATAAATTTAAATATATTTTAAATAATAATATTAGGCAGCTATACTAAACTAGTTGTTAACAAGTATTTTTTAAATGCATTTTTGTATCAAGATATGGTATTTTTTTCAAGAATAAATTATGATAATTCATAAGGATTGTACAACGATTTCTTGTAATTATTTATAAATATGTTTAGGTCTTTTTAATGGACCCCTATTTAAGAGCTTTACTTATAGAAAAGTGTCCTTGATATCAGTAATTTTAATGTTCGTTGGATTCATATTGACCAGCACTGCAAACTCATTTACTGAATTCATTATATATTATGGAGTGATCAACTGTGAGTATGTAGTTGTAGTCTAATAAAATAATTTAACAATTTAAGTGTTGTATGTTTCTTATATATACCAAATTTAAAGCTAAACACTAAATTTGGAAAACCTATGATACATTTACTATTCATCATATTTTTTTCATTTTTCGTTTACAAAAAAAAATCTTTATATTAACCGCTTTTAAATCATAATTACTTATATTTATATTTATTTGTATTTTTAATCATAAATTATATATTACAAAAAATATTCATACAGTTCATTTTAATTTTTAGCTATAGGATGCAGTTTAAACCTTACTTCATTTTCTCTTGCACTCAACACATATTTTAATAAAAGAAGAAATCTTGCAACTGGACTAAGCTCAGCCATAACAGGTTTTGGTCCTGTATTTATGCCAATCGTAAGGATTAATATTCTTTTAATATAAATTATTTTTTTTAGATATTGAAGATTTATCTTCAACTAATGTTTTCTTGTTTTTTTAAGTTAGTTAGTTTTCTAATAAGCTACTATGGGGTTAGAGGAACAGCACTGATTCTTTCAGCACTCATACTTCATTGTTTGACAGGTGCACTTCTACTCCATCCTGTAAAATGGCATTACAGAAAAGTTGAAGGTAGGATAGAAAAATATATCAGTAGGTATAAAATTAAAAGCTCTATGAGGGCAATGAAAGGGGTAATATATATACCCATACACAAACCAGATGAATTATTTTCACTACCAATGACATAATTACGTATGTTTTATGAACTCTTTGGGATCCTAAAAGGACACCTCTGTCCATTTCATGAAGAATTAAAATAGCTTTACTCTTCTTGAGTATTTCTTGGAACACTTTCTCTTCCAAGTCACCCAATCCCACTCTCCACCATACATCTTTGATCTCTTTTAATTTAAATGCTCTATTAATTCCCACAATACCAGTTCTCAGTTTTTAGATTTATATATAACGATCCACGAACCATGACTTTCAACAAATCTTTTATTATCCATTTCTCATCCCAGTGGGATTCCATTCCTTCCTTGTTCTGTCACTCCAAGACCTATCCCTTCTTGAAGTACCATATATTCAATCACTTCCTATCCATTCATTTGCCAAACAATGATAAATAAATATATGCTTATTTTTCATTAAAACAATTGTGAATAGATAGAAAATTGTAAATTCTTTCTATTTTTATTTTTAAAAAGTTTGTATGTTATGTCTGTAGTTTGTATTTGTACAGACAAATCGTAGGATTCAAAGTAATTATAAAAGCAATAACAAATGAAAATGTTATCATATACAGTATGATAATTGTTTGAAAGGAACTATTTCCCAGAATAAGTAAAGATTTAATTTATCATTATTGACCAAAGATTACAGTCACTGTTATTAATTATTATTTTACTAATTTTTAACATTAGTGTTGCTTTTCTGCAAACCAGATTTTTAAAAAACATTTAAATAAATCAGATTTTTCTCTGTCTGCAAAGGAAAGTGAAGAAAATTCAGTAAAATAAAATAGATCTTAATTTAATATTTTCGTTTTTATGAAAATTGAATATTACTTCCAAATAATTATCAGCATCATGGAAGTTTAACATAAACATACAAATAAAAACAAATACAGTAAGCATAACGAAAAATCCATGATAACAAACATTGTTAACTAGCAACATTTACATCGGTAACAATAATCTTATCTATAGTTAATTGATACTTCCTTAAATGGTACTTCAAATGGCAACTTTTAGAAACAAGTAAAATATTAATTAATTATTTGTTTTAATGACAAAAGAAAACTTCTATTCTGTTGATTAGAAAGAGCTATTGAAAAAGAATTGGAATTATTAAATCCTCCAACATCTGAAGCTAATAACCTCAAGCAAGAAATAGAAGATGAAGATGAAATAGATGAAGATTATGATGTAAATTTAGTTCATGGATTAGAAAAAGTAACGATACCATCAAAGAAGATGGAGAATTTTGACAAAGGTTTGAATTTTTTTTATCTTGTAAAAGTTATAAAAAGTGATAATTATGAGTATTATAAGTAGCTCTCTTATAAAAAACAATTATTTCTAAATAGTGTTTATAATGAATAGTATTAATAAAGATATCTTATTTGTAAAACTTATTTATTAGTAGTAAATATGTTACAAGAAAATTCATATTACATTATTATAAGTAGATATACTGAAAATATAGCTATTAGGCCCATGAATAAAATCTAAAAAAGAGCTTCAACAAAATAAAAAACAATTTAACACAGATACCTTCCAAGGCAAATAACTTATTACATGTTTTTAGTTTTTTATTGTTAAAAGTAAATCAACTATCAACCACTATAGAAAATGGGAGGAGGTAGAGGGACTCGACTTACCATCCTTTTTATTTCATATAAATACATGATAATTCTATAATTTGTTAAAAAAATATGGAAGAAAAAATAAACTTGTTAGTTTAGGGCAAATATAAGAGAAAGAAAAGTAATATAAATTGACTTAACAATTATCATAAAATGTATAATATAGCTAATATAAAAGTAGCTATAATTAATATTATAAATTGGATAGCTTTACATAAAATTAATTTATCCAATTTTTAACATGATAAATATGTAATTTTTACTTTCACTTAACTACAGGGGTGCCCAGAAGGCAGTTTCATGGCGCAAGTTGCACCATCAAAATTTATGAGGAGGTACTTTTTGACGGAGTTTTCAATTTTTGAGGGGCGCACATTTTGATAGGGTTATGAATTTACAAAATGAAAAGTCTCAGTTTAAAAGACAAGTGGGAGCATGGAACATACCACAGTAGATTTAATTGTATATAATCTACTTATATTTAAATTCTACTTTCGTTGACGCTGTTTTTAAGAACAAGAGATGAATAAAATATGTTGGGAGCGTTGGGGAAAGGTTTATGCACCATCGGCCTTAGGGAGGATGGGCATCCCTGCTTAACTATATAGGTTTGGAAAGCTATGTTAATAGAGAGTGATAAAAAATTATGAATAATTATTTCAGAAAACTGTTATCATTTCAAAGAAACATAATGTTTCTATTTAAATTATTGGAAATATAAATTTCTAAACTATTTTTTTTTTCTTATGCTATTGACTTTCGGCTTTAACTATAAGTCTTCTTGCAGCTTTGGGCTGTTATAGGTGGCAGCTGTAATCTTTTGGTTCTCTACTACAATTTATTCTCTGAAGATTCTTTTAGTTAATTCATTTTTTTATGTATGAATACTACTATTTAGTCTGACTTTTATTTTTTTTTTAAGGAAGCTAGTGGAGGCATTTTTGCTTCTAAGATATCTTTGTATGAGAAAGCACCTGATGCCACTTGGTGGAGAAAAGAGAGTAATGCTGGACTTCCACCTTATACTCCACAATATAGCATAAGGTATCATTTGATTCAATTCAAGATACATAAACTTACTTTATTCTTTTCTTACATGAGCAATAAACATTCTTACATGATCAATAACCATTCTCTTACAAGAGTAATTTAAAACAATAACATGGATTACACTTTTGTTAAAATAGTTTAATTGGTTGGAATTCAAATACTATTTAATAAAAATATAAATTTTCAGTATTTCTCGAAGTTTCAATATTTCAAAAGTATAGGGGGTTCTTCAGAAAATAGTGTAAAATCTCACATCTTCTTTAATTCAGGTTGTAGCCAGCTCAAAAATATTGGCCCCTAAAGGATGGGAGGTGTTTTAAAATTTACTTTATTTAAGTAGAAGGTGTCCTTTTTTAGTAATTAGTTTGTTACAAAGAAGTGAAAAGCTAACAATCAAGCCATAGCTACCGATCATTGTTTTCAGAAATTTGTTGCTTATATTTATATATTATTTGTTATATATATATATATATATATATATATATATATTTTTTTTTTTTTTTATTTGTTGGACCTTGTTCCCTCCGGCTGTGCTCATATTATGAACTGAGAGACTGTATGATTGACGAATTGTTCATGCTTATGAGTGCCAAGATTAACCAATCCTTTTTCACATTATAATAGTTGTGATTCTTAATTTGCTATGATGAATTTTCATTATTTGTGAATAATTTAGTCTAAGTTGTTGCAGCTTGATTTTCGTTAAATTTTCTTTTACTAGTTCTAGCAAGATTGAAACTGTGTAGATCAGAATCATTAATAAAAATACTTGAACATTAAACAAGTTATTAAGAGAGCCAAAAAAGAGATGCCAAGGGAAGCAACTATTTTTTTTGTTTTTTTTATTCTCTTTTGGTAAAAGGTTGAAGATATTTCTCTGATTACTGATTACTCTGATATTTCTACACTTATTCTCTGATTCTTCTTTCTATAGAAACTAAATCTGTATCCTTTAGGAATTTTTTAAAACATTCATTTGTTGTCTCTTGTAAAATTTATCAAAATGGAGTAAGACGGTTTTCATTTCCTGCCATAAATTTATTATTATAGAATAATATTAATGGGCAAAAATTTGAGAGCTGCAAAGAGCTTCAAATATCTAGGATCTAGGATCTCTAGTAACAGAAGACAATGATACAAAAGCAGAGATCTAAGGCAGGATAGCAGCTAGTTGCAGATGCCTTTTTGCGCTCAATAAACTGCTTAAATTTCAAGTATTTTCTGGAGAGACAAAAGTAACCGTATACAAGACAATAATAAGTCCGGTGGTGGCATATGGAAGTGAGTGCTGGGTGATGACCAAGGAGAGTGCGACGATCCTGAAGTTTTGGGAGAGAAAGATCTTCCATAAGATATTTGGCCCAGTAAACAAGAATGGCCATTGGAAAATTAGGAAGAACAGAGAGCTCGAACAGCTTTTTGGTGAGCCTAATATTGTGGCATTCATCAAAGAAGGAAGGCTGTGATGACTGGGCCATGTGCAAAGGATGCGGGATCAGAGGCTACCAAAAAAGATGATGAATGGCATGCCAGGCGGAAGGAGACTAGAAGGAAGACCAAAGCTGAGGTGGTTTGATGACGTAGAGGACGATTTGGGACGGATAGTAGTAGGAGGATGAAGAAGGAAGACAGAAGATAGGCAGGAATATCAATCAATTTTAAGTGAGACCAAAGTCCAAGTAGCTTTAGCGCTATTAGTTTAGTAAGTAAAATAAGTAAGAATAATATTAAATTTGGCAATAATTTAATGTACATTTTTATAGGCAAGAGAAAAAACCAAAAAAGAAGGACTCTCAGCAATGGATTTCAAAAATTGTGAAGCTTTTTGATCTTGATTTGCTCCAAGACCCTGTAATTATCTATTACTTTCATTAACTTTTATTTATTAACATGAATAAGTCAATAATATTAATACAAGTATTATTTTTAGCAGTTAAATTTTATTCAATTGTAAGAAATAATTACAGTGAATTTGATTTGTCAGTGATTCTCCTATTTTGTACCAATTGGGAGCAAAGGAACCAACCAAACAACTAACAAACACTTACATAGCAGACTATAAAACCCAAAGATCTATTGATAACAAGCAAAACCTAAGTGGGATGGTTGAGATTCTTTAGATGGGTCTGTCATGAAATAAAACTTATATGGACCAGGCCTGATTTGAGATTATTTGGAGAACCTTCGGATTGCGGGTTGATTCGGTCTTTTTTAGGTATTTCTTTGCGATCGGAATCCACATGGTTCCCCTCTCATGACTACTTCACTTATCCATTTTTCCAAGAATCTTAAAAGAATGAGTGCAATGAAATTAGAAAAAGCAACAAAAAGAACACCAAAATATGGTTAAATTTAACTTTTTCCATGGATTTGCCCAAATAAATGGTAAATTTTTTTTTTTTTTTTGGATTTTCTTCTAAATAATAGTCCATTTGTATGTTTTACGGGGCATGCTGCTTGAAAATAATATCTATTTCAGGTTGCGCTTTTTATGAAAAGTACATAAATTTTCTGATTATGCCAATGTGTATCAATTTATTTTAACTACCCGGAATTTATCTTTCCATGCCAGAATCCATCATTATGTTATTAGCCCAGTAACCTTGTCATAAAAAGAGGGTTCTAAGTTCCATGGAATGGGGGTAGAAGGTTTTTTTTTTTTTTTTTTTTTGAATGGGATGTGACTGAGATGCTAAAGCCAAGTTTTCAATCTCGACGCTATTATTTTGAAGGAGTAAATAAGGAAGAACCAAAATTTTTGAAAATATAACAAGGAACTGATGGAAACATTATTTGGTGGAAGAAATATGTAATAGACAGATGAAGAGAGTAGCACTATAACTATGCCATTTATGAGAACCTATTGAGGTGGCAGATGACTGTAGGTGCCTATGCCAGTGCCGTTTTTAAAAAGTGCATTTTCTAAACAACCATTTCAAATATGTTAAAAAGTATTCAGTAATTTAGCAAGACAAATGTATTATCTAGGTATTTTATTTCAAGACGTTTTCCGTTATTATTGGCTGTTTAATTACAAATGACGCTTGATTTTTAAATTAAATTTTAATAACTTGAAACAATTGACTTTTTTTTTTTATTGCTAAGGCCAATTATTTTTTGATATTTTTTATTATTCTCTGACTATCCGGCTTTAATAAAGACGAAATTCAGCCAACTGGTAAATCTCAGTGACTGAAAAACTAAATCAAGTCAATGACGCCAATCTGCCATGTTTGAACGCCATTTTGGGACAGTGCAGTCACTTTTTTTTAAATGTTGAATTTTTTTAATATATAGTTGCAAGAAACACAACAATATGCAATTTATAGTGATGTTGGAGGATGGTGCACAGGAGGAGGAGTCTGGCCCACGGACAATCCTCTTTATGAAAATAATATCATTTTTAAAATTAGTTATAAATGGTTGCAGAATTAGTTACAAATAGGTCTATTTTAAGTTACATTATTAAATAATATGACAGGGTTTAGAAACTGAATTTCCAATTTTTTTTGCTGTAAAGCACCATTCATTTTTTTTCATCATAAATAATTAAAGGTTTCTTAATATCAGTAGTAATACAGAATTAATATATATGTAGTTATCATATATATTCCAATATATATATATATGTATATATATATATATATATATATATATATATATATATATATACATATATCAACTATGAAAGAATTCTTTCACTAACTTATGGAGAAAATGGAATAAATATATACATAGATTAAAAACAAAATTATATAAGGAGTAATGTAGATGTATTATAAACATTGGATAACTGAAGAGTTTATAAAAATCAATATCTAACACATATGGTCGAAGAAGGTAATGGAGAATGACGAAAACCTAATTATTTTTACTGTCGTAGTTAATAATGTCTACTTTTATTAAATTATCATTAAATGGGAAATATACGTTTCCATAGATAATGATAGTTGAAGAATAACCTTTTATTAAATTAAAAAAAAAAAAAGTACGATTATACTGAAAGTAAGGTGGTAAATTAAAGTTTGGTGATACATCACAAATTTTCTTACATTATTTTATAATTAAATCAAATTATTTATTACTTAAATAAAAATATCTATCCAATGTTTATTAGACTGACTGAGCATTTGATTTTACAGGCCTATCGCACCATATGGTTTGGAATATCACTCGCATTTACAGGAGAAATAAACTTTTCACTAATGACACCAATGATCCTTGGTGATTTGGGCTGGAATGTTGAAGAAACAGCAAAATTGATGTCATCTTTAGCATTTGCAGACATAATTATGAGGTGATTTTCGGTACTACCTCACAATAACATGGTATCACAATGGGGACAGTGCCGGTCTCAGGACAGGGCAATTTTGTCATTTGCCCGAGGGCGCCAGTCGAGTATAAGCTAAAAATTACTATGTGTATGAGAATAGTAAATTTTAGACTAATAATAAAGTAACTGAATTAAAAACGTATTGAATGAAATACAATTCAAATATCACTTAAATCTGAAACAGCTTAAGAAACGAAATTAATTTATTTGAATAAGATGAGCTTACCCGGGGGCGCCATTTTTCTAAGACCAGCACTGGATGAATACCACAAGATCACACTGTTGATGAAATTTAAAAAAAAAAAATAATTTAAAAAAAAACGAATTCATAAATTGGAAAATTCTATCTACCCTAAGGAAATGAACTTCCATATCTACTGAAATAACTTGGTAAATTGGTAGGGAAATTGACACTAGAAATATTTAAACTTCCCTATCAATCTAACAAGATGTTTCAGTAGATATGGAAGTGCAATCCCTCAGGATCGATATAATTTCCCAATTTTTATTGTCGTTTTTTTTTTTAAATTAAATTTTTTTTTTTAAATATTAAATTTTCTTTGTTATAACATTTTGTCGATAGCATGTTAAAGTAACGGCAGGTTAACATTCGTTACTTTAATATGGTACCGACGATATGATCACTTAATATCATTTCGAATCAATTAATAATCGAGATACTTAAATCATAATAATTGTTTTTGTTTTTTTTTCAAAATTTGAAGTTCATATTATTTCAAAAACTTTACGGGTTCTAACTGAGTTATTACAGCCGTCAAAGTTAAAATTCGATCATATCATCCGCTTAAACAATCTTTCCGTGTTTCTAAACATTCAGAGGATCTCGCCGAATAATATAATGTATCAAACTTAAAAATCGATTCAGCCGTTCGGTCAAAACAGCGTTACATAGATTTTTGCAAATTGGTTAATCACGTCTATTTTCATTATGCAGGTGTGTGTGACCTTTATCCATTTCATGCTGATACATTTGGCTAATGGTCAGAATAAGTTAATCAAATAAGTCTTTGATTGCAATTTATTGAACGTTTCAGGGAATCTTCGTCCTCCTCTTCAGCAATATTTTATTCTCCCAAGAAATTGAGTAAGTCACAAAATTTAATACAATAAGATGGTTCCATGGTTAATTAAATTTAACAATTCATCAAAAAAAATATCCCAAACAGCGGTAAATGTAATGTCTTAAGTCTTTTTAGTCGAAGAAAAACAAAATTGTGGCCAACACTCAGCCCCTAATGTGGTACGTGACTTCAACGGGTAGATAAGATTTTATTTTATTTTTTCAATTATTAATCACTTTATGTTCTTTGAAAACTTCTCGCATTATTTACCAGCGAATGCTTTCGAAATAGACTTTATTTCAGCTTTCAACTTAGAAAATATTAAACTTTGTAAAAAAATACCTGAATGGAGGGACATTTGTTGTTGAAACCTATATCTAATTCAAAGTCAATAGAAACCATTACATTTCCAGAAAGGTAAAGGAGCCAAAAGTTATTGTCTATTTTGTGATTGTTTACTTTCACTATAATGCATTTTATTTTTGAGTTTCCAGAAAATAATTTATAACTATCTACGTTATCTTTAAAATAGGTTTGTTCTTCTTATTTGAGCCATTATTGGTATGGAGAGGTCACAATGTAAAAATAAAATAAAATTTAAAACTGTGAAATATTTAAAATATGTAAAATAATAATGAATTAAATATCACGAAATGATTTTACGAAGTAAATATGTAATTCTTCTTTAAAAATACGTGAAAATACAAAATCCCAAACCTTGTGATGACTCTTCTAGACACAATTATCAAGTATTTCGTTAAATAAAGATTTAGTAGATATAAATTATGGTGAAATAGCCATTATTTAATTCTATGAACAAATATTTAGGTCGGCAGAAAAAAAAAGAAACAAGATATACATATTTTTTTCTTTTTTAAACAAATGAATATTTTAATGAACATACCATATTAAAGCCTTCTGAAGTCCAAAGGTTTTCTGCTTTTTAAAGAAATTTAATACTTCGTCATGAATAAAATTAAACAATAAATGAAAGAATAATTTGAGCCTAGAGTAGGAGATTAATTTTACTTAAAAGCCAGTAAATTTTGGATAAGAATTATTTACCATCAATAAAGAGATGTTCTTATTGAGATTTTTTTAAACCTATTATATATGTAATTTATTAATGTTATGAATAACACCTAACTTTATTCAGGTTTATTTCGCCATTTATTGGAGATGCAGTAAAACTACCTGCCAAGCAAATGTATATGATAAGTCTGATATTCCTGGTGTTAACTAGAGCTTGTAAGTATTTTTTATTCTGAATATGATATCTTAATAAATTGTTATTATCAAATTATTACCGTTTGGTTTTGTTTTTTCAGCTATCATATTTGCCAGTGGTTGGACTCAAACATTAATTGCTTGCATTTTCATTGGCATAGGAAAGGGGTTTAGGACAGTTTATATGGGTCTAGTGATCCCAAGTTATGTTCCATTAGAGAAGCTTGCCTCAGCAACTGGACTTCAAACTGTATTGAATGGACTATTTCTTATAACAGCCGGTCCTATTTTAGGTAAGTATTTATTTATTTAGCTATTAAGGCATTCTAATTATTAAAGTTATAAACATACAGACAATTACAACCTGCCCAGAACCGTTAATCATAATTCCTTTGAATATACAGTTTCTATAACTGAAGTTCAGCTCTATAACTGACACAATGAAAACTAGTGTTTCAATATTAGAACGGGCACCCTATATTTACTCATCTTTTTTTAACTTGTGCTGCACTGTGTATGTATAACAACCTCAGTATGATTTTTTACTATGTAAGTATTTTTACTGTAAACTTATTTCTTCAGAATTATTACAATCTGTCACAATTAACGACATTTATAATAGTGTTCAGAAAACAAATTCACACTCTATTTACAATAAATGATACAGAAAAATAATAATACTAAACGTAAATCTATATAAACAAAAGAACTAAACTAATCAAAATAACAAATAAAACACGAGCATACTTTTATACAATATTTACAGAATCCGTTCACTCAGGAGAACTCCGAGCCAAGCCTTTCTCCCCACTCGTGGAAGGAAAGGCAGGACTCTAGGAGATCCCAGTGCTTCTTACTCAGGCGCATTACTGGTATTAAGGACCAGTAGAGCCTGAACAGAGGCGCAATAATCACACATACATGGCTTGAGTGGAGAATTTGGCTATTGCCAAAACCCCAATATATGCTTATTCACAAAAGGTCTCTGGGCCACTATCGCTTCAACCTTCGAAGAGGATTGTAGGGATGGGTGGAGATACAAAGGGATTGTGCTAAAGGATTTGGATGATTTGCAAGGTTCTGATGAAATTTTGAGAATTTTCTGAGGTGCCTTAATCAAGGAGAGGTGCCTTTACAGATTTGAGAATTCTATTTCGGGATCAGAGTTGGATGATAAGATTGCAATATCATCAGCGAATGTTGCAAGGAAGGTATCGGGATGAACAGGAATGTCAGCGGTAAAGAGGGTGTAAAGCACGGGACCCAAGACGCTGCCTTGGATGAAACAGGCTTTGATTGGATAAATATCGGAAAAGGCTATTCCACAACCTACTCGAAAGGAGCGGTCGGAGATCTGGAGAGTCGGAGAGGTTGAAGAGCAGCCCGAGGTGCCATACCCGGTCAAAAGCCTGTGCTATGTCCAGAAATGCACCCGAACAGTATTGCTTGTTTTCTAGTGCTATCTAGAAATCAGGAATGGTAGTTGATAAGAGACTGAATTGGATACAACATATTACATATTTGAGAGAGGAATGCACAAAAGGACTCGGCATTCTTAAATGCCTCTCACACTCTAGCTGGGGTGCCGATTGATACACTCTAATAAAAATATACCAGTCTATAATACGCAGCAAAGTAGAATATGGAGCGCAGGTATATATTACAACCAGTACAACAGCGGAATTTTAGGGAATGAAAAAGCTGACAAAGCAGCGCATTTAGCAAGAAGTGGAGAAGAAGAAGAGGAAGTGACTAGATTAAAATATATCACTTTAGAAGACCGGGTATATGAAACAAAGAAAAAACAACTGGCAGAGTGGGAAAAAGAGTGGAGGATCAACGAGTGTAAGCTGAAAGAAGTGAAACCCAATTGCGATAAATGGCTCACTAGCAACAGAAAGTCTAGGCGTGAAGAAATTATACTGTGCCGCCTTAGGATTGGGCACTGCCAGTTCACTCATAGCTATCTTTTATGAGGCCTAGAAGCTCCTACTTGCGAAAAATACAATAATACACCTCAAACTGTGAAACACCTTCTGGTAGAATGTCCCAAATTCGAAAGCCACAGAAAAAAAATAGATCTACAAAAAACACTAAACGATATTCTATGAGATAATGAAGAGCACAATTTCCTATAATAGATTATAAATTATAGAAAACGCCAATGATCCTTTAGGGTAGAGGTGAGAAAAAGAGAAAAAAAGTTTAACTTAATGTAAACAATTTTACATTATTTCTTTCGTAGAATTCGAAAATAAAAGAAATCCGTTCATTCGTCGTACTCTGGTTGTCATTTTCTCTAATGGATCGATTTTTTTTAGATTTCGCACAAAAGGCACAAGTCGTGTTACAATAAACCTAAAAACTCGACATTACTATTAGCTGTACAAATGGGTTAGGGCGGATTACGTTAGAAAAGATAATTTGAATCGAAAAGGGTTGCATTTGAAATAGAAAAAGTTACAATTTAATTGGAAAATTTCACAATTGAATTGCAAAATAACGTATTCCATTGAATATGTTATATTCCATTCACTAGCGGATCCAGGATTTAATTACGGAAGGGGGCTTCAGCCCGAAAGCTTTTCTTTTCGTATATATACGATTATTCCTTTAGAAAAACAAAAAGAAAGGTACTAATTACCTTTATGAAATAGTGTTCAAATGATTCTAGAATTCCTGTTAAATGTAATTACATGAACAATAATATCTTAAGAGATTATTTTTTAATATGTTTTACTATAAAACATAGTTAAATTTACCATTTGGGATGGGGATGAGGGAGACTTCAGCCCGCATGCCCCCATACCGCCGCGTAGATCTGCCTGTGCTTCCATTGAATGCATTCCAAATGTTATTATTAATATTTAGTTATTTACATTGTTTCAGGTTTAATTAGAGATAAAAGCGGAAGTTATAACGCATGTATTTATTTCATCAACTCACTTTCATTGACCACAATAACACTTTGGACTATTGAAATGATACTCGACAGACAGAAGTTGAAAAATCAAGCTAAAGAAGAAGCAACCGAGTCCTCACAAAATGTTTGATATATGTACTCAGTATTTAATGAAAATTCATAGCAAAAAAAAAAAGAATCATTTTATTACTTGTTATTTTTCATTATAAGTAATAGAAATAAGATCACTCATTTATGTGACCTGAGCATTCTAAATGCTTTGTTCAATCTTGTTTAGTCAGTATTTCCTAGATATTTGTAATTTATTGATAAGCTATTTATTTTTTATTTATAATCGATTTGATTTATATCCATATTCTTGAAACTATTAAGTTTTTAATAAAAAAAAGTTTTATAAAAAATGGTATGTTATTGAAAAACCTATAAATTTATTAATTTATTTCGTTGATTTTATTTGATAAAAATCCTGAAATGTTAAATCAAGGTTTCTTTTTTTTGTTTCCAATTATAATTAAGGCACAAAAAAAAATACTTAAACGAATTTAATTTGAGACTATTAATTTTAAAAATTATTAATAAATGGCAGTGTAAACTTTCGTACAGTTATAAATATTACGCATTTACATCTCAATAACACCCATTTCCTCTGTATGTTACAATAACAATATTTTTTTCTTTTTTTTACTGATATTGTTTCCTGCAATTATGATTTTGTTTATAGTTAACTTTTTACTTTTCAAGGTTTCTATGTTCTTACTCTGTGTATTAATTTTATTACTTATAAATTGTAAACTTCAATAACCTAACTTTAGTGTTACAACTTAAAAATCGATCATAGATTTAAATATTAATTAGCCCTACGCCAGGATAAGTTAATTTCTGTCCAAAGTAGGTTAGTGAGTGATAGTTCTTTTTATTCTGTTATGTGTTAGTATTAATGATATATTATTTATAATCAGGTAAATACAATTAAAATTGTAAGAATTATAAAGTTAATCAGTAAGAGATTAATAAGGGGGGAATTTTAAATAAATGTACTAGTACGAATCCTATTGAATTCAATATTTGCCATAATAGATTGAAGTCCTCCTGAGATGCATTATAAAGTTTCCTGGCAGTATTTCCGAACCCTTTCTCCAGTGTTCATTTCGTGACGCTTACACAGTTTACCTTGGACCATGGATAAAAATCCAAGATCCCCAGGGATAAATTTTTAGGGGTCCTGGAGTAGTTTTACTGAGCCCCCGTCAAATAATAAACTGGTTACTTAAACCCAACTAAATCCTTTCATAAAGTACGTAAGAAAAATATTATATAAAGAAAATTCATAATCATTTTTTAATATATGTTATGTTATCTATACTTTATTTTAATAAATATTGTAAGCTAAATAATAATACCTTTTATGCCAGAAGCCAGTAGTCCCTCTTTCCCCCTTTCGTCGGGCCTGATTACTCTGTTATGAAAAGGCTGTATGGAGTGGTCATTTCTCGATTGCTGTCTTTCTCCTTTTATTTTTGGATATCAAAAGTTCTAAGCGATGGTTTCTATGTTATCGTTTAATTGCATGCACCTTTTTCATTACAAACTCTGTGGTACAATGGCGTAACTACCGTAGACCAGTAAGGCGCCGCACAACGAGGCCAGCTTATGGTCCTGTTGGGCATTAGAAGAAAAATACAAGTTTAAATTTGGAACTTGAATTCGATTAATAACAACTACTATCATTTCCTATAGTTAGCGAATTTTAACATGTATGTCTCATTAATAATGCCTTAAGATGAGATCATAGTTGAAGAAAGAATAACATATTTGATTCCTACTCGTAGTTTTCTCTTCGATTGTAAATAATTAAAGAAAACAGCTACACGTCAGTATCTGGCTTGCTGATAATGGTTTTAAAATTTCATCAAGTAAGACAGTTGCGATTCTTTTTTAGCAAAAGACAGCCAAACTTGTTACCATCACTGACCATAAGCAATCAATCAGTCACCTTCTCCCACGTTGTACGGTACTTAGGAATGACCTTTGACAGAACGCTCAAATAGACTCAGCATGTAAAACCATTAAAAGCAAATTAGCTCCATTCCCTGAATCTTTGAAGAATGGTCGGTAACACTGGCTGGGGTGCTGATCGGAAAAGTATGCTAACCCTGTATAGGACACTAACAAGATCGAAATTGGACTATGGCTGTGATGCCTACAACGCGGCATCGAGTACAATTTTAAAAATGCTAGATCCTGTACAAAACAGCGCTTTCAGCAGAATAGCTACTGATGCTTCCCGATCCAGCTCTGCGAATAGCCCATGTGTCGAAGTTGGCGAGCCTCCGCTCGACATAAGAAGACAACTCGACCTCATTTACTTTGTTAGATGCGTTTTGCTTCTAATCACCCACTAACTGATTTGTTTTCAAATATACAATATACAAATCAACAACGAACTGGCTTACCAAATATAACACCCTTTACAATCAGAGTTTCAACTTTAATAAATAATATAAATATTGAACTTCCTATTATTCAAGAAATTGGAGTTTCACCAATTTATCCTTGGGAACTTCCCACTACAAAAATTCTTCTTTCTCTCACTAAATTTATTAAAAACAACACAATGCCTTATATATATAAATAGGAATTTCTCAAACTTCAAGACAGGCTAGGTGATTCTGAATTTATCTAAGCTGACGGCTCGAAGAGCTCCGCTGGCGTGGGAGCATCAATTATATGTAATGAACGACAACATATTTTTTCTATTTCACCACTATGTAATAATTATCCTGCTGAAGTGGTTGTAATACATAAAATTTTAAATGCTATACGGCCCACTAAACAAAAAATGGTCATATGCACAGATACTCTGTCCGCCTTAATTAGTCTAGGAAATGTTTTCTCACCTAATATCATCATAAAAAACATTCTGTACTTTTATAGTCCGCAAATATTTATAAAATCCGCAAATAGAAATAATGTATCAGTATTTTTCGTCTGGGTCCCTGGGCATTGCGGATTAGCCGGTAATAAACTGGCAGATCGAGATACCAAAAAAGCAATTACTAGTGGAATATCTTATCGGAGAGTACCTGTCGAAGATTTTATAACCATCCTATTATACGCGCCTGCGTATAGGTCATACACGCCTTACCCATAGATTTCTGATGGCCCGTGAATCTTCGCCAACATGCCAAACCTGTGGAACTCCTCTGACAGTAAAACACATTTTATCTTAATGCAGAGCTTACGAAACATTTAGGCTATCGTGTGACTTGACAAACGATCTACACATCATTTTACAGGAGAGTAAAAATGAAATTGACTAATTATTTTCTTTTCAATGTTTGAAACTTGAAATTAGAATCTGATCAATGAAAATAAGGTAATAGTTGTCCTAGTGTTTGAAGCCTTTAATTATAAAAAAAGTTATGATTAACAATTTATTTATATATTGTTTTTCTTGTTCACCAACCTTGGTAGCTGACATTAATGTCTAGTAGCAATTTAAGGTTCAAATGGATAGAGAGAATTATTGCATATATAGGAAAAAATTAATTATAAAATATTTTAATCATCATCCTCATATTATATTTCCTTTTTAACGCTTAAACGAGGTTGCCTTTTGCAGAGCTTGGACCAGGTAGACCTCTCCTGCACCAACTCTCATCCCCGACTCTATTCCAGCCATTTGGAATCCCTCTAGCATGCTTCCTTTCCAGGAGATTTGGAGTCTTCCTCTCGGTCTCCTCTCCTGCACCACCTCTCATCTCCGATTCTATTCCAGCCATCTGGAACGCTTCTCACACGCTTCCTTCCCAGGAGATTTGGAGTCTTCCCTAGGTCTCCTTTCTTACACGTGAGTCTCATAGGTCTTCCATGCGACTCTGCACCGATCCATCCGGATAAGGAGGCCAAACCATCTTGATTTGTTTTCTTCTAGAATGGTTTCCACTGGTTTGATCTTGAGGTTGGCAAGGATGGTAGTGTTGCTAATCCTGTTTCGCCTGGCCTTTCGCATGTATCGCTAGGAACTGGATTTGACTCCTGTGCTTTGACGTGAGTCTTTAAAACTCACAAGAATATGTTAAAACAAGAAACCGATCTATTCTGCCATCTCCGTTTTCTTTGTAACCTCTCTTCGGTTTAGGAAGTCTCTCCTCACGCTGCAGCGCTTCCTCGTCGATATATCCACTTTCGCTTAGTTGAGCATCCAAGTATTCAAAACTTTTCACCTGCTCCAAACTCTCACTGTCCAACCTCAATATACTCATAAGCCAGGCTTATTTGACTCCATTCCTTCCCTACGGAGCTCTTCGTACCATTCTGTCACTGTTTGCTGTGTCTTCTCTTCGGAATCTGCAATGATAGTAAAAACTGGATCACCACCGGAAGCAAATTTCTCAACCTCAGGAACGCCTTTTGCAGATTGCCGCTATCTCGTCCATATACTGTATGAGTAGCAAGGGTCTTGCTGACATGACTGTCACCTTGTTTGATCCTCCCTTCCCTTCCACTCCCCCTAGCTATGTATTAAAATAAGTAGACTCCTGTGCGTTTAGCTTTACAATTCTTCTTAAGTCTTGGTATGTGTATTAAATGGCTTCTACCAAGCTTCATGGGACATCCTTAGCTCTCAGAGCTTCCCATATTTCGTCCCTGGAGACTGTCTAGGGTCTAGGAAAGGTCTAGGAAAGTGAGGTATATATTTTTATCCCGATCCCACGGCATTTGGAATACATTTCGGGGAGAGAATATGTGACCCGGAAACCGGATAGAAGACAAACTGATAAAATAATTACAAGTTCGCGTCCCGGTGCTCGGGAAACTCCTGTATAGCCTAAAAGACGAGGAAGAGGAGGACAGGAAAAAATATATAGAATATGTGATCCAGTGTTTGTCGTCTTGGTCTGAAACCAGCTTGTTCCTCTCCCATGAGCGGCTCCATCAGAGGTCTCAGTCTACTTTTCAGGATAGATGTATAAAGTTTTTAGACCATTGAGAATAAGCATATCGGTCTATAGTTGGAACATTCTGAATGACTGCGTTTTTTATGAATGGGGAATTAAGATATTATATTCTCATTTTTTAGGGTTCTCTTTTATAGTATTTGAATATAAAAAGTATTTAGAGAGATCTCACTAGATCCATCCATAATTTACAAATTCTCCAACTATATTATTTCGTCCTGGAGCTTTCCCTGTATTCATTTTTTCGATCATCTCGTAAAACTCATCTTCGTTCCAACGTCCGTACTGGCCCTCCACAGGATACACTTATTCATTTCCAAATTGATTTTTGCAGTGTCTTCTCCGTATTTCCAGGATGCACCTTCAACAACCATTTTTCCTTGTCCATTCTTTATAATTCTTATTTCTTTACTTTTGTGACTCCTCAACGCTTTATTTTTTTTCCAGAATAATTTAATATTTCCAGCTTGATTCTGTTTCAATTCCTCTCCGAATTCTTCCCAAGATTTCTGTTTTGCCGTCTCTGGCACTTTGCCTAGTCCCTGCTAGGATAAAGATGCCCATTGATTATAAACTTCGCCTTTGTGGTAGATAAAGGTAATTTGGATTCAGTTTTCTAACAATACGAAATGTGACCTATTCACTTCACCCTTCAGTTATTTATTCAATAGAATTTTTAGTGAGAAATACCTCGAATTAGGCAGAGGAAAATGCTTCAAGCAAATATCTTTTAAAATTTTAATCGTGGCGTAAACGGCCTTAGTCAAGCTTCTGATGATCTTATCCGATGAAGTATCTTATATCCATGTCGTTTGTACCTTTAAGGTGCATTTGGACAAACTATGGGACAATCAATTATCTACTTTAACCAAAAGCCACCAACGTTAATGCTAAACCACACTATTTATTTTATTTCTCTTGATACCGACAGCAGATAGAAAACATCAAACACAAGAAACAAAAATACTAGCATAGGGAAATAATCATTTATATATTTGTTTGTCCCATAGTTTGTGAAATATCCAAATGATTGGACCTTAAGATATTCTAGAATATGTTTGAAATTCAAAATGTCTCCTCTAGTTGCATTTCCAACTTTCTTTGAAGCTGTGACTGAGAAAGTTAAATCAGGTCTAGTGCGATAAGTAGAGTAATGTACAATAATCAGATAAGTAACTTCGTGGTAGGGATCAGTATTTTCTCCAAATGGGTTTTCAAGGGATAGTGGTGTTGGTCCTGCTCTTACACTTTTGGTTGTGTCCATTTTATGTTATTTTGGAATTGCACGTTGGTTTTCTTCTTCATTTTTTTAAGCTCAATTTTAAGATAAATTTTTAGATGCTTCTCTGATATAATTTCAACTTCTCTGATATAAGTCACGCTTTGCAATCCCAAAATTCACTTAATTTCAAGTTAACATGTTAAAACACTTTCAGTAAAGAATTAGGACTAAATATGGTGAAAATATGTTGATAATAGAAGCATTATTTGCTTTAAAAATAAAATAATTAGTCGAGGAAGGATGTTCAAGGCTTAGAAGAAAAAAATGTAAATAAATTCGGTATCTACAAGTCAATAAGAATAATGCTTCTATTTCATCCTCGTTGCCAAACGTAATTGTTTTTTCTCATTTATCGATATTATTAACCTGATGTTTATCAAATATAAGGGGAGGCTTCAACCTGGTTATCATGTAATAGTAGTGCAATATTTTCTCGAAATATTATATTATTTCTTATCTGGTTAGATTGACTATATTCTTCGTTAAACATATTGTCACCATCTTTGGACTCGCCCGAAGAGGTTTGAACTCATTCATTGATTATATTGTACAGTTTTAAAATTTTATGTTTATGTTATGTCATCCTTATTAAAATATCTTCACACCATTTATTTATCCTTCTTATCTTGCCCATGACATTGTAATAGTCAGGACTTATATTAATCATGACATCAACATTACCAAAATGAATGTTTTATTAATTAAATTAATCAAGTGGTGTAAGGAAACACTATACCAAATTAATCATATTGCTTATTAAAAGAATAATTTTAATGTTCTGCAGTAATATGGTGTATAATTAACATGTTGACTGTACACAAATGAGATAAAACCAAGTAAATATTTTTACCAAGTACATCAAGTATGAGTTATCTCTTGTTTTAGTAAGTCATACGTACATATATAATCACTTTATATATATATATTTTTATAGTTAATAAGTAATATTGGAGGCAACAAACAAAATGTGATTTTCAATTTTTTGTTGCATGAGGTTGCCCTCTTTATGCCAACTAAATATGGCCAAACTAAAATTAATATATTCGTTTTTATTTTTTAATGTCACTGGATTCCTACAGTATTAATAGATTAAGTTATTAATTTATATTTAAAAATATCAATTTAATTTTGAAGAAAGTTGGTTGGGCTGTTCTGTAAAACCAAAAAAAAATATTAAGATAAATAAATTATATTTATTTTATTTTACTGACCACCCCAACCAACTTCTCTTCAATTATTCATTACAGTCAACCGTCAATCCACTATTATAATTTAATTTTGTTGTTTATGATCAAATAACATTTCTCCTCAAGAATAACAAATCTTTAGTGCCAAGGTAAATGTGCATAAGTTTGAAAATTTGTGCGAGCTTAATTATGAAACAACTCATATCAAGTCTTTATATTTTTTTTTCAAAAAATTCATTCATAATTTTAAATTTCTTCACATGGTGTTCCTTTAATAATATTCCTCACTCGTCCACTATAAATACGGAAAGGAATTCCTTCTTCAGGAACATTATCATATAAAAAATCTAACAGTCTATTGCAAAGGACCCAAAGAGTGCCATTTTTATCAACTTTCATATCATATGGAAATGCCTTTTTATGTGGAAATTCAGTTATAGTTCCTTGGTTAACTGGAAGAAGTCGTTCTCCCCTAAAAATTGCCAAATGAAAACTTTATTGTAACTGACTTTTGTATCTATCTGCTCTGTAATAATAATTTAAATAATAACAGATGAATTTATTGTAGAAATATTGGTACATATTTTTAAAATCTTAATAATGGTTTATTTTAATTTTTATTTACAACCATTAATTTAGTTCTGTTTATGCTACTTAAAGTTAAAATATATATTTAATTTTATATATTTATGTTTTGTAAAGATTTATATATATTTATAATATTAAAATATTTTTATCATCTGACTATAGTTACTATCTTAATATATACACATATATATATATATATATATATATATATATATATATATATATATATATATATATATATATATTTTTTTTTTTTTTTAATACAAAATAAAATACATTTTTTGTATTTTGCATTTTAAGATGTAAAATGTAAAATAGACCTTTTTATTTTATTTCCAAGATGTAATACAAAAAATGTATTTTAAAACACACAAATAAATTACTAAATAGAGCAGCAAATCTAAATTCTTTAGTTCCAATCATTGGTTGGAATAATAAATCTAAATACATGGGGCCGGGGTAGCTGTAAGGGCTAAGGGACTTGCTATAGGTAATCAAATTTAAGCAACATCGAGTTTGGTTAGTACTTGGATGGGTGACTGTCCACTAGGGAAAGCCAAGAGCTGTCCAAGACTCTCCTCTTCCCCGGATATGTGAGGCCTTTCAGTCTACTGAAGGCAACTCACACCAACCGGACGTTTGACTGTTGACCCTACCCTGTGTACTTAAATCAGGAATCGGGATGTTGTTTATCTTGTTATCAATAACCCTCCTGAGATTTTATTCATAGACGGTCTGTCTCGGGGAAAGAAATATAGGTCCTTGTGTGCCTACTGACTCTATAATCCATGGATCTAAACGGATTCTGTCACTGTCCTTAAACCCGTGTGAGTCAGTGCGAAGGACACTGGTAGATTGGCCCCAAAAGGATTGGCTATGGAGATACGGGTGGACTGCCGCTGCACCATGGAGACCATGGTGCATTTCAACATGAGGTTGGATGTCCCCCTCCAGGTTATCTGTGCTCCTGCAAGCAATATACATCTGTAAGGAGACCACATCTCGAGGCCAAAATTCTTCAAGGTTTGTAGCGCCAATGAAAAGGAAATGAAAGAAAAATATATATATAACTTTTTTTTTTGATTCGTAAGATTTTTTTCATAGATATCTGAAATTATTATGATCATATTGTAATCATAAAGTAAGAACAGAAAATATTCCAGAAATTATGATAACAACTATATAAAGTATACCTGTTATAATTCCAACAGTTCACACCATTTTTAATTAAAGTTGTATAAAAGAGAACACCATTTTCTAAATCCATATAGCTTCCTGCTGATTGACTATTGTCTCCACGATCTCCATATAAATAAAAATCTGTAACATTTGTATTAGCTAATGTTTTATTTTGCAAAATTTGTGTTTTAACTCTAAATTCTTTAGTTCCAATCATTGGCTGGAATAATAAATCTCTGTGGCCCTTATGATTTGGAATTGTGAGAGTCATACCGAAGAGACCATCATTTAATTGAACATTAAAACCAGAATTTGTTTGGAAATTTCCCCATATTGGATCGAAAGAAAAGTAATTATTTTTTATCCTGTAGGATTTATTAGCAAGCCAGGAATAGACTACTAGTCCATGTTTCGTGTCAGCCAGGTAAGCAAATGCATTTTCACAAGTACCTGATGTCACATCTACCAAAATATTTCTAAACTTTGAGGTAGTTTCAAACTCCTTCTCTTGTAATACATATTTCCGTAGCAGTGAATTGTCATTGAGATTAAAAATAAAAACTGTTGGAGGTGTTTCCACTTTGTGCACTGTTGCTTCTTCAGATATACCTGTATCAAGTGCCCATAATCTATTACAAGGATCGGTCCGTATGCTAAATATTGAAGTCATCTTAGCTTTTTTCGAAGACTTGTTTTGAAGATTGTTCATGTCTTGTGAAGGATATGGTATAAGAATAGGTGATTTGGTGTTGACATCTAAAAAGAAAAAAAAGTTAAATAATCTTAAAGGATATTTTTTTTGTAATATTCAATTCCTGTTCATCAACTATACTATTACCTGATATACTTATATAATTAAGAGTTGATGGAACTCCACTTTTAATTCTTGGTACTGCTATGAACATTCGGTCTCCCCAAACTTCTATTCCTGTTGGGATAGATGCACCAGGTATATATACTTCATTATCTATGGCTTCTTTTCTATTAAGTGCTCCGCCAAAATCGTAATCAATTTGTTTCCAGCTAAACTCTTCAACAAGATTGAGTTTCGCATCCATTGATTCATGTTGAAATGAAATCACTCCTTTAATATATAAGATATTTATTTATTAAATTAAAAACAAAGAATTTTCAATAAAAAAATTATTTGGTCAATCAGAAATTCAGCCTGTAAATTGTTGAGACATTTGAAACTTTAGAAATAAAAATACATGGATTTTAATTCTTGTTAATTATTCAAAAATGAATTTTTATTGAAATTGCTCAAATGTAGTTCAAAGCTTATCTAAATCAAATCGTGCAGATTATTAAACAGTGGATATTGATGGTAAATATGGATGATTATAGTATGGTATGATACTAAACAAATTATTTTTGATAAGCTAGTATTCATATTAAGTGGTGGCTGCTTAGGAGTATTGAAGAGATTTAACTTTAAAGCATATTATGAATTATTTATTGTGATGTAGAAAAATATAATAAGGTAATATTTATTAAATTACCTATCTATAACTGCAAAGCTCATGGACTAATTGATTATTTACTCATATTGATTTTAATTCATAATAAAGAAAGCTAATAATACTTATCTAGTGTTTATTATTCAATATAGTATATTAATTGATTGTTGTAATTTATTATTTTAGGGAAGAATATGTTAAAAAAGTAAGCATACCTATTATAATAAGCATCTTTGTCAGCTTCATAACTGGAACGATTTAACAAAAATAACTAAACTTAATGGCCTATTCATAAGAGTTTTCATTTCCTCTTTTGTAATTTCCTGTTTGTTTGTTATGTTTATGATTTTTTTAAATAGATTGATGATAATTGGGTATTCATTAATATATGCTTGGTTAACAATTGTTTGATTTATAAAGGTATTATTTCCTAGCTTTATTTCATTATATTTTTCAAATTGACATTATTTATTATGTTTCACAAAATGTAACAATTAAACAAACAAATTACTATTAATATATAAATACCATTTTAGTTAATATTCGAACAATATCTTATTTTTCTAATTTTAGCTGTGAAACTTTGAAACAAATAATGGTTAAATTGCAATTATCTATTATATTAATGTAAGTTTAAAAATTTTAATTATTTTTTGTGTTTTAATTTAAAAAGAGATGGACGTTGCTGGATTTGTGGCTGGAGAATCTCCTTTCAGTAATGAAGAACATACTTTCGAAAACTGGTCTGTTCTATTCAAAAAAAGTCACATCCTGCCTTCAAAATGCACCCAGCCATGTGATGCAAGCCAAGCTTGTTTCTATTGTTGGTAAGTACTTAATCTTTCGATATAAAGTTTAATAGCATTATTATTTTTTAAGTATTGATGGGCATAATTAGATTTTCTAAAGTATTAGGGTCACGTTGTTATTTGTTTTGTTTTTTATAATTTTCAACAGAGATTTACTCATTCTTAAAAAAATTTTCTCCTATTTCTTTATTTTTAAATTGTATCAAACAAATTTTACAAATTGATTCCATCTGCTGACCTACTTAAAACTTGATTTAGTATGAGTTTACATGAAAAAGTAAAAACTAAACAAGAAACAGGAATTAGATATAAGGCTACAGCTGAAAAAATAACTAGGTAAATGAAAATAAAAATTAAATTTATTAAAACTGGTTAAAATTAATATCTACAAGCAAAAACTTGCTAATAGGCATGTATTAAATGTTTGGATACAATTGGAAAATTTCAATCACACAGGCTTGTGTCTCTAAACTGAAGATAAATAATAAAATAACCCGTCAACCTTCCATCAATTCAGGCATCGTCAAGATTAAAAACATCCTGAATTATATTAATGCAGATAAACAAAATCATTTTCAGGTTATCTTAGAAACTTTTTTAACTTAGGATTTATTTTGAGTGATGTTTAAATTGTTATTATATTCATTCTCCTTGTTTTCATGAAAATGGTTTCCGTTTAGGGAAAAAAATATTCTTATCCCTTTTTTTAGCCAGGCATGTGCTGTTATGTAACCATTTTTATATTTGTATGTTATATGTGTGTAGTGTTACTTATTACTTTGCATTTATATAAAAAAAATGTTAACTTTTACTATACACTGGTTAAAGTTTTTAACAACTGCAATATTTGTTTACAATTTAACAAATTTACAATTCAGGTTAATATTTACTTTTATTGATATGTTTAATTATTATTGGCTAGCTTTATAAATGTATATTTTTCTAAACCTTATATACTCGTCTTCAACATTTTATTTTACGTTTCATATTATTTAAAAACATAAATAAAGCGTTTTACATAATTAGAAGAGATATTACATAATGTTCATATATAGTAAAATAAAATTCATACGAAGATGGAAATTGATAAAAAAACTGAAAGATTTTTTATACTTAAAATATTATAATAGATAAACAAAAAAATTGGAAAATTTTGGAGTGTGAAAGTGTTCTGCTTTGAAATACCTTTAAGGCCTTTTGGAATCCAAAAATCTAACTATAATTTATAAAGTCTTTTCCTTTACTAGTTTTACTTTTACCTTTTATAATATCATATGGAGACATTTTCTAATAAACTTATATTTCTAATCTTTAATCTTACTATGAAAATTTCCAAATTTCTCACTTTTTGCAAACTGTCGCTTTTTTTTGTGACAGATGTTTTTTCGAACATAGTATTGTTTTAAACTATTTCAAGAAATCACTTCAGACTAAGGTTAAGTAATATTATTAGTTCTTTCTCTCTATGGGCCTACCCAGCTCAAAATACCCCCATGATAAACCAGAAAAATCTGAAAATCTACAACAATTTTATTGAACAGAAGCCTGATAATGTACCTAGTCCTGTCATAAATATTGTTACAAGAAAATATATACAGATTTCAACCATAAAATTAATTTTTTCAAAAACTTTACTAGAAAATGAAGTGCATATCTGTAGAGAGTAAAACATAAAAAAAATTACTCAAAATGTCCTTTTGCCTTGAAACAGGCATTTAATCTCTGTGGGCAGTCATCAATAGCAGCACGTAGCACTTCCTGAGGAAAGCGCCCAACTGCTCAAACCAGAGATTGTTTGAGGCTTTCCAAGTTATGTGCGCTTTGGCATGCCATCCTCTCCAGTTCGGACCAAAGCCGATAATCTAGTGGGTTTAGATCAGGGCTTTCTGAGGGCCAATCCAAGGCAGAGATGAACTCTGGAATGTTCTTTTGCAGCTACTGCTGAGTTGACCTGGAGCGAAATCCTGCTGGAAAACTCAATGACTTCCAGATAAAGATGAAGATGAACATCAAAGTGTATCAATCAATAGAATAGAATAGACTAGTTTATTTTATTTGTTTAAGGAAATTCCTGTACAAATAAATATAATGGTATTATTAACAATGTTTGATCTTTAGTCTAGCACTGCATTCAAACATTACATTAACAACATATACAGCATTAAGTATGACTAATATAATAACAAAGTAGTTAACGCTATATACATAAATACAAACATATATATATATATATATATATATATATATATATATATACATATATACATAAACAATTAGTAAAACATTTTTTTTTAAATATTCCAGAGGTATAAAACAAATAACAATATAAATAAGCATTAATATATGTTTATATGATCAACTATACCACTTAACAGTTCAATGAACAGCCCTATATGAAATAATGCTAAGTCATTGCTCTATTGGCCAAGAAATACACCGAACTATGTTGCTCGCCTTGAAAGTGGGAGATCTCCATTAAGCGTTGGAGTGTTGAAAAAAGTGATCAACTATTGGATGAAGCTTTAACCTAGACAATGCTTTAATAGGCTTAAAGCTCTAGACTCATCCATTGGAAAACCTGATCCAACTTATAACTGGGTTGCCCAAGTAAAGATGATTGTGGAGAAACTCGGATGTCAGGGGCTGTTTTTGTGTGTTTTCTCCCAATGTCTGATGAGGTTTCAAGATGAAATAATTGAAAAAATGAGAAACCATCATGCATCCAATGACATCGGCAGAGTGTTAAACTCTAAATCAAACCCAAGATATAGAAAAATCTGCTCCTTTAATGTTACCAGACCAAAGGATTATCTTCAGTTCAAGGCTCTGAATTTAAACAAATTAAGAGCCGTTAGTCGTCTCAGAATAGCAAATAAAGATTTTGTGAAGATATTCTTAAAAGATGCTACTTTGACTATTAAATCTAGTGAAGTATGGGGTCCATGCAACTGCCTTGAAACTGACCCGGTGACTCATTTTTTTATTCAGTGTATCAAGTTTAACGAACCAAGAAATAAGTACTTGAAGACATTTATCACTGAATCCAGGAAAGATGTTAGTGTGGAGGAGATACTCAAAATAGACACTATGAAAAAAATAAATAAATCAAATGTATCAATCAATACACCCTAGCAACTTTTCAAGTAAAGGTTTTACTGAACTTTTATTTTTAAAAACGTTCATTTAAAAGTTCTGTCGATTCCGCTGAAAAGTTTATCTAAAAAATTACTTTTATTCATAGCTACTCAAACGTTCCTCAGAACTTCTATTTTAAAAACTGTTTTCCTAAAACGTTTCACAAAAACTGTTAAAATATAACTTTTTAAAAAAGTTTCATTAAAGTTTTAACCCCTGCTTTAATTATTATTTTATCTTTTAGGTTTACAAAACAGTTACAATTGGAACATCTACCGGAAATGGTCTTCCCTCAAAATATACTAAAGCTCCAACATAAATCAGGATGTTCAATTGAGTTTAATGCCCTGGAGGCTCTGAGGCAAGTGAAGAAATCTCGGGAAGAGAGTTTTACAATTGCATCTGCTCAGGCATGGAGAAAAGCTCGGTTTGAAGAATCATTTGTTTTAAATACAACTCATTTGATTTAAACTTCAATACAATGCTTACCTGTTTCATTTCATATTATTTTAGAGAGGATACAGGTCTTGTTGATAAAACTGTTGGTAATTTTGATTGGACATTCCGTACAGATTATAGTGGCACATTTGAGGGGTGGCCACCGCCAGAAAAAACAACTGTTGGAATAGACACTGATCGCCTTAAGCAAAGGGAAAAGATTTTATTTTATCGAGATCTTGTGCTCTATGAAGATGAATTGCATGATAATGGAATATCTCTTTCTAATGTTAGAATTGTAAGTTTGATTAATAATCCTATTCATCTTAGTGAAAGTTTTTTAGATTTTTTTTTGTAAATATTTTAATTTATTTTATTCTATATTTTAAAATTAAAATCTGAAATTCATGTGTTCAAGTATTTATAATTGAATATCAGTTTCAAAGGTCATATGTAATATTTTACCTGTGCAAAGGCTCTTCTCAACACTAAGGCTGACCGGCCACCGAAAGCGCAGCTGAGCTGAGTTAAGTAGCAAGAGGGGGTTGGTAACTGATTGGGTAGCAGAGCTCAGCTCAGTTAGCAACTTGCCTTGCATCAGTACCCTTTTCATATAATATAACATTTTTAAAAAAAGTATGTATAGCATGCATAACATTTTAAAACATTAGCAAAGTTGACCATATCGGAGCTGAAAAGAAAAATCGAATATTTGTGTATAAAATAGAACATTTTTCCTTACACATTCGATTAAGAATTCTTCCAAATCCATTGCATATTTTACACTGGGCCAGAATAAAATAATTTGAGAGATTATACAGTGAAAACAAGTGAATAACATTTTTAAATATATATATATATATATATATATAGCATTTATAATATTTTTAAAAATTAGCAAACTTGATTATTACGTATCTGAAAAGAAAAATTGAATATTTGTGTATAAAATAGAATATTTTTCCTTATACATTCGATTAAGAATTCTTCCAAATCCATTGCATATTTTACACTGGGCCAAAATAAATTAATTTGAGAGATTATACAGTGAAAAGAAGTGGATAACATTTTTAAAAATATATATATAGCATATATAATATTTTAAAAAATTAGCTAAGTTGATTATTATGGATCTGAAAAGAAAAATTGAATATTTGTGTATAAAATAGAATATTTTTCCTTACACATTCGATTAAGAATTCTTATTCATACATTGCACATTTTACACTGAACCAAAATAAAATAATTTGAGAGGTTGTGCAGTGAAAACAAACGGAAAAAAAGGATGACACTGAGAAACACAGCCACACGGTCATGAGGCAGTGGTGAGTAGGTGTGGTGAGGGAAGCTGAGCTTAGCTGACCCTTGCTATGTCGCTTAACTGCGCTCAGCTCAGCTCCACTTTTGTTGGCCGCCCTGTCATCAAACACCTTTGGTTTGGTTTTGGAAGCTGACTGCTACGTTCAGCTCCACAGCACTTCCGGTGACCGGCCAGCATAAACCTTAAACACATAAATTATTCGGGCTAGTCCTTTTTAAAATCTAGTATGCTGCTTTTGATTTGTTTAACAAAATAATTTATTTGTTGGTGTCTTGTAAAGAATATAATATGAAAACCAACATATTACAATATTGTTATTTTTTTGTTAATTTTATTTTTTATGCATTAGGGATAAAGTAACTCATTCAAGGTATTATATCTGTATCTTGTACCAAAAAATATCTGAAACTTTTACATTTGACTCTCACACAAAAAATCGTAGCAGGAGATACATTAATTGTTAAAAGGGCCCATGTCTCTTCATTATTAAACAATATCTTATATTGGGAGCTATTCACTCCTATCCTTTCCTTATTTTTATTTTTTTTTACCTCACAATGCTGCCATACGGGTTTATTTCCTTTTTCTGTTTTCTATCCATTTCATTCCTTTGTTTCTCCTCTTTTCTACTGCAAGAACCTTAATCTTATTCACTGTTCTCCTGAATTTATCCCTATCTAGGTAATTATCTTTTATTTTTATTATTTCTTCTTTAATCTGTTCAGGTTATCTTTTGATGTTCTTGACCACTCCCATTACGATGTCATAGTTTGTTTATCGTATGAACTCATCTCTTCTTGTAAACAACAAATTTCAATATCCTTTTCCTCATTGATAAGGAAAAGGAGTTGTTTCTATTCAATAGCCATTTTTTTTCTAAATCTTAGATATCTTCATACAATTCTTGATTATTTTTAGGTCAGTACTTACCTCTCACCTTTCTTATTCCATGAATACACCTTAGTATCTTCCTCTCTTTACAGTAGCTTTTCTTGTCTCTATCTTGTCCCGTGGGAATATAAGATATGTGCTCAAAATAGTACTTTGCAATACTTCATATGTGTAGTACAAGTGGTTTTACTAGTGAGAAAAATATATAAAATCTAGAGCCCTGAAGAATGAATTTTTAATCTGTATAGCTTTCAAACTTTTGACATACTTCGTGTCACTGTATTGACTTTTTAGAATTACAATTGGTAAACCATTAATGATATTATTTTGAAGAAGAGCCTTAAGAAAGTTTCAAAATGAATTAATATGCAATGCCCCAATTTTTCTTTGGAAGAGTCCTGTATTAATTTTTTGAAGTGAAAACTTCTTTAGGCGCGTGTAATGATTGTGTATCGACAAAAACAAAGGTTGAGGAAGTTCCCAAATAAATCAATGAATATATTTTTCAACAATGTACAACCTCACGTGTTTTTTAAATAATATGTAACAACAATAATAATCCATACTACATTATTCCCCCCTTCTTTCTGATCGCTTCCTCATATGATCAGCATGGCATCGCATTAGCTTCCCGCTCGTTTCTATGTCATAAGAGAGAGGCCCTTTTTTTTTTAATCACGATGCCTTTCACCCATCCTTCTGTGTCCTTACGTTTTACCCAAACTTGCTCACTTTCTTCGAAACTGCGTTCTTGTCCCTTTCTATCGTGGTACATTTTTTGTTTTAGCCTGCTTTCTTCCATCTTATCTCTCACGGATGGTTTTAAACGATCCAATACTGAATGCAATCTTCTGCCAATGAACAGTTCTGCCGGCGTTTTTCCTGTTGAGCTGTGTATTGTAGTTCGGTACGCAAACAGCGTTACTCGCAACCTTTCCTGCTTATCTGTATAAGCAGTATCGTTTCGGAATCGTTGTTTAAATGTTCTAATTACACGTTCGACCATCCCATTTGATCGACTATGATAGGGCGTTGTAAATATTTGTTTCACTCCATTGTCCCTTAAAAAGCACTTGAATTCCTTTGACACAAATTGACTTCCATTGTCACAAACGATTTGTTTGCAAATCCCATATCCTGCAAATAGCGATTCTAATATATGGATAGTTTTTCTAGCTGTTATTGATTTCATTGGAAAAATTTCTAGCCAACGAGAATATGCATCAATAAGCACGAACCAGGATAGTCCTTCAAATGGTCCAGTAAAATCTATATGGAGTCTTTCCCAAGGTCCTTCCAGAATGTTCCAAGGGTTCAAAAATGTTTCATGGAGTTTTTTTAACACAACTCCTCTTAAGGAATTCGGAATGACCAATCTGTTCATCCACATCAGTAAACCCTCTTCTATACCCAGCTCTTCTCTTTTCTCATAAAAGGAAGTTTCGTCGTCTGTCAACTTCTTTTTATTTGGCCATCCACTTTCTATATACTTTAACACCTTATTTATCACTTTGTCTTTCCAGAGCTCCTTCTTTATGATGGTCTTAGATAACGAGCATTCTTCTCGGACGACTTTTCCAATTTTACTAATACAATTATTATTTCCCACTTCTAAAAAAGAAGCCTCTGTAGTCGGCAATGGAAGTCTCGAAAGAGCATCCACGGGTTCCATTTCTTTGCCAGTCTTGTACTCAATTGTGTAGTTAAAGCTACTGAGTAAAATAAAATACTCCATCTTATCAATCTGGATGCTGCTATTTTTGGCAATTCTTTTTTGTTTCCAAATATTCTCAGTAGTGCCTTATGGTCTGTTTGTAAGGTAAAATGTCGCCCAACCAAATAATCGTAAAACTTATTAACTCCAAACATTATTGCCAAACCTTCACGATCAGTGGTGGAAAAGTTTTGTTCACTCTTGCTAAGAGTTCTAGAGGCGGCTGAGATTGGTCTAAGTGTTCCATCAGGGTATCTATGTTGTAACAATGCCCCTACACCCTTTTTTGAAGCGTCAGTTGATAGTATTAATGGTAATGTCTCGTCATAATGTACCAATGTTTTATCTGCAGTAATACTTTCTTTAATGCTCGAAATAACTTGTTCTTCCTCCGATGCCCATTTCCACTTTGACCCCTTCTGTAATAATTTGTGTAGAGGAGCACATCTCCCTTGCAAATCCGGAATAAATCTTGAATAGTAATTTAGAGAGCCTAATAGAGAACGCAGTTCTTTAACATTCTTTGGAGATGCTATTTCATTTAGAGCCGCAATCCCTTCATGAGACGGTTGAATCCCGTTACTGTTGATTCTGTGGCCAAGGTATTTAATTTCTTTTTCAAACAGCTTTACTTTCTTTGGCTGAGTTTTCAACCCCACTGATTTCAATTTTTCTAAAACCAGATTAACATGATGTAAATGTTCTTCTCGAGATTTTCCTCCTGTGGCTATGTCGTCTAAAAACCAGGCTACCCCTTCCATGCCTTGCAAAATTTTATCCATATATCCTTGAAATATTGATGGGGCCGCACTTATACCGAACGGCATTCTTTTGTACGTGATATATCCTCGATGTGTTGCAATAACCAGATATTTTTTTGACTCTTTGCTTATTTCCATCTGCAAATAAGCATCTTTGAGGTCGATAACAGAAAACTCCTGGAACTCGCTAAGTTTGTGAACTATTTCTTCAAATGTTGGGAAAGGGTGGGGATTCACAATCATATGAGGATTAATGGTAACTCTAAAATCACCACATAACCTCACTGCCCCATCCGCTTTTGGAACAAAAACTACTGGCGATGCCCATTCTACCATTATCTTTAATGGGTCCACTTTTTCTATTACTCCTTCGTGAATAAGCCGGTCTATTTCGTGATCGGCTGCTCTTTTTAAAGCAAACTGAACACTTCGAGCTTTAAAGAGTTTTGGTGTTACTTCATCGCGTAGCTTAATTTTGGCTTGGAATCCCTTCACTGTTCCAATGCCGTTTTGGAAAAGTTCAGAGTGTTGTTCCAACACCTTATTTTTAGCCTGTTGGAGGTTTTCGTCTGAAATTTTTGAGTTTTTAACATTACTTAACTTGACATGTTTACACATAGGATATAATTTGAAAGCTTTAATCCAATCTCGGCCAAATAAAGGAGTGGCTTCGTTTTCAATCACGACCAATTTCAATTTTAACCTTTGCTTTCCTACTTTAACTGACACCGAGCATTCCCCCAACAAATTCAATAAGGAATTGGGATAAGCCCTTAAATTATGGGTCTTTTGTAGTGGTGGATTTCCTATATACTTCCATACGTTTTCTCCAACAATGCTACGTGCAGCAGCTGTGTCATATTCCATTCGAATATTTTTGCCGTTTAATTGAACCCTGACCAAAAACCGAGAATTATTTGAAGTAATCGCATTGACGTCTAGTACGATGTTGACTTCATATTCGCTATCTGTATAGTTCTCTGAACTTACCGTATTTACTGATTTTATTTTCGCCTTTCTTTTATTTAGCTTAATTTTGCCAGATTTCAAACAATTCCTTTCCCAATGACCATAAGAATTGCAAAGTCTACAGGTGTGTTCGCTAGCTGGACATTTCCTACCCTGTTTATGTTTCTGGTACCCGCAACGAATACATTCTGTCTGTAGCTGGATCTAAAATTCTAATTATTTTATTTCCCTGCTCCGTCTTAGCTATCCTACAGATATGAGTTTCCTCTGTCGTATCCTCTGTGACTTTTCTTTGTTCTTGGGCTAACTCAATAATAAGAGCGGATTTTTCAATTTCTTTTAGGCTTGCGTTTTCCTCTGGATGACAGCAAAATAGCTCCTCCTGCATCGACGGGTTTTTCAATCCTAACAAAAATTGATCACGTAATCGTTCTTCCAGATTATTTCCAAATTTGCAATCTTTTGCCTCCGATCGCAATTTCATTAGAAATGATGCTACTGACTGATTTTTGTCACGGAATATTTGTCGAAATTTTACTCTTTCTGCAAGATAACTAGTGGTCGGTTTTAGATATGTATCTAAAAATGTTTTTATCTCAGAATAATGTAATTGAGTAATTTTTGTAGGATGGAAATAATCCACTACCAGTTTATACAACTCTGCTCCCACACATTTTAACAATAAATTGCGTCGTGACTTCTCTATGATTTCGTCGGTACCATTTATATTTTTAATTTTTTACTCAAGTTCAAAATGGTCTATATAATATTCCCATTTTTCTGAATTATTATAAGGAGGAAAATTAAATGTACTTACTCGTTCGTCTATATTATATTTACTTCGGGTTAACCTGTTTTCATTTGTACCCGATGAGTCAATGGCCTCAGGAATATTAACTTCCTCATCCAACCCCTTGTCTGTTCTAGAGTTTCTTTTTTTCTGCCTGTTCACCATCGTCGCCACATGTAATGATTGTGTATCGACAAAAACAAAGGTTGAGGAAGTTCCCAAATAAATCAATGAATATATTTTTCAACAATGTACAACCTCACGTGTTTTTTAAATAATATGTAACAACAATAATAATCCATACTACAGCGCGTTTTGCACTTTTTTGTAGAGAGTGAATTAGATTGATCAGTCAGATTTTGTTGGGCATTTATGCTCGGGTAAACTCGGCTAGAGCCAACTAATTAAAATATTTTTATATATAGATTAAAATATCTCAGAAACTATAAATCGGGCCTGCATACTGTAAGCAAGGAAATTGTTCAGCATTTCATCTTCTTTGTAATGAGCTATTATTTATAATTTATATTTCATATTATTAATCTCGCCTTGTTGATGTTTTCAGTTGTCTGAAGCATACACCTTAGTTGTTTTTTTTTAATTGGGAATGTTTTCAGGGTTTTGGTTCTTTATTAACTGACAGTAATTTTTAATAACCTCAAATGGTTACTATTTATTGATAGTAATTTTTAAAATAATAAAAAGCAATTATTTTTTTTAAATTTGTTTGTAACACAACTTTACTAGCTTTTGCTATGGCCCTACCCGTACATCATGCCTATAATTGGTATTTGTTGGATTTCGGTTAAAAATTATAAAACTTTATTTGAAAGGAAAATACAGTATAATAATTGGCCCGTGTGAAAACATTTTGCTAGTGAACAAATGGTAATGTAATTGGAAATAAGTAAATGCGGTGTATTATAAGAGGGAGGAATCAATTTTCTTTTCCTTCTTTGATTGCAATGTTTCATCCAAAATAATGAACCAAAATGTGTAAAAATTACTATAAACTTTATCTTTGCTAAAATTGGTCAATTTTTTTTTTTTTTTTTTTTTTTTTTTTTTTTTTTTTTTTTTTTTTTTTTTTTTTTGTATAATTCAACTATACATTAATTGTGAAAAATTTAATGAGAAACATAATTATTTTTTTGCTCCTTTGTTTTAAAAACTTTATACCTTAATAGCGACCTATTTATTTTTTTCAGAGAGTTATGGGATGGGGATTTTTTATTCTGCTGAGGCATTTCTTAAGGGTAGATGGTGTTGCCCTTTGTGCTACAGATACTCGCATATGTCATGATTTTTCTACTCAGTTTGTTACTGTTGAACATTCCTCACGTCAAGGAAGTATTCCAGAACTCAGGGTATTAATTTTATCTAATTATCTATCTAAATTAATGCATTAAGCGTCATTTGAGGAAAAGAAAATTTAATTTGTAACTATTTTTTAGTTGCCGCTTTCTGTTATAAAGGAACCTGATGAAGTCTCTCCACTTTTGCCTCTTATTAGCTCAAGTATTAACAAATACACACTGCCAAACTTATAACAATGAATGCTTTGTCATATATGTATATATTTTCTACTAACTATGATTCTTTGTATTTCTTTTGATATTATGTAGTAATTTTAATAACTTCAGTTGTATCTTCTTTTTTTTTCATTGTCCTTATATGTTAAGAACTGTTTTATTATTGATACAAATTAGTGAATAAATTATATTAATTTATGAAAATGGCTATAATTAAGGCTGTTATTCATGTTTTCTAATTTATATTGATTCCAATATCTATCAGTTTATTTTATGATTAGTATATATTATTTCAATAAATTTATATTGCATTTTAATTACTGTTGATTAATTTTTTTTTTAAATATTTGTGAACAGAAATTTTTTATTCGTATTTGTACATTCAAAGAGATGGATGAAAAAAAAAAACATTCATTAGACTATAGATTTAGAGATTCCACAGTCCCAAGAAAAGGTTCTTGAGTTACGGGTACCAAACACTATTTGGCCATTCTCTTATTGGAAGATATCCTCATACAGTATGGCCTCTCACCTACATAAAAAAGGTTCTTACCCTAAGTTTTCTTGCAGAAAATTATTTGCTCCTCCTGTGAAGAGCCCGAATTTTCATGCCAGAGGGAATGGAAGTGCTTAATTGGGTGATTTGTGCTTAGTTTTTGTATGTGAGGATCTGTCAGTACCGTTACTTATGTATGCTCATATCTAGTTATTGCTTTTCTATTGACATAAATGTTCTTTTTTTTCCTGGGTTCCATCATGAAGGTAAAGGCATAACATTGGATGCATCTTGGCTCAATTATAATTTATCTTTATAATTTTAATTTATTTATAATTTTTCTTTGGGGCTCCTTGAAGGGGCACCAAACCAACCATGGCAATAAAAATTATATAAAACAATTATCTGGTAGGCACCCAGAAGTGGCCAACCAAACAACATACTACAGTAATAAAAAATACAAAACAATTATTATTGGAGCCTTACTTACCAAGGTGCTAAAAATGTATAAAAAGAATGATTTTTGGAACCCCCTGGCTCTGTGACCCTCGGCAATCGCCGACCTAGTCAGACCTGGCCTGATGCTATTCCCCTTTTTAAAATATTAAAAAAATCAAGCCGCAACATAACAATATTTGTTGATATTTTAGTACATTTGAAAATGCTATATGTATCGATATTATTTATAGGATATTTACATCCGTTAATTGTACATCACTAACCTCCTTAACAAAAGAAGTTTTCTGCCTCTACAATTATCACCAACTTAAGAACTCCCTTGGGTATAGGGCACATTTGGCCCATGTTCCAAGCTTCTGGTATTCTTTCCTGGTTACATAATTTCTGGGTTAGCTAAATTGGATCTTAGGTCTTCATTCACATTTTTAAATACATCTCTTTAAGTAGACTATCCACCATTTTGTACTAAGGCCTTTTTTTATACCAGCAGTTATTTCCACGCCAAGAATATTTTTATTATTCTATTCCATTGAAGTTATTTTGAATTCGAATCCACATCTCTTTTGGATCGAGGTCCTCAGCGGGGTTCATTTTTTCTTTGTTTCTGGATTTCTTTTGATTGAGAAGCTACTGGAAATGTTTTTTTCCAAATTCTCAGTATCTTTTCTTTTGAATCCGTCAATTTAACATATTTATCTCTCATTCACATCTTTCACGCTTCATGTGATACATTTCCTGATGTCGGGGGGAGGAGGGAGAGGGTAGAAATCGCATATATTTGTTCCAGCTTGCCAGTTGTCTTCAACGGTTTATACAGCCTTCTTTGATAAATTCTTTTACTTGTCTTTTTCTTGGTGGCTGTGTCTGTAAATGAGATAGAAAATATCTTTATTATTTGGGACAATGTCCCTTTAGAACAAAATTAAATGAATTTCAGATAGTAAACTAAACAATGTGGCCATACTGTTTTTATTTTATATGTAAATTCGTAGAATATTATATTCTATAATGATAGTAATTAGGTAATTTTAGACTGTTTTATATTTTTTAGTAGATCAGGATTTTTACTAATGACATTCTGTATAATTTATACTATTTTATTTCCACAGTAGCTTTCGTTATCCGTGCACCATATTCATCTCTATAATTACAACACATCACTAATCAATAACATTAACAATTCATATATTAAATAATTTCTAATTGTCATGTTACTATTATCATATCATGGCATACCTTTTTATAATTAAAAACCAGAAGATTAGAGCAGTGTTTTTGTTATTCATCTCATATTATATCTGAAATGATTTTAGGTTGAAATTGGTGATTAATTAAATAAAATTGTATTTACTGATGTCCCAGATAACAGGACTCCTCTTTGTCCAACACCATCTTACTAAATGCTGAGTATTTACTGTCAGCAGCCTCTATATTTCACAACTATTTAGTTAGCAACTAAAGTTATCCAACTTTATTTTATTTGCTATTATATAAGTCATCAACATTGAATGATGACTCAGAAACGAAGTTGGATAAGGAGGGTATAGAAGAGATAGAAGAAACAGATATAAAATGTGAATTTAAATTGTCAGGTGAAAGGGAAAGACTAGTGAGGGAATGGATAAGGTAGGTTCACAGAGGAAACGTTTTGGATGGATTAACCATTTAGATTTGGAATCAGGAGCTGATGAGAGGGCTTCATCGAAGTAGGTAGCTTTTGCTCGCTGAATCCTTGTTAATGTGATTTTGCAGAGCACCCTAAATGCTTGATATTTGTCAACACCCGTAGCATTGCGCCTTCGCGCCTTTTTTACAAATTCTTAATTTCCTGATACATCCAAGGTGCAGGCTGGCGAAGGGTAGTAGTTTTAAGGGGGCCATGGATATCAAGGATGGTAAGGAGGTTGGAAGTGAGAATGTCAACCATAGTGTCAAAAGAGGCACAGGAATTCATCATATTCTAATCAAGTAATTCAACATCAGGGAATACTTTTTCATAACTTGAGAGAATTCAGGTTGCGGTATGTAAATGTTCTAGGTTGTATCAGAAGGATTTGGATATTATAAGATATTTGGATCAGGTAATGAGAGGATAGAAAGGAGAATGGTAACTGGAAAGAGGAGAGAAGGTTTTGAGGAGAATCAAAACATAGAATTTCTACTAGAAGGAATTCAACTTGTGAATGATTAGAGGGTGGGGAGCAATCAAGGATTTGGATCTTGTGTACAAACATGACTATTCCAATGCCAGTCTGGCTTACCCAGTCGTGAAAGAGGAGGGTGTAATTAAGCAAGGAGACGGAAGAGAGCGGGATGTAAGATTTATACCATGCTTCAGATACTGCGATGATATGATAAAAAACCTTGAATAAAATACTGCAGGAATTCGTGGTAGTGGGCTGGGAGAGATTGAGAGTTAACATGTCAGGTGATTAGGATGTTAAACATGAAACAGTAAATATTTGATAGGAAGAAACTAAAACAAATAGGAAATACAAAAATATATTTACAATAATTAAAAAGAAGAAAAGAAAAGGTATATAAATAAACAATAAATAAAAAGTATGTTATTAAAAATGTATAAATTAATGAGTGAAAGTAAAAAGATAATTCTATGTGTAGAAGAGAGAATATTCCCTTGCAGCCAATTGTGATAAAAGTTATTTTAATGAAGATGAGGAGTTGACAAATTCTAAGTAGTCAGGTGAATACATTGAGATTCGAGGTCTGTCCGATGGGGATAACTTTATGTCTGTCCTCCTTCTAGCATCGCACCCTACCATGGCGAACCATGTGTATTTAATTTTTCCCCGCAGCTCTCTTCCGCAGAGCAAGCCAGTAGAGGTGCTTGTTTGTAGAAATTATCTCTTCACTAACAATCAGATAAATCCAGTCATTCTCCAGCTAACCGATACCTTACTTAGAGAAGTCCTTATCAACTTAACTTAATGTATATTGGAGATTTAAAATTTTTATGGAGATATGTATATTACTAGCACTCTTGCTCAATCTCCACTGGCTTTAGCTCCAGTGGTTGAGAGAGTAGTGCAAGGATCTCATGGAGTCCTGCTATTCCCTCTATAGTCGGAGGGACAAGCCTGGCATGGAATTACCTCATCTGATCGCAAATAGTGTATATAGGTAAAGAAACCAGTAGAGTTGCACAAATAGTAGTGTAATACGGCCCTAGGCTGCTTCCTATTGCCATTCCAGGAATTCACACACCGGTTGGTTTCTCCATTTGCGACAGTTACATCAGTAGTCAAAATAGAAATAATGTAATTCTTACATCTTCTCAATTAATAAAGAGGTTCAAGTTAGAGTTATTGAAATTGAAGGAAACGTGTCTCAAGGGTTTTTAACAAATTACAAAACAATATAAATTCAAACTATATAGCTTCCATTTTATGGCAATATAATTATGGAAGATAACTAGAACAACCAAGAGGATTAGACCACATAACATGGAGAGGAATTACTTGCCAATTCTATTATCTATTTCTACTATTCTATTCTATTATGTTTTTTTAATTTACATATATTGAAGTTATTTAATTTTTATTTATTTTATATACTTTTTGATTATTATTCAGTTGTTATATTGCTTCTGTTTATTTTAAATACATATAGTGGGAATGGAGTCTTACCTCACTATAATTATTGTCCATGTAACAGAATTATGTATTACTCAATAAATAAATTTTTAAAAAAGTTTTGTGTACTCCAAAATTTAGGTTATTTTTTTTAATTTATACTTATATTGATATGTGATGTTTAAAACTTCTAAATTATTGTAATTTTACTTATATTAGCAATGGGAATACAACAATGTATACATGTAGAATTTTATTGCTTTCCCGTTTCTTTTGATAAATCTAGTTTTTCTGTAGTACTGGTGTCTTTAGTTTCTAATCTTTCTACTATATTGGTATCTATTGACGCATCTATTGATGCTCTTCTTCCTTCAATAGAAGGTCTTCGTCCTTCAAGTGATGATCTTCGCCCTTCCTGTGACGCTCTCCTTTCTCCTGTAACCTTAAGAGCAACATGGTTTGATGCAGAAGGGTTAACTACTTTGGTTACACCCTTTACAAAATTTTGTTTTAGCATCACATCATCTATGTCATCACTTCGTTGTTCATCTGTTTCTTTTGATATCACTTCTATAATTTTTTTTGCTCTATTAGTCCGCATAATTTTCTTTATGATCTTCTCACGATTTTCGGCATGAAATTGTTTAGCTCTTTCCATTGCTAATTGTTCTGTTGCTGTGAATTCAAGCAAACTTGGTTCTAGAGCAAACCATTCTGAATGGAGTACCTCAGAGAGTGTAGTTCTTTCAAACCAGTTTGGTTCTAACATGGTTGATACCAAGTCAATCACTTCCTTGGATGTTCTGGGAATCACAGATGTTCTAAATCTATACTCTTTGTTCATTTGTGAATTCCACAAGTTCCCAATATTATCAGTTCTAAAGGGCATGATACCATTCAGCATAATATAGAGAACAACTCCTAAAATAAAGTAAATACAAGTTAAGTTTTCACATTATTTTGTTAAGTATATTGTCCATAATATGGTTTTAACTTATTGCAGAATTTTCAGTCCCAATATTACCATTCGAAGTAACCATCATTATTAGTATTTTAATAATTTTGTTTAGAATAAATGTTTTGAAATCTATATTTTAAATCTCTTTATTCATCTTGAACCTGATTTTGCAAATTATCTCTGCATAAGATTTAAAATGCAGAGATCACGCATTGTTTATATATAAAATATATTTGGTCTATATAGATATTGACCTAATCTAATAAATATTATTTATTAGGTTAGATGAAGTTTTGATTTTCTAATAACGATTGCAATAGTTTTTTTTCTTAGAAATATTAATGTAAAGTGAACAACTACTTTCATGAATTATAAAATTATGTTTTAATACTGTGTTACTTGCTAAATCTGTGTATAGAAACTGGTTCAATAAAAGTTTTATTATAGTTTAAATTGATTGTGGTTTATTTATAATAATTGGTAAAAAGTTTTATGTTTTTAGTCGAACAATTAAAGCTTGTGTATTGAATGCATTAATTATGCATTGGTATATTCTGCCATTACCATCAATATCGTGTTCTAAAAATTATATAAAACCTTTGAGTACTAAATAAAAAATTAAGAAATTAGACTTTGAATAGGTTTACAACTTAAGGGACAACCTATTAGTGAGCATACCACCTTTTGTCATTTAAATGTAATCATACGACTTCATCTACATGATGAAGAAAGATGAAAAACTGTTAATAATTTAATGTTTATACAGTAAAATGAAAGTATTGCAATAGTAATCGTATTACCTATATCAAGCATGCCGAGTTTAAAATACTTTTTCATTCTTAAGTGAACTGTCCCTTTTTTTTCTAAATACTGAAATGAAGAATGACAAAAATTTAATTGGTCAATCGCGTGGTTGGGGCTCAACCAGGGCGGATACAAAAATAAAAACCTAATATAAATGGAAAATACGATATTTCTATCCACATTTCACTTCATTAATTCATTCCTTTTCACTTGTGCTCATGAAAATTATATTGATTAATAATACCTTACTCTTATTGGGACAAGAAGTTTGCATAAGAAAATAATCACTATAGATTAAGGATATTCTGGGTTCAGTTGTTAAAATCAAGGTAGGTAAGATAGGGATTTTAAACTCAATTTACTCAAACTCAGAATCATTGTACTGAGATTTAATTGGATCCATTACTGAAGGAAGTTTACAAATTTTTGGTTTCATAATTTCTAATGTTGACCATGAATAAGATTATAAAATGACTAGGAGTGATCAGAAGAGAATTTTATGACGCAAAGTGCACCACCAAAAGTTTTGAGAGGATTAAATTTTCAGAATGAAAAGTTTCAAACCAGAGGACAAAGGGAAACATGGAACAGCCCACATCTAATGTAATTGTATTTAATATTTTTAATTCTTCTTTCAACTGTGCTTAAGAAGAGGAAAGCAATATCATGGGAGGAGAGAAGAGAGAAGATTCATTCGCCCTCGACCTTCGGGTAGGATAGGCATCCCGGGAAATGACGGATACATGTTGGATCCCAATGCAAAAGAATTATGTCCTGATCCTGATGAAACTTGAAGCATAATATCCTACTAATGTCACTTAACTTTGCAGGCATTATAGACCACCGATAAATATATATATATATAATTTTTTATTTCTAACTTCAGTACCAGAAAAATTAATTAGAGGTTCAAAATTCATCTGCAATTGATGGAAATGCACAGGTATATCTTGATCTGATAAGTATAATTCGCAAACATAAGAAAATTAGCCAAAAATCCATCATCTTTATAGATTCAATCTATCCATCTGGTTTTTGACCTCCTACATAATCTCTAGCGAACTATTGACATATTCATTATTCTTTGCAGGCTCCCTTTATGGGTAGCTCAGATCTACCTTAACCAACTTCCCAAGAACATTCATATCAGTCATGGTCTTTCTAAGACAGTGAACATCCTGAGCTACTTCCCATCATTTACAATCAATATCTAGTCTCGTCTTTTATATCCAAACTGGCAGCAGATTTTTTCAAAGATATTTGAATTTAAAAAATCTTATCTGTTCAGATTCTGCTCTAGTGACTCCAAAGGAACAAGAAAGGAATCAGAAAAGGAGGAATTTCTTAGCTTCACCTGTGGTGGCATGATGTTTGGAAGGGGAAGTAAATTTGTTGGATAGATGTTCACCAGATTCTTCTACTCTATTTTCATTTGACGAAGTCCAAGAGACATCTGCATTTAGGTAGGAGTGGGAAATAAAGTTGTATTAAAGGATCTTTTTAGTTAATTTCCAGAGAGAGTTATCACAAGAAGATGGTGAGAAAATGTAGGAATTGATGCATTAGGGTCTGAAGGTATCCAATTTCTTTTTTATCTGTTTAGAATAGTATTTATACTACCTCTGATCAATAGGATACCTAGTTCTTATCTAAAGAGTCTTCCTTGGAGCATAGTTTGGAATAGATTAGTTCTAGGAGCAAAATATTCTTATCACTGTATTTCTGGAATGGAAGAAGCAAGAATGTAGTCCAAACTGCTTGTTGGTCTTGAGGATTTTTTTTTCTGAGATATATTGTATTGGCCTTTATTTGGCGAAAGAAGTTACAATTTATTGATCTCCTGATTAATGAAGGTAGAACTGACTAATTTAGACATCTGTAGATGAAAAAATTGTGGTCAGAACTATCCTTGGGATCAGTTGGCCAATAAGTAGAAGTATCGGGGATAAATATTTAAGTTGCTACTCTGAGAAATAAATGCCCTCAGTAATGTTCGTATATTTTGCACTTGATAATATAATGGCAGATAATACAAAAATACATCTAAATTCAATAAATATGTTTTAATTGTGGGACAACATTTAATGATATGATATTTTTTTTTTTTTAAGCCTTGCTTATTTGGAAGAGAGCTAGAAGTGCTATTAATAGGAAAGTATATTCGCTCATAGAAAATTAAAATCCTTGGTAGAGTAAATTTACTAATTTAACTTAAATTTGCAATGGAATGGAGCTAATTTCTTGTTTTCATAAAAAAAAATAATTATTTCAGAAAAAATCGATCCTTAACAATTTGAATTATGAAAAAATATCTTTAAAAGTCTAATGGAGTTGAAACTATCCACTAAGTAACATACTATTTATTCAGGAGCAATTTATATTCAATGACAAAGAAAAGTAAATAAAATTTATAAAATATTTTATTAATCATTTTAACATTTTGCTAACTTTTTTTCCCCCTTTTTCTGAAATATGCAGGACACGTTAATCTACTCTGTTTTCCCACTTCCTCCCACACCTTTCTTTTGTTTTGGTATCGATCCTGAAATATCCAATTAGATACTTCTGTTATGTAATTTTCATTGTCTTGTTTAAAATACATTATTTTTCATGATACAATTTCAAACTATGTTGGAGGGTACAGATCAGGTGAGAATGAAATTCCAGCAGAACGTAAAATAGATTCCTTTTGGACCAATTCTAATTTGTTAGTCTTATTAGATTTAAAGATTTTTTTTATCATTTTTATATTGGCATCTGGTTTAATATTGGTGTGCTGGAGTGCCGCCTCTTCCATTTCTGTAAAATCTATAATACTTGGTTCTGTAGCAAACCATTCAGATTTAAGTACATGTTTAATTGTAGCTCGTGCTACCCAGTTTGGCTCTAACATTTTAGAAACAAGAGAAATAACTTCCTTTGATAATGTAGGTATTACTGCTGTTCTGAATCTATAAGTTTTGGAGATTTGGAGAGACCATATTTTACCAAGATTTTCTGTTCTAAATGGCATTACAGCATTCAGCATTATATATAGTACAACTCCTAAAATGAAGTTTATCAAAATTAAATGCTAAAAATTATCATGTTATTATTTCTACCCTTAACTTTATAACTTTTTAAAAATTACTGATGTTCGCCCAATGGTCGAAATTTGGCCATAATATTAAAAATTTGAGGAAAACATAAATGAATTTGAATGTTTCTGACTTTTTTTTTTCATACTCATACATACACTTTTATGTGTATTTGCAGCACAAAACACTGCAAGGTCATATTTGGATAAAATCAAAATTTATCATAAAGGATTAGCATCAATAGAAAATCACAATATATGTAGAGCACATAAAATAATTATAGATTTTATTTTACAATTTTAAAAAAAAAATTGTCTATAAATAAATAAATTTATAAGATTATCTTACCTAATGACCATACATCTGAATACGTTGGAACATATGGTGTCCCTTTAATTAGTTCAGGGGCAGCGTAAGCTACTGATCCACAAAATGTTGTACTAAAGACAGCTTTTCCTTTGCTATCCGCGCAAAATCTGGCAAAACCAAAATCACATATTTTTACATTAAGGCTGGATGTTATGAGGATGTTCTCACATTTAATATCCCTGTGAGCAATGTTAATGCTGTGTAGGTAATCCACACCCACTGCTAGCTGTCTGAACCAAAGCCTGGCTTGCTTTTCTCTTAATCCTCCATAATTCGTTATATAATCACAAAGATTTCCATATTCTGCATTTCTATAAGAAAATAGATTAATTTCTAATATAATTTAAATGTCAGCTGGGTTAGATGTTTGGGTCATTACGATTTAATAACTCAATTTGCTGTCTGCAGAATTTTAAACCAAACTAAATAACCAATTACAGCAATACGGGAAAAATAAAGGTAGCTACATGTTCCAAATTCGATTATCAATCGACATCCTTTATTAAGAAATTAGTTTAAATAAATTTAAGAACATTGAATTTCGTCCTTAGTGCACTTTTCAGATATCTTAACGAAAGTTGTTTTCAATAACACTCATATGTATAAATAACAACCTGTTCATATTAGAGATAAATGTTTGAAATTTTGCCATGCTCCTTTCAATCAACTCGGTGTGTATATAAGTATTGGAACACCTAGTCCAATTAAAAAATCCTGCAAATTATTTCACAATGGTTTATTATTTCCAAACAATTATACATCTAAAGTAACATTTTTTATTCCATCAGTAATTTGCTTAAAAAATAGTATTACGTCAGTAACACTTTCAAAAATCAAAGACCTTAACAAAGGATAAAACCTTTACAGTAAAATATACAAAAAATATCTCCAGACTATATATTTTCTTCAAATTGTATGATTTTAACAATTTTGTTTTTATTTTTTAGGAAATTTCGTAAACTTTTAAAAAACAATATGCAATATTAACAAACTAATATATACTTTCTGAGTTATTCGGAAATTTAATTTTACCATCCTCTCTTTACTTTTTTCCAGCTTCTTTTCGTTGAAGTATGTTATATAGATAAATTTAAAGGGCATAGAGAAGAAGACTTAAGTCAGATTTCATTGCAATCTGTACTATGCTATAGACTGTAGGTTTTTCGGCCGCATTCTTGAAAGGAAAGGGCGGATAGTAATGGCAATGTACCAGGATCATCCTCGGGTGACCAATGCCTTTAAATTAAAATTTTAATAAAATCGGTCTAGTAGTTTCGGAGAAGATGCGCGGGCGGACATAAAAGTATCTTGTTGTAGTCTTCTTACGCACATTCTGTCTGAGGAAGCGCATATAGCTTTGACGATGTCGTTCATCCTCTGGTTGGTTCAAACCATAGTTCCAGTGTCAAGCTACCATCATAGCGTCATCCCTTCGTTGCCAAACCGGCGATGTCTCCCACTTAAATTCGGATAAAATTTTATTTACAATTCAATAATATAAAATTAAGTATTATTGACATGATTAACTATACATAACCTTCTACGACTTTATTTATAAAATAAAAAAAAAGACATTTTAGAGGAAGGAATTTTGAAAACTGTGCGGATATGCCCTGTCGGACTATTTCAAGGCTATACCTACATGATATTAAAGACTATGTTATTTCACATCGATATTACGAATTTAATCCATATTTAAAACTCTTTTCGAGAATATTTAAGACATTCGTAAAATCTATGACCATTTCCGATAAGTTTGTTGTAAAATCCCATTCTCTTGCTGTATATTTCATATAGCAGTTAAGTGAAAGTCAAAATTAAATTTATAAAAATATTTCCTTCTAGTGATGGATATAAATTATCAAAAATCTCATAAATAGACGTAAATTAAATGTAAGTAGCACTAGCGGATCCAGGATTTGATTTTGGGGGAGCTTCAGCAGGAAAGCTTTTTTTTCATAAAAATAACGATAATTTGGAAAAATAGAAAGAAACTAACTACCTATATGAAATGGCGTTTAAGTGATTCCTTAAGTCCTTTTAAATGTAATTACACAAACAATAATATTTTAAGAGGTATTTTTTTAAATTTTGTTTTCCATAAAACAAGGTTATATTTTACTATTGGGGGGCTTTTGGGCTGAAGCCCCTCCCCCCGTAGATCCGCCCGTGGTAAGTAGTAATTGTAAAATCCAACCTTGTGTCTCTGACATACAAATAAAAACAAACTAATCTATCAACATTTCGAGAATTCAGGCATCATCAGGTGACCAATTCCTTCCCCTCCGAATGGCGCATAAATGTACCTCCTCCCAAGAAATTTTATTATTCTCCTCTTCTTTCATCGCAAACGAAAGCGGAATAAGAAAAATTGTGGATCATGTACTATCAAATTTGCTGAGAACTGATGTCGACGTTAATTCGTTTGTCACCTGGATTCAAACTTTTCATTCCGAAAATTCATATCCCCTTCCAAATTTAACTCCTCAAACATTCAAAACCCCGTCAAAATGTACTTGCTCCCTCAAAAATTTTGATGGCACAACTTGCGCGATGAAACCTCTTTCTAGGCAGCCCTGCATATAGATAAAATACATGTCTTTCATAAACAATTACAGGTGCCGGCGCTGAAGGGGAGACCATAGACCCTTTCTGCCTCCCACTCAATATTTTATAAAAAGAGACAAGCTCCTTCCTTAATATTTTGCAGTCATTAACTAGTTTGCCCTTACGAATAATTCGCATAGTCTATTGGTCAGTGAAAAATCTACAATAAAATATGGAAATAAGTAAATTCAATGCATGATTAGAGGGTGGAATTATTTAATTTTTTTAATCCTTAATCGATTATAACTGTTCGTTCCAAATAATAAACCAAAATGTGTTTATTAAGTATAATAAAAATAAAAGCATCTTAGCTAAATATGGTCCGATTTGGATAATTTGTATTCGATTTTAGGGAATTAGAAAACTCCATATACCACTAATGGTTAAGTTATGCCCAGATAAAGTTTCCATTCCTTCTTAACTTTTTTCCTGATTTATCTGTATCGTTGCTCAATAATCATTGGATTTGATAAAAAAATTGGCTAAAATATGGTATTCCGACAAAATAACACTTATGAAAAATATATATTGTATTATAATGTAGGTGACAAACTGATAACTAATCTACTCCTTTATGTAGGCGCTCTATCCCTCCTCACGCTAATCTTCGCCCCCAATATTTCCTCATGTATTCCATATATCATCAGTCCAAAAATGTAAACACCTAGTGTTTGTTTTGATGTCATGGATTGTCTCTAGTTTATCTGCATTATTTTTTTTTACTCTTGATGAGCGATGTGTTGTCTTTTTAAAAAAATTTTGATTTAGGTGGTTTCTGTCCTGATGATGCCCGAATGCGAAAGATTAACTAGCTGGTTTGTTTTTACCTACAAGAAACACAAATCCGATTGCTTAGAATTTGAAATTATTACCCAACTGCTAAACTTAATACCTCATGAAAACGAGAATTTTCGTGTTGAGGTGCAATATGCTATGTGTATGAATTATATGAGGATGACTGATTTGAGCAATTATGTCCAGTTCTCTCAATAAAAATTTTTGAACGAAATCTTTGGGCGCTTGCTCTGTTTCCATTACTTTGCATGCCAGCTTCAATGATACGTTCTGTAATTTTAACAAATATATTAAAAAATAAATATATAATTATGGCCTAGAAGTGAGGAAAGTGGTTAAAAAAGTTCATGAAAAAAAATAATAAAATGAATCATTTAGCGCTTTAAAAATGCACTAATGAGACCCGTCTTGATTTTATTTTTGTATTTTTCTACTTGCTGAAAATATTTAAATCTTGAATACTTTGTCCTATGTAAAATATGAATTTTGAAAAATCGTTTACGACGATTTTCGATGTTAATATTGACAAGACTCACAGGCAGTGGGTCACATATCTTAACCTTTTTTTGTGTGTTTCTCCATCGAAAAATACTGACGTGTGTCGTTGCAATATATCTATAGTAAAAGATAAAAAAATATTATATATAATTTCAAAAGGATTTTATATTATTTTTTCTCTCTTTCTATCTGGTTTGTCCGGAATTCAGGTTATTATACCAACAGGTATCTTTATGTGTAGAGTAAGAAAAAAAATTGCAATCATATTATATGAGTTATAATGTTTCATAAATTACAAACATCAAAAGGTGCTTCTAGTGATGTAGGTCTAGTCAATAATAAATCGCTTTCAGTGCGCTTTAAAACTCTTCAATACGAATTTTTATAGAAATCAAAAATTACCAATTTTAGCACTTCATTTACCTAGAAGATTTTCATATATATCCAGATTTTTTCCGGCCTTCAAATAAAACATGCATTATTTCTCAAAATTGTCTTCGAATTCAAAGTTAATACAACCGTTTAAAAGCAGAATTACGACTCTTCCAACCCATGTGAATAACTGGTTTTATTCCTTTGTCAGGTAGAAATAAAGAAAAGCTTTGTACGATATAAATTACTCCATGTGTATTATTATATGCACAAAAAAGATTTTTTGTAAAACTGGCGATTTTTTATGTGAGAAAAAATGAAATTTTAAAAAGTAAGTAGTGAAAATGACTAAAATAAGGCCGAAACGCTACAAATAAATAAAATGTGTTATTTAATAAAACTTTTATATAAGAAGAAAATGAATGAATATTTAAAACTGGTGATTTTTAAAACAATTATATGTTGAAAATATATACAATAGATTTAAATTGTATATACAATATATAATATATATACAATACCTTTTGAACAGCATTTTCATCGGTCATTGTTCCTTCATAATTTGCCAAGTACACTAATGAACAAGAACCTTCATTCATGACAGTTTGCATTTTATACCCTCGCTCAGCTAATGTTGCTTTTTCTTCATCAGTTAATTTACAATTCAAGATTTTGGTGCTGATATCCGTCTGAGGACAGATGATATACAATGGCAAATATTTAATGAAAATCTTTAGAAAGAACTTTAATTAGTCATAAATTAAGGAAATTATTATAAGCTGAGCCAGCTTGATCAATAACGATTATAATAAATAAAAAATCTGGTGTGTGCATCACACGATTTTCACTTACCACCCTCTTCTTAGCATAAATAAGTATTTTCAGAAAAGGGGAAGTGAAAGTAAAATTATAGACGCTATATTTATTTTCACTTCATTGTGGGTATTTTTATTTGTTTAAATACCCTTCTATAGACAAAATGTAAATTTTAATTTTTACAATTAAATATTAAGTAATAGCAACGATAGGATATATGAAAACTGCATACGTATATGTACATAAAATATTGTCGGAGTTCGTATTATATTAAGCTCATATTACATATGGAATCCTGTTATAATATTTCGGATGAGCTCGACGGTTCTTCCATTACAACTATTATCCTTCACCATCTCTTATTTATCCTTAAGTTAATTATCAAATTCTTTCATATTTTATATTTAACTGGTTTTTGTATGAAATATTAATGTGAAATGGTTAATTACTTCAAATATATAAAATTAAAGGTACTTTATATGAAGCAAATATTGAAAATTAACCATCTATGCCCTGTTAGAGAACATCAATGAAAATAAAATCTACATTATATTAAAAAGTGCTTAATAATACACTGATATACTGAGTTTAATCGAAAACGTTAGAGCCATTTTTGAGAAAATCGTAAAAATGTGTTAAATCGATTGTATAAAGTACCATTTTCGGTTTGCCGATTTTGACGACAATTTTGCTGTAACATCTGAGACTTATAAAAACCTTAAATATGCAATTTCACTTTCATACGACTTTACGTTTTTAAGCTAGACTGACCACATACCATTTTGCGGGACTTTGTTATTTGGACTAAGGAGACCTCAAAACATGTATTTCCGTTGAAAACTCAGATTCGAAAATTTTTACGATCGCAATACATACCCTTACTATATATTGCATACATAGATAAGAGAAAGTAAAAAGGTTGTGAGTATGTTAGTTTATATATCCCAATAGCTTCTATGATATAGCTAATGATTTATTATACTTAAATTTTTATCTATCTATGAAACTAATTCCATTAACAATAAAGGTGACATATTAATATGCATTAACTATAGAGGTATATTTCCCCTTCCATGCGGATACAAAATCCTGTCTTATAGATATCGATGTGGATTTCGTGAGAAAAAGTGGACTATCGAGCACATCTTCACGCTGAAAATTTCAATGGAGAAAACAAGAGAGTTTCAGATCCAAACTCATCATCTGTTCGTAGATTTTAAACAAGCATACGACTCGGTGAACAGAAAAGAAGCATGACGGGCATTGCTAGAACTAAAGATCCCTCCTAACCTGATTCGTTTAGTGAAAATTACGATGGAGAATAATATATGCTTTGTTAGGAAATCTGGAAAACTTTCAAGAAGTTTTAGAACGAAATCAGAGATTAGACAAGAGGGTAGCCTTGCCTGTCTGGTATTCAGATTTCCGCTTGTAAAATTTATTAGAGGATCAGGGATCCAACCAGAAGGAACTATACTAAACAAATCAACCCAAGTTTTGGGATTTGGGGATACCTTTGACCTTGCAGGAAGACCCCTTAATGCAGTGAAGGAGACTTGAGGCACTGGAAAAATCAGCCATAAACTTGGGCCTAAGGATTAATTTTGGTAAAACCAAATAGATGAGTACCTACCTACCATCTTTCTGTGCAATGAAAAATCTTTGTCATAATAAGACCGCGCAGAATTAAAAGGATACAATAGGGTGTGCCCTCGATAGTGTAAAGCACAGGCCGGTGATCCGATGATCCATACGGAAGCGCTTGGCAATCCGTGATGGTGTGTAGATCCCTGGTTAGTAGCAGGTCCAGCGTTGAAGTCCAATCAGGTCGGGCTGAATGCCGGAAAGTGTGTAAACCCCAGTGGATTGTCTCTACCACACAGCCAGGAAGAGTGCCGAGCATTGAAGACCCCGAGGACTACATGCCGACTCGTCGCCTGTGCGCGTTGTAGCTGTAACTTGGCAGATATAAGTCCAGCCCTAGGTCTCCTATAGACACAGGTGAACGTGAATCGAAGTCTTACGTCAACTGTGACCAAGTGAGTTCCCTTGGTTCGTTCCACTGGGTTCTGAACAGCTTTCGACCTTCGGAACCTGGCTTCCCGGGACTACAACACCGCCTTTCTCAATCTCGTTGGGACTGGTAGGATGTAAAAGAAAAAAATAATAACTTATGTATGTATCACTACAACATTCAGTGGAATCGACTCAATATTACTTGAAAATAATATCAAATTCAAGTCTATCAAGCCCGTTTTTTCGGATACCCACAGGTTACCATAAAGACCAAAATTTACCCAAAATCGGATATCAATACCCGCATTAGCAGCACTAGTAGAAACAGAAGTAAGTTCGCGGCGAAATTTCACGAAGCGGAGTAGTTTTCTATATCACGACATTCATGATCGGGCTATGTTCCTTTGACAAATTGATTTTAGACAATACTATTTAGTTAACAGTCGTATTAGCCTAATTCATTTTTCCAGTTGTAAAATTAAAGAATTAATCTAACAGCCCCATTATCTTCTGTGCGTTTCTCTCTCTAAAACTTCACAACAGAATCTATCGTATCTAACCTATAACAAATATTTCATAATTACTCATTGTCACTCTTAATTTAATCATTATGTTTAAATTAAAGTTTGACTTTAATTTCAGTATTTGACGAAATATGATAATAGCATTATCAAGTAATCTGGATTGGATTAATGCAGCAAGTTAAGCCTACCGAAATTTTTTCGCTCGATAATTGTTTGAAACATAACCTGTTGTGTGTGGAGAGGAAATAGCCTTATTAGAATAGCCTTTGTTTCTACAGTAGTTTTCTTCAAAACAACGACTTACTACTAAAACTAAGTGGTTTCAAAAATATTTACATCTTCAGCTTTGACTGCCATGAGTAATTGTATATTTGCTGCCCCTTTGTGATGATATTATGGAGCAATGGCAAAATTTCTTAAAGCTCTGCTACTGCTTTTCCTCCTTAACTTCATATTTCTATTCACTCTCACTTTTTTATTTTTCATGCTTATTTATTTATTTTGGAAACGGGAAACAACCAAAGACATTAATTGTATTCTTAAAGATAACTACTTATTATGTTTCACCACATGTCCTATAAAGACTAATATTTAAATAGATCTCACGGGTCATGTGATCTTATGAAAAAAATATAATTTTAATTAATCCGTTTGCTGGTGACAGACACTCTTGCAAATAAACTTTCGTCCTCTTCAAACGTATTCTTTATGTGAAGATCGACTGTGTTGTTGCTAACCACACTTGACACACCGCGGTAAATGATGACAATGGTGCCCATGGGCTTGGACAGTTATGGCACTTTACTATTTCATTGAAGCCGAGGCGATCGCACTAATTTAAATAAGCTGATTAATGAGAAAGTTGTGCGATGCACGACACATCTCATTTTTCATGTATAGTTAATTCTCAGATAATTGACAAATATGATGTCTCCAGTCTACCAGATGCTAAGTAATGCATTGGTAATAAAAAAAATCACTATCTTATCAGTTAAGCCATAACGATTATTGAAAATAAAAATGTAATTAAAAAGTAGCTTTTATAACTGCGTGGTCTACTTCACTCAGCGTTTGGTATTGTTTCATCACTTTATATTCACACCAACATCACTTTCATTGTTTTATATATATATATATATATATATATATATATATTGAAAATACGGCATTATTGCAAAGCTTTAATTCATTTTTTCCATGACCTAGGTTGTATTATAATAAATATAGCGGCATAAATACACATTTTATTTACAAATTAAAAATAATGATTTTTGGAATATTTATCATCTAAAATGGTAATGAGACCTGTTTTTTTTTTCATTAAAATCTCTATTATAAAAATTGACCCCTTTCTATAAGTGATCTACTGAATATTTCCAATCTTAATATTTTCGTTTTAAATATAGCAACCTGCTTATAGCATGATTATTTTCCAAAATGTCCACGCCACTGGGCAATTGTCTAGCTCTATAAATGACAGTTGTTTTTTTTTTCCAAATTTCTTCCTTTAAAGTATTTCTGGTTTATTTTTTTTTAATTTATTGACCGTTTCACATTATAATTTGGAATACATAATGGTTCAATATAAACTATTAAGAAGTACCGAAAATATTTTATGGTAATTAATTAACTATTATAATTAAATATATAACTAAATTTTGGTTGTAAAAGAAAATAGTTAATGTCAAAAAAACAAAAATATAATGAAATAGACTGCTGTATTGTAGCATCTGTAATTTATACTTTCACTTCTTTTTTTCTAAATATACCTTTTTCTGCTAAAAGAAGGGTGGTGTGTAAAAGTTGTGTGATGTCTATACCTCATCAGATTATTTACTCTCAAAATTTGAGTTTTTGTACATCAAAAATCGAACAAAATAAACTTTGTTATATTTTTTTGAGAGTTCTCGGTTAATATTTTTTAGTGTGGTGCCAAAGTAACACAAAACAGAATGATCATATGGATTCGGTAATACATCAGATATGTTCTTTGACATTATTATGACATATAATTACATGTTTCAACATCACTCTCCAAATTGTTTTTAGATTTGGTACTCTAGTCCAAGATCACCACCTCAAGACATTCCACATAACTCGAGACAATGACATTACCATCTGTCATTTTGTTTTTAGAACTTGATAAATTATTCTGTTTTCATTGTTAAGACATCAAAGTACCGTGTTCCTAAAGAGAAGTATTTTTTTGGGGGGGGGAGATTTCAGACCATGTTGATCTTTTGCCGCCTTAACAAGCCTGCCCCATCTCTGCCCCTCTTTGGCTATTTCTATTCATTTATCTGCACTCAGCTCTATTACATCTTTGTTGATTCTATCTACCCATCTGCCATCCATTTTGTCCTTCCATGTGGTCTTTTGCCTTATAATGAGGGATTTATTGTAACATTGAGGCTTCCAGATGGATTGCTATGAGCTGCATGCCCCGCCCATCTTAACCTCCGTGTCTTCATATTATGGGATGTAGATTGACTACTTTCTGTAAGCAGTTCTTTATTGGTCTTTCTTCTCCATGTTTTATTACTCTAATCCCAATTCACTCCGTTCATTGTGCAGAGGATTTTTCTCTCGAATCTTTCAATACTTTTTTTCTGATGTGCTGGTTAGTGTCCAGGTCTCATAGCCTTATATTTGAACTGGCTTTATCATATCATTGTACACCCTTAATTTGAGACTTTTCTGGATTTCAATACCTGAAAGAAGAAGAAAGCTCTTTTTTCGCTAGTTATACGCTGATCTATTTTTGCCAGTTGGTCATTCATTGAGGTTATTGTGAAGCCGAGGTATTTGAAGTTTTCTATTCTTGGGAATGATTTTCTTTCTAAGCAGATCCTGTTATTGGGACGGAATTTTCAGCTTATTATCATATATTTAAGAGAAGTATTAAGGCAAATAAAAATTAAAAATAGCAAAAATATACATTTTTAATACAAATACTAATCTACATTATTGCTCTTAGAATTTAATAAATTATACAATTTAATATAAAAGTTTATTACAATTAAAATTAAATGTCTTTGAATCAATTTTCTGTATAAACAATCTTTTTAGCAACCCTCTCTCCCAAATGGGTGCTCTGGTTGTAAGCTTCACATAGAGAGAAATGTTCTCCTCAATGTGGTGCTTTTAATTTTTTTTATTTTGGCCAGGCATCTTTCAGATCATTTTAATAAACTGATTATTATCAAATTCAGGGTCAGAATCTTTTACTTTTCAACCTCCAAATTGCAGTAAAACTTGAGACTTACAAATTAATCGTAGGATTTTCCAATATTATTTAGTTAACATAAATACCTTAAGGTAATCAAGCTTTTAATACTAAAAGATTGTTAAGAAATCACATCTGCCCCGGAAGAAATCAAATCAACTAAACACTCCCGGTAAATATACATTTACCAATTAGTTGTGATAATTGTTCATTTGAATTCACTTAATTTCAACAAGAGGTATGTCGACTTACTTTCAATGTGAATAGACTATATTTTGTAAAAAGTAAGTCAACTTTGTAGAAGATGACAAGTAATATAATGCATATGCAGTATATGTTGAAGAGAAGAAGCAAGATGATAATTTTTGTCACAGTATTATCACAATTTCAAAATATTCAACGATTATATAAGAAAAAGACATGGTTAATTTGTTTTTCCTTATTTTCTGATTTAATTGCAAAATAATGTAATTCTATACGTTAAAAAATAAAAACTTTTCTTAAAAAATAAAATAAAAAGAAATATTGTTCACAATTTTTATTTCCATTATCTTTTTCATGAGTACCTAGTAAAAAAAAAATAAAGTAATTTATTCATAATTTTCATTCTTTTCAGCTTCCACTAAACACCTCCTTGCAAGTCTTAAAATTTTCTAGTCTATTTATTATTAAACAATGGATCTGTATTTTCTTAATTCAATACTGTTTTACTTTAACCAAGGCTCCGTAATAATCCTACAATATACTTTAAAACTCCAGGTTTCACTATTTGTTCTGGCACTACACCAATAATTTAGGAAAACCTAATATTTATTTGTAAATCTCAGATTTTACCAATTGTTGGACATTTACAGTATCCTACATAATTATATATATGTGTGTGTGTGAATGCATTCATATATCTAATATTTAACTTATATAATAATTCTATATAAGAAGAATTTCTTTTTATTATACAAGCACCATCTTGATTATTAGCGTTATATAAATAAATTATAAAGATTATTTTTAGTAAAAAAAAAGGGCAAATTAATGGAGGAAAAAACATATTAACTAAAGTATCTTAATATAAACAATAAGACAAAAACAAACAGTAAAAGACATTATCAGAAAAAAAAAAAAGGAGAGAACATAGATAAATAAATAGTAAAAATTAAAATAGATTATATACATACATATTGAGCAATATATATGTATATATTTTACAAATCCTTATTAGAATTACATAGGAAGTCTAACCTACATATAAACTACATTAGTTGGGTTAAATCATAAGTTTGATATGTCTCTAAAAAAAAGGAAGTGATTAGGTTGTGGCATGGCACAATTCTTGAACAATATTTTAATTAAAGTATTACTGATTTTTAGTTTGCCAAACCCCTGTCTGTTAGTTTAATTTAAAGATTACATTTTATATTACTTATACATTAATAATAATGGTACCAAATGCATTAACTTATTGGATTCTTTAATACAAATTAACAAAGAATAATATCAGTAACACAAATTAATGTTATTAGAATGTTACTACAGTAGTAAAATCAAGCTAAGAAAGTACTGATATTCTTAATTATAATTAATAAAATACTAATTACTTACAAAACAAATTCTATCAATTCATAATAATACACTGTTAAAATGTAAATTGACAAATAGGGAAACAATTAAAAATAGCGTACGTCTATTTTTTCAATTAAATTTACATATATATACAAATCCACAATGAAACGAGTAGTCACACTTCTTGAAATAAAGAAATATTATACATCGCATTTCATAAAAATAACTAATAAAACAGCATTTAATGGCAGTATTAAAATTAATTAATCATTTAAAAATTTCATATTTTCATTTAATTTGCTCTCTCTGTTTTTGATCATCTTCTTTCCCTTGAACTGTAAAATAAAAACAATAATGATTAATAATTTAAATTTTACTAACTAAAAAAATAAAAGAGAACATTAGTTATGAAGTCCTAAACAGTTAAATTTATTATATATAAACAGTACCACAAGTAAGGTTTGGTTTAATATTTTAAATAACTAACTTTTATAATAAACCAAGAAAAAAAATTAACCCCCCTCTCTCAAAAGTTGAGGTTTTAAGTTTTAAAGGTGTGTAGAATCCAAAGACCAAATAAAAAAAAATATATTGTCTAGCTGCCAATTACCTAAACCACTGTTTGCATATTTTTCTCCAAGATTAAAAATAAAAAGTACTTAGAAGAACACCTTCTTATATTCATGGTATCAACCAAAAACTTTTTATGTGATTCTCTGACATTTCCGATCATTTAAAAAAAAAATTCAGAACATTGATTTAGTTGTAACAGGACATTATAAATGTACACATGTACTCAATATACCTACACATACAGGGTGTCCCGTAAGTTGAGGGAAAGGTTTAAGAGATGATAGTAGACATCAAGAGCTACAAAAATGTTTAAATAAACAATAGTAACCTATACCGTTAAATATTAAGTGACATCAATGGAAATAAGTGCTACCTGATATTAAAGATTATTCAATTATACATTAATACACCGAGTTTAATCAAAATTAAACTAAAAAAATTATTTGCTATTGATTAGTTGAAAATACAAATAAATCATTCATTATCTATTATCTATGATAAATTTTGCCTTTCACTACATGGAGGGCTATTTGCTGAGCTAGAGATTTATTACGCCTAGTAATAGTAAGTAATAAATAAAAAGTAATAGTAAGTATACAGTATAGACTTATGAATACTTCATAAGATTCATTTCCAAGTTTCTCAGGTACTCTTATATATTTGTTGTTTTATTGGGTTGAAATGGCCTTATCTGGCTTGCTTCTCTGCTATCTATTGAAACTAAAAAACCCTTCCCACATCCTTGAACTCTTGGCTTTACATTCCACTCTAAACACAAGATTTTAACCTATTGTTTTATAAATTCCCTCTTCTTTGGCAACTTCCTATTTTTGCTCCCCTTTTTCACCTTTCAGTCTATCCAGGATTTTTCCCAGGCAAAGGGACAAGGTGAGGGATTAAGGTCAGAGTTAAAAGTCCTACCAGCACCAGGATTTGAACTCATGATCTTCAGTTTATCAGGTTGCCAGACAGGGCGTGTTTTACACATCCTCCCTTCTTATATAATTACTTCCTTCAATAAATCTTTAGTCATTCACGCTACCTCCTGAAATAGTCTCTAATTGTTAAAGTAAGTCCCCCCTCCCTCTTCCAACTAGGAAAACACTTAACATAAATATAAAAAGACAAATATCTGCAAAAACCTATTAACAACTACAGGTTGATTTTTAGCATTTAACATTATGAAAGATTCTAATTACAAAATAAAGATTAATTTCCTCACCATTAAGTTAATTGCCTGTCTTCTAATTATGCTCTTACCTATATTTACAAGTAACAAAAGTGTTGAAGATTCAATATTGTTGAACAATTAATTAAATAAGTCTTACCAGCGATGCTTTCTAAGTAAAGGCTGGTTGTATGAGAATCAGAATTTGTAGAATCCATAGCAGGATGCATTAGGGCTATTCTTGTAGACATTTCTTCAATTTCTAGAACAGACAATAGATAAAAATTATTAATTTAATTTCAAGTAAATTAGTTCCTTTCTACAAATTTATTTAATAAAACAAACAAGAAAACTTGAAATAATATTTCATAAATGCCTTGAAGCAGTAGAATTTAAAAGGAAAAACATTAACGAATAAAAATATTTCTCATAACAAAATACAATTAATGATGACAAGTATTTAAATAAAATTCCTTTATGACATTTAATAAAAACATAGAAATTATTGCTAACACTTTTATAGTTATATCTAAGAACTAATTACCTTTGTTATAATTTTTGTTGATCTTCTTCCACTGTCTTGCATTAATAACAAAGTAAATTGCAACTACTGTGAAAAATACAAGACATGAGGCAGCAGCTGAGACCACTGCAACAGCTTGCCAATCCCAAACAAGAGTTTCAGCTGCTGTGAATGGTTGAGATACTACATCACCTAAAGAGAAAGGAAAGAAAACATTTAGATACTGTGGTATTCTTTTGTAAATTTAGAAATAACTACCTCTAACATTAATAAAATGCTAAATCTTCATAAATAATATGTTCTCTGTTTAATTTGTTTAAACTTTGTTATTATCAACAAGCCTAGTTCCAGAATAGTTATATTTATTTTTTATTGATCTATCTAAATCTAATATTAATGTAAGAAGCAGTTGGAGTGGGCACTTAAGTAAACCCTTTTTTTAAATACTACTGGATAAGATCATATAAAGCTGCAACCTGCAAACTTTGGAAGCTAAACAGCCAATTATACAAAGGCTGCCAAAGGCATCTGGCAAAAATTGATAAACCAATTGTTATTTCATTAACTGTTTTTATTATAATTTATTAAATAATCAATAAACCATGAAAAATATGTAGAGGTAAGTAAATATAGGGCAATCAGTTTCAAAACCGGAATAATCCACTTTACAAAATGTTTTTATTTTAATTTTCATAAGTTACAAATACACTATATCAACCAAAAGCATCTCAGTTTAGTATAAAAATTGGTTCATTACCAAGGGATTACTTTTAAGAATCTAATTATTTAATTATTATTATACAATCTAGTTAATTAATATCTACTATTTTTTATGTGTACTTAGGTAATTTGTTATCTATATTATAATTTTTTATAGTAAAATCGGAAGACTATACTGAGAGACTGTGTTATGTATTATGGTCGATGTAACGAATATGTTAACTGTGTTTAATTATTATTAATTGTATCTAGAGCCACTAAAATAAAGTGAAATGACAGTAGATTCATTATGAAACATCATATTTCAGGTATGTTTAATATTTTTCTTAACAGTTATGGTAACTCAATGTTAATAAATTTCATGATATTGATACATTTCCTTAGCCTGTATCAATTGGCAACAGTAGAGCATTATTGCCCTTGAGTGGAATGTTCCAAAACCTTGACCTCATTTTTACCTAACCTCTTGTGTAGGACAGAAAAATAGATCCAAATACAACAAAGAAGTAGACATATAATAAATCAGGAGAAGATAACATTCCAATACTTGATTTTACACAAGCCAACCAAATATATTAAAAATGTTGCCTACGGCAAGAAGAGAGAAATTCGAACACTAAAATTGATAGTTGACATTAAAATTGATAAATTATAATTAAACAGTTTAATTTCCAAAGTAAACCATAATCATCATTGAACAATTTTGAGGAAACGCGAAAAAATATATTTTCTATTCCAAATGTAATATCGGAAACTATGTTTTTTAAAACTTTCACTTCTTATTTTTGAAAACCATTGATTATTTTGATAGTAATTCAAAAATATTGAATAAATTTTGGAACAAGAAAATATTGATTGAGGTTCAGTTTGGAGAAACAAAATTGTATATGATTCAAAGAGAAAATCTTATTAAAGTTGTACTGTATAAATTTAACTTTTTCTATACAATAATGGTACTATAAAATAAATTTAGTAGGAATTTTCATATGAATAAATAGTTTAAAAAAGCTTTTAGTGATTTTTTTTTTAAATAATTAAACAATGCTTTTTTTATTTCATTTTATTGTATTTATTTTTATTTTATTTTATTGTATTTATTATTATTAAGTTTCTGTATTATTTTTTTATTTTTTTATTGTAAATAGAGTGTGAGTGTGCTTTCTCTGAACACTATTATAAATGTCCTTGATGTGACAGAATGTAATATTTCTAAATAAACAAATATAAAAAAAACAATGCAAGTAAAATTATATTAATTGAAAAAAAAAGTTTTGGAAATAAATTTATTTGTACACCACTTTTTTTAATATATAGGTTTTTTTTTTTAGGCAAAATAATGGCATCATCAGATTCATTGGGTGTAAATACATAATAATTGATACTCAATTTCCAAAAGAAACCAATTAGGGATCTATTTAGAAAGAAGGGACCCAATTAGAAAAATCCAACCATACAGCCTACTACCTCTAAAATGCAGGTGAAAAACAAACTAACCCATCAAAATTTCACCAATTCAGGCATCAATACAAGAAAAAATGCTGCAAATTATTTCACAATGGTTTATTATTTCCAAATAATTATACATCTATAGTAACATTACCTTTCTAGTAACAAACAAAAAGATGATTCCTACTACACTGCCCTACATTGATATTGTATCTCACTTGAAAACAGCCTCATTCCAAGTTTTTTAAATTGAGAAATTCGAATTTCCACATAAAAATCATCAGTTAGCTTTAGTTTCAAAGATATAGTTACTTTTTGCTTAATATGGGAAAATCACCTGCTCCTGGATTGGTAGGATTGATTTCTATCCGTGAATCGTGGGAAATGACTAGTTGTCCACAGAATCATTTTGCTGACAGTTGTATGGCATTCTTTCAATGATTTTGTCGTGATAACCAGTAGTTTTGGTGAAGTAACAATGCCCAGGAAGTGTGTGAATGCTCCTGACAACTTTTGTTACATTTGTGGGGAAGTAACCTTTGCAAGTCAAAAACGTCTTATCATACAGATGATCAAGACAGCATACCACAAGTATTTTGGGGTGAAGGTTGGTGAACAAGATAAACCGTTGACCCCGCACATCTGCTACATCACATGTAGCGTAACCTTAAGAGAATGGTTAGACAAGAAAGGTCGTTCAATGCATTTTGCTGTCCCATTGTGGGGAGAGAGGCTACTAATCACACTGACAATTGCTACTTTCTGACCTCTCCTCTTAATCATGAAATGTCTCGAAAAAAGAAATCTGAAGTGAAGTACCCTGACATTCCTTCTGCTATAAAACTAATACCACACGGAGGCAAATTGCCTGTTCAAAGGCCTCCTGAACACTATGATTTGAATGAGGACAAGGATAAAGAAGAGGAAAATTCCCTAGGAGGAACCTCATCAGACGATTCTGATTTTTCTTACAACAGGAAATATGAAAACCCCACTTTCTTACTCAAGCTGAACTCGGTGATTTGATTTAGAATCTGGAACTGTCCAAAGAGAAATTGGAACTTTTGGGTTCAAGATTGGAATTTCTTACAACCTGGTGTAAAGATTACAATGTGCATAAATCGTCAGAAAGACTTGATCCTCCCCCTTTTTCAAGTACGAGAACCTTACTGCCTGTTGTGATGTCCCAGGTCTGATGACAGCATTAAATCTCAATCACAATGAAGGAAACTTACAAAAACATGGAAACCCTTCTAAAATCCATAATATACCAGAACTACCAATGGCAAATCTATGGGGACCTAAAAGTGGTGGCAATTCTTCTAGGCATGCAACAAGGATATACCAAGTACTGTTTTTTCTTATGTGAGTGGGACAGTCGGGACAGAGCATCTCATTATATCAGGGAAGAATGGTCTCAAAGAGAAGTCTTGACCTCTGAACAAAAAAATGTTCTCTACAACTCTCTTGTAGGCCCTGAAAAAATCCCAAGCCTCTACTAAATATAAAGTTAGGGCTCATGAAAAATTCTGTCAAAGGAATGGATCAATTTTTGAGTTCTACATATTCTGAAGCATAAAATCTTAAATTTTGAGGGGAGTTTAGTTTTTGAATTTTTTGGTCGATTACAATGGCTCATTATTGAAAATAATAAACCAATATTGATTTTTTCAATTATTAGATACTTCAAAACCTATAAATTAATCAACAAAATATTAATTATACTCGAATGCTAATAATATACAGAGCATGACCAAATATAAGTTTATTATAGGAAAAAAAATTAAAAACACAAACCTCCAGATTGAATTTCCTTGGATGGAACAAATGGGATCACATTGATCTGGGGCTTTTCAAATAAAGCATTCTTGCCCATTTCATCTCTTATAGTTTCCTGTGGATCTTTCACCTGAAAGAGATGTAAATATAGTTAATTATACATGTAGATAAATTTACAATTAAACACCTAAAGTGTAAGTTAGCCCATACTTGTGATTTAGTAGCACGATAAAATTAACTAAAAGTTGAAATCATAAAAATAAAAAAATTGGCAGGACTTATAGAGCATAGCACAAATAATTGAATATGAATATCTGAAAAATGTTGCCTTGAATATTTTAAAAGACAACATAGAGGATATCTAGTAGCTGCTGTTAGCCCCGGAGCATGGGCCCAAAAATCAACCTGGTCTCAGGCGAAGATTTGAATGTAAATTATGAAAATTTGTGTTATTTTAAGTAAAATAAACCTAGTCTGTCATTCCAGAGCTGCTGCTTTCAAAAATGGTGGCTGATTTAATGAATATTAAAGGCCAGTAATGTGAGCATCGAAATAAAAAATATATTGCAAAAAATGTGGGAAAAGTTTTCATTCTTTTAACTTGTATATGGATTCAAACATGTAAAATCAAAATTGTTAACGCAAGCAACCAATGGAAAACTTTTTTATAACCAAAAAGCCAAATTTTTTTTTTTTTTTTCACCTATTACTCCTAAACGGTATGTCGGAGCAAAAAATGCACCCTTAATAAAATAAAAGAATGTTAAATTGTGTGTCGATTGAATACCTAAACTTAATAATTTGGTTAAGTGGTATGGTAGAAACAGCGATTAACAATCACTAATTTTATCAAATTTGTCATAAACTGAGAGAAACTACCATAAATAGATCTGTAGCTTGGAAATGACTTCCCTAAGAGGAAAAACTCAAAGAATCAAAATTTTAGAGCATTACATTTTGTGTCCACTGAGTACCAACAGTTTGAATGTAGGTAACTTACTCCGCAAAAAATCGGTAATCTCCCAATGGCTGGAAATTGTTAATGAATGTAGGTGTGATTTTCAATATTTCAACAGTATGGGTGTCTATTCTACTCTAAGTTATTCTTGTTTAGAGTCTGCTATAAGCAGCATAGGCCTCTTCCCACCTCTCAGCAGCAAAGGGTTTTGAGAAACGATGTGACGAAAGAAACTGAATTTCATGAAGAAATAAAAAATCCCGAATCGAGAGATATACTTGACCAACATTAAAAATGTTAGTACTCGGTGGATCTGAAATTTGTTACTCAATAACGTTTTTCCTTTTGGGGAATTTATTTCCAAACTACAGGGCCAATAATGGTAATTTGTACAAATATGGTAAAAACCAGCAATCGTTAATGTTGTTTTCTACAATACCACTTGATCGAATAAAATTAAGCATACAAATTCAACATCTCAATAGTTTGGTTACCTTTCAACGAAAGTCAGATTTTTATTTAATTTATTTCACCATATCTAGAAGATCTATAATATTTTTGTAACGTGAAACATTCAGGTCTAACCTGGAGAGATTTACCAAGCTAGGCATTATTATTCCATTGTTCAAATACTTAACAGGCTTTATTTTTCTTTTAGTTACATTCATAGTTTAAATTTATCCATTTTATACTATTAAGTACAATGTTAGATGGTCCATTAATTCACATAAACAAAATTAAAAGTACATTATGGAAATTTTGAAAATGTACCCTTTAAAAGCCACTTCAGACTATTTCAATAAGGTTAAAGCTTGTCAGATATTACAGACCATTCAATTTTACATAGAAATAGTGAATATAATCTAATTTATTAGAGCCGTTTTCGAGAAAATCGATAAAATGAAATGCCACTTTTGGTTAGCATTATAGACTATATCATTGTTGAAGAATAAGCAGATTTTAATAATATGCGTATGGTTTTCATAAATGATTAATTTATATATAATTAGATAGGTAACTGTAACATGGAAATTACAATTTTTGGGTATAACTATACTTAAACTAATAAAAATAATTCTCCACTTATGTGTTCTGTTATATACCGATTTTAAAACTTTTTTTTGGCATACCGACAATTTTCCAATTTTTTTTTTTTTTTGCAATGCCAAAAAAAATTGTAACACTCTTATCAAACTAAACAAATATATATGGCACCCTTATAACTAAAGTCATAAAAAGAAAAGGGTGGTGATAATAAATGGTGAAATTTAACATATTATATTGGTGGGAAAACATATGGTAATTAATTATTTTAAATGAATATGTTTTACTGTCTATAATTCTTACTTTTGCTTTACTATTTATGAAAATACCTCTTTTATTAAAAGCAGCAAAATTTGTTTCGTGCTTGGCGACAAATTTTTTTTCTAATAAATTGAATACTTTTTAACTATTATTTAGTTGTTATTTTGTTTTGTTTATTTTATGTTTTCTGTCTTATTGTTCACAGAACAGATTGTTATATTTCTGAATAAATAAATAATAAAAAAAATTGAATATTGTAAAATATACTTTTCTGAAAATGTTGAAAATCTTGCAAGACATAAAGAATTACAAAATTTAAAGTAGAGAATAAAGAGGATGGGTAAGTTTATTAACCAAGGATAACATTTTATTCTCTTTTCATCATATTATTGGATGCTAAGGAACTATAGCCACAATTTGTAAACTTAATGGAATGGGGCACTAGCAGATCCAGGGTGATTGGAGGAAGAGTTTTGTACTGAAAGTCTAAGAAAAGAATTTTTTTTTCATTGAACCATATTTGTATCTGAGTGATCTGAACCAATAATAATATGTTTTCTTTTTAAATTATAATGCATGAATTTCAGCTGATAAATGTATCCAGGTGTCAAAAAATATATTAAACTTTTATCCTTAAAAATCCTTTATTAGTCCTGTAACTATCATTATAAATTATTAATACAAAATAAAAAAAATTAGCCTCTGAAATTAAATCCTGAATCCATAACTGCAATAAGGTTCAATTTTAGCGGTAAATTGAATGAACTGAAAATGTTTTCGGAGTTTAGAAAAAAAATATTAGTTGGATTATGATCTTAATATTTTTATTAATATTGGAATATACAATGGAATATATAATATTCCACTAAAGTGGGAAAGAATTTAAACCAGAATATTTCGACAATAAACTATGATTAAAAAAAAACACTAAAGTTGCTCTACATAGCAATGCTTAGTAGTTGTGCTTTAGATTATATAAGGGATTCTTTTTAGTTTTGAGGATTAAATTGGTTAGTAAAAAAAAAAATTATTACCTGACCAATGATTTCCGATACTGTTGATGGTTCTCCAAGATATAGCCTGTGGGTAGGTTTAGCTGGTCTGTAACTCTCTGTATCCTTTACTATTAAAGATTCAAATTCTTTACCACCTTTGGTCACTTCTTTCAGCATTTTTATATCATCCCCACTAGGATGTTTTTCGGTTTTCTTAAACTGCTTTTCTTCTAGATCATGTTTTTCTGATATATACACAGGTGAATTTAAACGAATGCTTTTTTTATCATAATCATTTTCACCGCTCTCTTCTTTTAAAGTTTTCAATAAGTCATCCTTCCGAAGTTTCAATTGTTTTTTTGATAGAAGCAACCATTCTTCTAGTTTTTCTTCATCGCTATTGACTTTTTTGAAACTGGATACTTTATGATTATCTTTTTTAAAACTTTTGCCTGTGAGGTGATGTTTTTCATTTTCAAATTCTTCCGTCAAAAGAAAATCATCATGGCTTCTATCTTTTTTATTGAATTCAAAATGTTTCTTATGTTTTTTTGGCTTTTCGTAATTGTCATAATCAAAATAGGAATCATAATTTATATCATCATTAATTACATCATCTTTAAATTCAAAATGTTTCTTTGATTTATGATGATGTTTTTCTTCATTTTTGTGTTTGGGGTGTTTCATAATTTTCTTATGATGTTCTTTTTCATGTGGAAGATACAGATCATCTTTGTGTATGTGCCCTGTAGAATCTACTTGTTTGTCAAGCTCATCTTCATTCCCATCATCAAAAAATTGAATACGATATTTTTGGAAGTGGTGATTTTTTTCATGGATATTGGCACAAATTGAATTCATCTTAGCTGTACAAGGAATAAGTGTTACATGGCACTGTTTACATTCCAAGCATTTACTATGAGCTTTACTCCAGTAATGCCTCGATGGACAAAAATGAGAGGCACATAGAGAAGAGAATAACAACAGCAAAAAGAGTTTCATCTAAAAATTGAAAGTAAAATATTAAGATATGCAAGATTAGGTAGTATATGAAGATAAATATATAAGTTAGAATATAATATAAGTTCAGATCAAATATAATATAATGGAAATATTAACATCTTCAAAACTTTAAACATTGAAATTGTTTGTCAGAACATATCAATTCGTATCTGAATGAACATATCAGGTTCATCTCAATTCATTCCACAATAAAGATATATTGTTTGGGTTATGTTGATGTATGTAAAATCAAATTTATGTTAAACGTCAGATAAATCCATAAGGAATATTGAAATTTAAAAGGTTTTTTATTCAAATTTATAAAAAATAAAATAAATAAATAGCTCCATAGAAAAACAGCTCAAAACAGGATAAAGTGGGAAATTTCTAATGAGTAAAGTATATCAGTTTGTTTCCTATAGTTTTCTTGAATGTTATACAAAATAAATTAATAAATAACTAGTGAAGAAAGAAATTATAATAAATTAAACGGTTTTAAAATACAGAAGATACTTTTTTTACTCTTTTTTATGTTATACAAAAACATATCATCACCTACATTCATGACCCAGCATTAATGTCACTCATATGGTGTTTATCAGGTATAACATAACCAAAATCAAACTTTTAAAATAAAAAAAGTTCATTTACAAACAAAATACCTTTTGCAAAAGCATCAAACAATTCCTAGTTAATTTAAAAAGTTAAATAAAATGTACAGATAATAGAAAATTGTATGAGATTTTCTATAATCATGGGTACTTCATACATAAAACATCCAATGCACACCAAATTTTGATTTGATACATTTTGAAGTGAAATTGTAAGCATTTTGATATAAGTGTAAACATAGACTACCAATAATATGTAAGAACTATAAGTAGTAAGACAAGAAAACAGAAACCTGTTTATAAAATACTTAAAAAAACAGAAGAACTCACTTTATGTTCGATGTTCATTTCTTATGCAAATAAAAACTATTTTGCAGATGAAACGTAAAATTACTGATGAAAACAGAACAATACCCCAACCATACTGTCAACAGGTAGAATATTTCATCAACCAATATGGCCTCTCTGTTTTCAATTCTTGAAGCTATTGTGTTATGCTTGAATATTATTTAAATACAAAACCTATAGTATGAAATGAATTAATATAAATAACACCATAACTTAAATGTATAAAATATTTTTTTCCAAAAAACGAATGTTATGAATAAGTTACAAAAAAAAAGACCTGGCACCGCCTGTACCCACGATAAAGGAGGGGGGTTATGCTGAAAAATATAAGTTTATTTGGGATAATTATTTTATAATGGGTTATTAGTTAGATGAACTGCGAATACGATCTTTAATTTATAATTAACAGTATTTAAAAACCAAAACACGTACAATTTTCATTGCTTCAAGTTTAAGTTGTATTTCAATATTTAAAAAAAATAGTTTAATAATATTGTGAATCTAAAATCAATTAGTACAGCCACTATACTTGTAAAAAGAAAGGTAATAATGTTTCTATCGTCAGATGGTCCACTGCTTTTGCAAGGGCTAAAATGTTTCCAAAAGACCGATTCATTCAATTCACGTACATTCAAGTGTTTCTTAATCATGCCTATTTCAGTTATACATCTACAGATCATAATACTAATATATTGGTATAATGGATTTTCTTTTTAAACCATGATAAAGAATAGCTGTTGTTCGATTACATCAAGTTTGTTGCTGTTGTCTCTTTAAGATCTAGGTACTTAAAAAACTTACCAACTGAAAGATACTTATAAATTCTATCCAATACGTCTAATAAGGGTAATATGTCAGATTCATAGTGAGCAAGGCAAATCGCTATTACAGGCGGATCTACGGGGGGGCTTTCGGGCTAAAGTCCCTTCTCTCCATAAATGGTATAATGTAACCATGTTTTATGGTAAAAAATATTAAAACATTATGTCTTAAAGTATTATTTCTCGTTTAATTACATTTTATAGGACTTCAAGAATCACATAAATACCATTTCATAGAGGAATCTTTCTGTTTTTCCAAAGAAATTATCGCTATATATATGAAAAAAAAAGCTTCCAGGCCCTCCCCAAAATTACAATCTGGATCGGCTAGTGATCGCTATGAAAGGAAAACTTTATTATGAAGGAGATTACCTACATTAAAAGTGGCTTTATAGATATTTTCATCAATTTTAAAAATAAATATAACATTTTAAGTAAATTCAAAAGCAGAATTTTTCCTTTTTATGTGCTGATCCGAAGTTCCTTAAGTACTAATATGATTACTGACTATTATAGATGTTGTTAGTTTTACTGAAAACTATGGCGGATTGAAATTATGTTATAGTAACAGATAGAGCCTAAGAGATTGTTGGGCTCCAAGAAAGTATTTATTTCCATTTTAAAAGTAAAAACTATTCACGAGGTGATACAAGGGAGTACCAAGCCGGAGAGGGGAAGCGGAAATTACGTTCCGTCTCGGACCTCACTATCTATAGGTACTCCATGAGATCATCTTTTGTTTTAATGGAAGTTTTATTGCAAATACATTTCTCGGAATTGCAATCTACAAATCCTCATTCGACTTATGAAACAAGCGTCTAATCCACAATACTATGCTGAGACCAATTTGGAAATACGGAGCAGAACTGCAATGCATATTAATTTATCATAACTTTTCAATGAAACAACTAGATATTTATTTTTCAGAGACATAAATCCGCCATCAATCCTTCTACACATATGCTATAAATACACTCCACCACGGGGGGGAGGGGGAGAGAGGGGGCTTTCGGGCTGAAGCCCCTCTCTCCCCCCAAAATGGGAAAATATAACCATGTTTTGTCGAAAAAAATATTAAAAAATTATCTCTCAAAGTATTATTGTTCGTGTAATTACATTTAAAAGGGCTATAGGAATCACTTAAACACTATTTCATACAGGTAGTTAGTTTCATTCTGTTTTTCCAAAATAATTATCTTTATTTTTATGAAAAAAAACTTTCGGGCTGAAGCCCTCCCCTCCCTCCAAAAATTAAATCCTGGATCCGCTTGTGCACTCCACTGATAGATTGACAACTATAGAAGACTAAAAAAAATCTAATAATGGTAATAATTTATATAATTAAATATTAAGGAAGAAGATGGTCCGGGATGGTGGTCATAAATAGACTAAATAATGGCAAAACTATTTTATTAAAAGCCAACGTTTCGACCCGACTTTGCAGGTCTTCGTCAGGGAGGTTTGTTCAGCAAGGAGTTTCAACTGACAGTTCTAAGTGAAACTCCTTGCTGAACACACCTCCCTGAAGAAGATCTGCAAAGTCGGGTCGAAACGTTGGCTCTTAATAAAATAGTTTTGTCACTATTTAGCCTATTTATGACCGCCACTTCGGACCATCTCCTTCCTTAATAATACAACGGTCAAATATTAAGTATTCCGTAATTAAATATTAATCCCGGATTCCAGCAGACACTCGTTTATCTCCAAATCGCTTCCTCATTTCAAGCATGATTAGTATATATTAATGTTTAGGTTAAATTGTGAACATTGTTTGTCAATTATTTATTTGAATGTCTTATTTTAAAGAAGAGTAACAACGTTAAAATTGTATAAACGATGTGATTGCGGTTTTGTCTATATCTTTTAATCGTGATGAAATTTAATTTGTAAAGATTAAAAAATAAATATATTTTATATTAACCCTGATCTACCGTTAATGTAAATATGTTTCACTTTCTGCTCCATAATGTTTTATGAAGAGGGCCTCCTTATAATGTTTTCCTATGGCCTCCCAATATTTCATGCTTAATTTATTAAACAATAACTCACAAAAGTTCAATTAACCGTACAAGTAATAATTATGTATGTAATTGTATCTTTGGCCTCTAAATATTTCTTAAGTTTAAATACTTTTTAAATAAAAATTTAAAATGATAGAATAAAAATATTCCTATTCTATATTCAATTTTTCAGCATTAGAAAAAATTAAATCAGAATATTGTGCTAAATGTTTATTAATAAACATTTATCGACAGGGCAAAGTTATCACCATACAACTGATAGAGACAATTTTTGAACTTTTTATAAATAACAGATTTGTAACACAATACTAGAATTATTTAAAAAAATATTTATCAAAAATATTTTACATCCAAAATAAGATTTTTCTTAAGTGATAACACAAACATTTTATTCTTAGTGAATTCCATCGGTATTGACGAATCCAATTTCGTATCGAACATATAGATGATATACCTTTAAAAAAACTGATATTCCTCAAAAAAGAAGCACATAAAGAAGCATAACAAAACCCTAGACAGCCCTGAACAGCTAAAACGACACATTAGCTGCGCCCCCATTGGTCGGCAGAAATAGAACTTCCCTTCATCTGCCAACTGTGGCCAGGGCATCATATCCCGCTCCGGCCTCTTTAGCTAGCTCACTCGTAGATGACAAAACATTGCTCCTGTTACACCTTTGATATCGAGGAATTTTACAAAATAGCTAACATAATTTTTTTATTATAGGAACATGAATTTAACAACGGATATGTTTCATATATAACCAGGATAATTTATATCCTGGATAAATATTAGAATTGTGTTTTAATATAATTTTTCAAGATAATCTTCCTGCTATTACGAAAATCTGTCCAGCTATCACAATGTTTGAAAATTTGACAAGTAAAGGTAATAATACAATTTGATAAGTTATTTTTAACAGACAGTTCTTTAAAGAAAGATGTCTGCCAAGTAGGGTCATTATAGCTTCCACACTATTTCTATTGGTTACATAATGCCTATGGATACAAAAACACATTCAAAGCACCAAAATGACAAATATTTTATATACCAAATTTAGCTACACAAATGACACAATGTTTTTGTTCTTACAGAAGGCAAATCCATCAAAGAGCATTATGATTTAATTTAAAAAAAGTTACGTAGTGACTTTTTGCAATAAACCGACGACATGTTCATTGCCTATCACATTTCACATAGAAATTGTCTTTAGAAAGGTGAAAGGTTCAGAAAAAAAATAATAAAATAAACAAATGTTTGTAAGGCTCTATATTTGGATTTAGTAACATTAGTAAACATTTTCTCCAAATCATGCGGGATTTGTTCTGTTTCCATTTCCGTTGAGATTCAAAATATAAAATAGCTACTTAGCAATATTTTTTTTCCACCTCTTCCTCTCCTTTTAGGCTATACAGGGATTTTCCCGAGCCAGAGGAGAGAGCGGGGGATTATTACGATAGTCAAAAAGCCTCTCTGGCACCGAGACGGGAATTCGTTATTATTTTATATCTTGTAAACATTGGTTCATCATCTGGTTGCCAGAAAATCCGGTGTTTTGCACACGTTAGCAAGCTCGGCCACCTAGTTCCCACTTAACAGATCTAGCTTTGTTTAGGATAAAAAATAACGTAATCTATTATTCGAAAATTTGGAATTGACTTCTTCTTTATGTAGGAGAGCCCTAGAAACGGGCCCCAGGTCCTCTAATGATTTCAGTGCCATTTAGTCTAGTCAATCAATGATCATAGAGGAAAACGGAAACAACATAAATTTTGTTTTTAGTGTTTCCTATGAGAGGAGCAAGATAAGGAGGAGATGAATACACTCATAAGGTTACTCTGTTAGGTTTTTTACGTCAAGGAAAATATATATATTCTACATAAAGTAAAAACTGGCTAGGAGTGGGGTGGCCGATTGGATTAGCGCGTGTGAAAAACAGGTGTCGTCTGGCAAACAACCACATAATTAGCCAAAGTTTACAAGATACAAAATAAATACGAGTTCGGGTTTCAGTGATGGGGAGGAGATGAGGGCTTTTAACTCTAGCATTAATCCCACATCCTCTCCCTGGCTCGGAAAAATCCCTGTACAGCTTAAAAGGCGAGGATTTGGTAATTGGGAAGAGTGCGACCTATGATATTTTCACCTTTTTAGAATAATTTCGTGAGATTCTATTGATATCAATTAAATAGCATAGAGATTTTGGAAAATCCGCTAAACTAAAGATACGTATTACGAAACTGATTGGGTTGTTTGGAAAATATTCTTCCTTTCCAGCAGCTAGCGACATTAAGTCTCTAATAAGTACGGGAATGGTTGGGTACAACACAGTTTAGCTTCCTACTTAGTATTCACTAAAA